ATTTCCCACTCTTCTTTTGCACTATAACCACGTTCGAGAGCCAGGACGGATATTGAACTTCTCTAATGAACCCTGCTTCCAGTAACCTGTCAATTTCATCAGCTATGATCTGGTTACGCTTCGGGACCAACCTCCTCTGCTTTTATCTTACAGGCTTGACGTTCGGGTTTACGTTGAGGGAATGACAGGAGACAGAGGGATCGATCCTTGGAATGTCTGAATGGCTCCAAGCAAACACATCTGCGTTCTGAGACAGGAAATTAACTAATTGGCATTTTTCTTCCTCTGCAAGCCCTGACCCTACTCTTGTCGTTCTGTCTGGCCTCAGATGATCGATTTGCACATCAACGAGAGGTTCTTCGGTCAAGACCGAAGGCTCCTCCTCCCCATTCTCGTTGGGTGGAGGCTCCTGTAATTGCTATCTTGGGCTAGCAGAACGGATAGGAGCTTTTCCCTTCCCAACAGCTTTCAAAGTTACAGAGTAGCATTCCTTGGCGGCGACCTGGTCCCCATGGATATCAATCACCTTACTCCCATCTGGGCTCAAGCATCTCATCACCTGGTGCAAAGTCGACGGGACACCCTGGACTTGTGAATCCACCCTCTTCCCATCAAGAAATTGTAAGACGGATGGATTTCAACGACCACAAAGCTTTCAATCAGCTCTCTTTCAGCAGCTCGAACTGGCAGTTCTACCATACTAATAGGTTCCACTCTTCCCGTCGAATCCCAACAAAGGATTCCCAATGGGTTTAAGCTTCTCTGGCTTGATCTCGAGCCAGTCAAACGTTATTCTTGGCATGACATTCACGCTGCTCCCTGGATCAATTAAAACTCTTCGTACCAAGCACTCTGCCACCGTCAAGCTAATGACTAGAGGATCTTCATGAGGGATCTGAACTCGCAGCAAATCTATTCTGTCAAACTTTATCTGAGCTGATGCGCTCTGCTAGTGCAGAGCATTTACACTGCCTATCATCCTCTTCATTTGCGCTTGACAGAGACGTGTCCGGAGCAGTTCTTCTGACTCTTCGGTCTGCTCAGGTCGGCCATGAATTACATTTATAATCCAAACAGGCTGGGCATTATGGTAGTTCGGCTTCTGATTTCTTTTCACTTGTTCAGCCGGTCGGTTCTATTCCACTGCCGACCCTTGAACGTATCCTGCGAACTCTCCCCTTACTATCAGCATCTCCACTTGCTTCCTTAAGTTCCTGCATTCATTAGTCTGATGACCAAAATCACTATGGAAAGCGCAATGTTTAGAGTGATCTCTCTGTTCAATTGGTTGTCTGATTGGTAGGGGAGAACGGAACTTATCTTTGTTTTCTTGATACAACCTCGCCAGGGTGACTTTGAATGGAGTGATCGACTCCTCCTCTCTAGGCCTCTTTTCTGCTTTCCAGGAGGTCTGACGCTGTGGTGGAGCTTGTTTTTGTCTGATCTTTGTTTTGGTCTTCTCCTCCGTCGTAACCATTGACGTTTTCCTTGCGTTGGCAGCTTCTTCTTCTTCCAAGCGCACAAAATCATCAATTCTTTCGTTCAACTCGTTCATGGTCTTCGGCGTATTCACCACTAGAGTTGTATGGAACGGTGTCCCTCGGTTCATTGCTAGTTTAAACGCCTGAACTGCCGTAGATGGATGGCATTCTATTACCATGCTCTTAACGCGGTTGAACCTGGTGAAGAAAGCTTGGAGACGTTCATCCTCGGGCTGCTTCATCGTAAACAGACTTAAAATATCTTTGGCCGGACGCTTGTTCCCTGGCTTATGAATCTATCACATAGGGTCCAGAAGCTATCCACTGAGCCTCTTGCCAGGTTCTTAAACCAATTGAGCGCCGGTCCAGTCAAGCTTGTAGGAAAGCACTTGCACATCAAAGGATCATTCTCCGTGTTCAGCGCCATTTTCAATTGGATGTGGTAAACATAATCGATTGGATCGCTCGTTCCATCGAACAGAATGAAAACTAGCATGGAAAACTTTCTCGGATTCTGAGCATTCAGGATCTCGTCTGTAAACGGTAAATCGACTGTTCGTGCTGCCGAACGAAGGGCCTCACTCTCCCTCAAAAACCTTGGGAGAATCCTCTGATCTACAGATCTCCTATCCGAACTTCTGTAGTTGTACGTAGCCATTGAAGGCCGGTAAGGCGGATTGAATAATCTTTCCTCTGTGAACTCTCTCTGCCACGGTGACATAGCCTTATAGTGACCAAACTCCATGGCTTCCTCTTGCTTCAGCCTTTCTTGATATGGATCAAACGCCATGGCTTCTTCTCGCCTGATCTGCTCGTGATGCGGATCCACATGAATAGATCCTTCTTGATCCTACATGTGACGAACATTTGATGGTAAATCACCTGGCCTGATCTCTTCGCGATGAGGATCCATGTGATTGTTTCCTTCCTGCTCACCTTGGTGAGCAACATCCGGTTGCATAACTCTCTCTCCTACTGGAGGTGGTCGCAGAATCGTCAGAGCTTCCCAACACTCCATTCCAGCTCGCAATTCTACATTCTCTCTTCTCAGAGCTTCAATCATGCTCATCAATTCATCGAGCTTCGTTTGCTGGTCATTCTCCTGTGGATTAGAACTCTCACCTCCTATCATCATTCCTGATCGGAGCAGAGTCATTAACTGTGAATTCCTGATCGGATCTGAACTTTGCTAATGCGAATGCATTAGATATGGCCTCGAACTAGCTGAATTTCGATCTCCTTCGGCCGGATCTGAATTTTTCCTGCCGTGAACTCGTCAGATTTAGCTTCGCTAAACAGATCGCGATTATGCAAATCCAACTCCAATCTCCAAAGATCAACTAGAACCAAGACTCTGCAAGATAGATCATAATCTCACCGATCTGAATCCAACTTCCAGAGATCAAGCTTCTTCTTCACGAATCAATCTTGTTTCCCACAGACGGCACCATTGAAGATGCAAGAAAAATACTCTCACAATTTGGAAAGAATAGTTCTACACTTCAAAAATTTTCCAACCCCTTTTCCCTCTCTTTTCAGTCTATTTATAGACTGTTACAAACATTCTAGAAGCTTCCTAACTAACTCCTTACGTTGGGCTGACCTTCTGGACTCATCTTAGTTATGGGCCCATTTTCTTTTATCTTAAATCGGGCTTCCAAACTGATCCTCCGGTCCTAGGCCTGATAAGTGAAGACTTGGTTCAGATTGGTTGCTCTTACCCGACCCGTTCCTAGCAATTTGGGTCACGCCCGACCCAGGCCATTTTTGGTATCCTCAGTAATATAATCACTAAAGAAGCAACATTAGGTAGCCACATTCTTAGTATAACAATAAACATTGGATACGTCGACCATTAAGCTGTGTCCCTGTGTCCAAAGATTTGAGGGTGAGTTCACATTTATTAGTATAATAACTTTTGTTTCCTTGAGAGACCTATAGGTATAGACACATTTAACCAAATGTGTTTCAATTTTTTTCCACTTACCAAGTGAGGTACAAAATTCAATTTTTTTTTTTTTTCCTAGTTGATACTCACACACACTTGTCTCTTATGAGACTTGAACCTCTGACCTCCCTTTGGAAAGTAAGAGGCTGATACCGCTAGGCCACTGGCCCATTGGTGCTACAACATAGATAATCACAATTATTGATACTAGAAAATTTTATTTGCCAACCATATAAAGGAGTAGAACATATGCTGTAGAGACTAAAGAGTTCCAAAGTAGCAACTTCTCTGTTGTAATTGCTCATACCCATTCAAAATGGGGTTTCCAATTGATAAGTCAATAGGATTGTCCATCGCCTCCTCATCCATAAAGTTGTTAGTGGAGGCAAGTTTGATCTTTTTTATCACAGAAAGTAGTGATTTTCAAAAAATTCCCTCAGGTATATGATATATTTAAGACTTTGTAGATTAACCTGCTAGAAGTTCCACAACTACATAAAAAAAAGTTAAAGAACCTTACAAAGTTAGGGTCAAATGATGTAATACATAAAGGAAGAACACTTTCTCAAGCAAATATGATGACTCACCAAAAGTTCAAGTTCAACAACAATATTGCACACTATTTATGGTAGCAATATAGTGAGCAAGGTTTCCCAAATCCTGCCTTGCTAAATCTTTCTATTCAAATTTCAACACACTAACACAAAAACACTTGCATGGTGATTTGCGGTATTTACAATATGGCTACTTACAAGCAAATCACCTATGTCACAAAGTAACAAATCCAAACAAAAGAATGTGCAAGTAATTAAAATAGACACCTGCTTTCCGTACATAGTAAATGCAATTGGTCAACAGCTGAACCACATCTTTCTCTCCCATATCTTCAACCATTCAGTCGAGCAACTAAAGCATGTTTCCAACTTTCTTTGAAATGTCAAATGTAAAATAAACTTTGACCAGAAACAAGAAAGTTTGTATAGACTGGTTCTTTCAGTTGGGTCTTTCTATTTGACACCAATGAACATTTGGTTTCTCCTCTTTTATTGCTTCTTATGCCTCTCCAACTAGAAACCATATTTTAACGTCAGTAAAGCAGGCTAATCTAGCTTCATGATAGAGGAAAAAATTATGTCCAAATCCAAGAGAAGCAATCTGTAATTCATTCATTAAGTCAACCATTCCATTGAGTGAATTGTGGGGATAATAGGTTGAAAGGTAGCACCGCATTGGTGGCGACATTGTGTCTTCACATCACAGAATACCATATAGATATAACGCAAATTAAACAATTTAATTCAAAGTAAACACTAGCGCACATGTTCAAATGGATATTCTTCTTCCTCATTCATAAATGAATGAAGGCTAAATCTCACGCTTGCCTTTGGTGTATTGAAAGCACAAGCCACTCGTGTGCTATTCACCCAAAAAATTATAAATAGAACAAATATAACCATATACAGTGCAATATTGAAAGCTAAAAAGACATTAATGAAACTAATATTAAAGTTATAAATTAGGAAGTGCTACTATGATATGCTGCATCAATCAATCAACATATGTCGACATACCCTCCAATAGTTCTTGTTGTCTTTAGCATGTGGAACATACTTCTTTTTTTGTTGCTTGTGCCCCAAAGTGTGGAATGCAATGGCTCAATTATTTCCAAGTTCTGGACACTATGAAATTGTAATTATCAAAATCATACCAAAAAAATGAAGTACAGTATTGTTTTTTCTTCCCAACATAACCCTTGTGAGTGAATACATAAAATACTTTTTCCTGATTTATTGAGTATATAATTGTAGAGTAGCAATTGATTTTATCTAACACACTTAGCACTGAAAAAGGGTACCTAGTAGCATCAATATTCATGTGGTCAAATGATCCATTAAAAGTAACCTGGAAAAGATAGAAGTTCACAAAAACAAAATCCTTAAGAACAAGAGTTTGACATGTAGTAGCAAAACACGAAGTTCTTTGTGGAATTAAATTCAAGGTGATATATCTAAAAACTGAGTTGTAATTACAGGTTCAAATTCTAAAGCAACTGGTACATTTGAGCACATGAAAATCCCAAAAATAGAGAACTGAAGTAATAAATCTTAAAAACTAACGTCATTTCAACATTTGTAGACATGATAATTAGGAAATCTTTGTTAGAGTAGAAGTGTAGAAATAACAATTGGATTTATATGCCATATTTAGTCAGAAATGACAAAGAGCAGAACAAAGAATGATTAAAAATATCAATTGGGTTATTCTTCTTTTCATATTCTTTGGTTAAGAATGTCAATTGGATGTAATAAGTACAAATAATAACATTATGTAATTTGTACAAAACAGAAAAGAAACGAGAAGTACCCCAAGCTGGATATAACAAAGAACCATATACCAATTCCAGTATACACAATACAATTACAATGATCATATGAAGAGTCTCCAGTGGAGTCCTCAAGTTACAACCATTTGAAATACATGACACTTGCTCATGGTGTTGAATTATAAATTTCAATTTGCAACACATCTTCACCGATCACCACCCTGTTCCCATGACGAAAATAATACTTAATTAACAGAAAGACAAACAGCCGTTCACTCAATGTGGGGCCTCTGAGGTCTGTATTCTGGATACAATTGAAAAAGTATAATAAAAGGAAGGGAAAGCTTAAGTATGAAGTTCAGTATCCCTTTGAAAGACTAGTCCCAACAGTGAAGAAGCTATCATATACAATAGAAAAACCACCTTAGAACTAGTGTTGAAAAAGTTTTTGAATAAATATGAAAAGAGAAAAGCATTAGGGGCTGATCATTTTTCTTCTTGATGAAGTTTAGCCAAAATACATGCCATATGGATAATCTTTCTTCTTTTTATCATATTCAGCTTTTTCTTGTAGCAGATTTTGCACATTTTTACGAAAATCTTGTTCTTAATAACCCCTTATGATTTATCCTTTTTTATTATTATTTTTTTTGTTGTTATTATTATTGTTATTTCCTTTTTATTTTTTGGAGAGAGGGTGTTTGATCCCTAGATTAGGGTGGACAAAAATACTAGAAGCAATAAAAAACAAAGTACAGCAAGGAGTTGACCGAAGATCACAAAAACGAAGTCTACCAACGAGTAAAGGTCCCACTAAAGAACTCCAATGATGACATCCTAGTCTTAGTGATCCAACAGCTGTCACAGCCAACAGGTTTACAGATCATTGGGAGCATATAAACCACTCTAGAAACGCCTCACACTGGCTAGAACTAATTGATTGCCTATAAAACTTCATGGAATGTTGCCACTAATTGTTTTAACTTGATTTTAAGTTGTTTATGTATAATTACTATGATCAGTAAAGCAAGTGTCCTTTTATATAAGTTTTGAGAAATTTAAGGGCCAGTTTTTGCATCTCAGTTTTGCTAGAATATAAGTTGCGTTACAACCTTTTTTCAGCCAATTCTATGGGATCTTTCCTCCTTGTTTCTCTTGATTTTTAATACCTTTGTTCTTGCTCTTATAGCAGATTGGCTGCTGCCCTTCTTGATTAATTGTTGAGCAAAGATAAGTGAGTGCATAGCTAAAATTGTTCATAAAGGACTACATCAATTGGCATGGAAATCAGCTTCCGGAATCACTGATTGTAATATGTGACAAGCTTGCAATGGAAGGCTCTAGAGAGATGAACTAGCTGTCTGATTAAGTGAGTTCTGAAAAGGCTTCCCTGTCCATCTTCGTCACTAATTTTATCATATAAAATCACACAAACCTCTAATCCCTATTTGACATGGACTTCAACATTTCTAGTTTAAATTAGTGTGAAGTATGTAGAACCAAAGACCATTTAATCCTATCCATTAAGAAAAACATACAGGTTAAACACTTTAGTAATTCCAAGAAACTACAACCAACAAAGTTAAGCCCCAAACTTCATGCATTTCAGAAATGAACTCAAACCGATACAAGAATAGAACAATTGAAAAGGATTTTCACTCTGACAACTTTCAAAGAAGATGTCTACTTTCTCATAAACAGGAAAAAGGCAAAATCCAATTAATTACGGCCATTCCAATGAGGGTGGACCAAGGAAGAAGTCACCTGGCAATGTGAGGATGGTTGATTAATCAAAAGATGCATGTATGAGGGAAATAGCTTTGTGCAGGGATTTATATCAAGTTTAACCTTTTCCAAAAGCACTGACCAGAAGATATTTTTGGATTTTTTTGAGATAATGCACTTGCTAATAAACATTAATTTATAAAACAACAATTTTATGCATATATTTGTTAATTTTATATATAAGATCCAAATTTTGAAATATATCAAAGATCGGCACTCTCACGTGCTCACTCCCTCTTACCCAAACTCGCATTTTTGCTTTGCACTCTGGCACTATACTAAAACTGGATGGAAAAAGAAAAAAAAAAAAAGCTCCATCACTACAATCATCCTCCCAGAGAAAAACAAGAAATATTAATCTAATGTTTGATCATATTTCCTCATGCAGGGAGTATTAGAAGATTAAACTCTCAAGCATATGTGGTCAATGAATGGCCTCCTCACAACCAGGCAGGATTTTCATGCCAACATGATTGAACAAGATGCTCATTGATACATGCACAATGTCTTTTGGATTAAACGGAAGAACTATCTAACAATTGCTAAAAGATGCGAAATATAAAATACTAAAAGAACAACAGTTATTAACATAGAATTATGTATTTCCTTCTATCCAGTTACATTGCAAAATCTCTGGCACTCTTATCACCATCCTTTACTATAAAAAAGTATATGACAGCAAAAGCATCTGCTATTTTTCCCCTTTAGTTTGTTCTTTTCATTAGGAGAGGTTAACATGCTTTTAAGACAAGCACATACCGATAATGAGTGGTTTGTTATGATGACCCCTTTCTCCGCTTCTGTCCTGTTGAGGATGTAATTGAAACTTATGTTGAAAAGTAGACAATTAACAGAGGAAAACAAATAATGTAAAATTATGGAAATGCATATTGGTTGAACTGTTTTCAGACAACTTCAATGACTAGAAAAGATGATGGAGCAATGACACTTTTATGGCAAAAGAATCCCAAAAAGACAAGGAACACGCATTTTAGTGGTTAAAAATGTTATTTGACTATAAGACTGAATAAATTAGAAAGAAATCCAAAAAATGACTTTCCACCCCATTTATTAATTATGCAGCAGATTTCCTTTTATTTTTCATTTATTGTAAATAATAAGAGTTATAATGTCTCTGTTTCTAGACTCAGGTATTTTAGCAAAACAAGTTCTCATTTTGATATTTCCAGTAAGGATCAGTTATGACTAGGTTATTACTTATGCAATTTGGAGAGAGAGAGAGAGAGAGAGAGAGAGAGAGAGGTAATGTTTGTTTCTGAGTTAGCAGTATTAAGAGTGCTCCAGATCAGAGTCTTAGTCGGTACCATTCAACGGCCACCACTATCCATAGGGAAAGGCAGCTTTTGTCTGGTTGTACAAATGAATACTGATTGATTTTACTATTATACCTTTCTATTTAGGAGAAACGTTTTTAGTTTTTCGTTAACGCAACTCAACAGAACCTTTTTCCAACTATTTGGAATTCGCTACATGAATAATATCTCACCATTCCCTCAATCTAAGACCATAACCTCAGACCAACGACTCCAACCGTATGATATCATATCTTTCCATATTATATCAACCCATGTTAATTCCAGGTTGAAGTAGTATACGATTTATAAGTTATACAGGATGTCCAACATATACAAATACAGGCTGTCCCAAGACTTCTCTGTGGTGAATTTTCTCAAATGTGGGTTTAGTGGGGACTCACTGAGCAGCAGATGGCCCAAATCTTCCCTGAATTCTTTGTGAAACAATTATGCCATTAAATCAGGGTATGACATCACCAGTGTTTTTGTGACCCAACAAAGACCATCTCAAGCCCCCTCACCCCCAACCCCCTATTAAGTTTAAAATACTTTGTAGACAAGAACTAGGGCTAGGAATTCTAAGAAATAATTATTCACGGTATATTCAAATTCAAGTATATCATGAGAATTGTGTTTGTTCAATGACAAACAAGTTATAACTTTGAAGACTGAATAGAGAAGTGCCATTGAGATGGTAACAAATGTGTCAATGAATCAATTGCATACTGTTCAAACCTAAAATCTGGCACCTAGAACAACTGGATGTCATGTAGCCACAACTAATAATGAAAATATATATCATTTTCATATGGTATGAACTAGATTAGGAATAAATATTATTTGTGCATATCAAACTCGTAGAGAACTACAGTTTTGAAGTACCACTTGATAGTCGCAGCAGCTGCAGCCAAGCAGAGGTAATATTGCTTGTAATAAGTATCCAAACCAAGCGCTGATGGCTCCTTGGCTGCTAAATTTTTCACCAGCACAGCTCCCTTTATTATTAAACCGTGAAGACATTTCATCAGAGAAATATATGTGCCACATCTGAACCATTGAAAAGAAAAAAAAAAAAAAAAAAAAAACAGGAAATTGCATAAGAAGTTAGGCTCTACCTTGGTGTCATCAAAGAAACCACGGGCCATTACGACCTGCAAAGGTCATTACATATGGATATATCACTAGTTTATTGGACATCAAGAATTGTAACATCATACTACACACACAAACACGAAGGAAGAGAGAGAGAGGTCACCTTCTTAATTGAAGAATAAAATCTATCCACCAGTTCTGATACACCAACCATACCATCAGGTGCCAGCTTGTTGGGAGGGACAATAATGACCATGGGGTCATAGAAGTGTAACAATGTCTTTGTATTCTGATATGAACTGCTAGTTTCAATATATTGAGAAAGATGCAGTGAAGCTGATCTTAAGTCAAAAGCAGCCACTCCGACCTGTACATAAGATTGGTGCTGTCAATTAGTCGTAATGGACGTCCATGGGCATAAAAGAATCAAGTTTATCTGCCAGAATCTCTTTATTATCCAGAAGTGCAGAATTTTAAGAAATGATTTTAAATACATATTCATAATTTTATTTATTACTAAATTTTTTAGGCCATCATAGAACAGTAGAATGAAGAGTTTTTAGAAATTATATTGAATATAAATTTTTAGGCACCATCACAAGATTGCAACAAATAAGTTGATATTCATCTGAGTTGTCTCACGTAAATTCTAAGGCGTAAGCATATACATTCAACACATACCCGCCAGAAGTACTAATGAATCAACTCGGGGTCTGACAATAGCTATAAAAAAAATGACCTTTTTTTTGTTCACATGCCATTGTTGTATGAAAGAAGTACCCAGGGCGAACCTCTATCTTATCAGATCCTAATTGATAGAATCAATATTTGTAGAATAAAATATAGATTTTTAATGCAAGTACAAAATTTTGGACTAGAGTAATACACTTTAAAGATGCATTTAAACAGTAGATAAAATTGACTTCACAATAATGGATTCATATAATGTGTCTGATGCATGTCCAGTATGCCATTCTTTTTGAAAAGGAAACATCATTGAAGGGATTGATAGCAAATTTCAAATGTAGTTATCTACTTATCATAAATAATAGTGCAGCAACAGCGGCCACTATTATACAAATATAAGTCATGACAGCAATTGCAATAGTATTAATCCAACATGATAAACTAATTATGTGAACGCGTTGATGGTGTAGTGGCAATCAATTCAATAATCTATTTAAAAATATTATTAGATTACATGCTACTTTTCATATAGTGTCAATGAATTTTGACTGACAAGACAAAAACTCTTTTATCATCATTATGATCATATGCTTGACATCAAGGCCGACGGAAATTATCCTTGCTGCTTTAGGTTTGAAGCAGGGTGTTTCACAGTTCCACAAAATTAAATCCTTTATTTTCACTGATGCAAATATTAAGCAGCTGAAAAATAAAACTGACACTTCAAAGAATTTCATTTCCAAGAGTAATAGCTATTTATGTGAATTAAATTTGACGATGTAGAAAAATGAAAATTCAAGCAAAAAACTTAATTGTGTTGTCCAACCACATGTTCAGGCCAAAGGGTCACTAAAGGATCACTAAAAATAGCCATCTTCTATTTATAGTGTCCATGAAGGGATCGATGACGAGTAATAAGTAAGAGTGGAGCAGGGTAAACAAAATGGAGACAAGCTAGTGGTGTTGTGAAAAATGAATACCAAATAAGTTAAAATAAATAAAAAATTTATAGGACAATTATTAGGCCAGCTATATTATTGGAGCGAATGTTGAGTGATCAAAAAGAAACAGGAACAACGCATTCATATAACTGAAATGAAAATGTTAAGATGGATGATAGGAGTCACCAAGAAAGATAGGATTAATAATCCACATGCGAGGGGGAAACTAAGAGTGACGTCTATTAGTGGTAGCTGCTAAAATAAGAGAAAGCAAACATAGGTGATAATGTGATATGGTCATATATAATGGAGACCCCCGGATGCACCGGTAAGAAAAAGTAGATTCATTTGCATCAAAGGTAAGAGACAAAAAGGTGGACCAAAACTCGCACGGGATGAGATAATTAGAAATGATCTTTAAAAAACTAATAGGACACATGGCTTGTAATAGAAAAGGATTGAAAAAGATAATAATGTGGCCGACTCCATTCATACGGCATAAAGATAAAGATGATGATGGTGATAATGAATCTCATATTCAGTTATTGGACAAACCTTACTAACCTAAACCATTAATAGAGCCATTATAGATTTGTTTCTCTGTCTACTACAGTTTCTAGTCAAATTTCTACAGCACCACATTGATTATAAGAATGAATAAATAAATTAATCATATAGAAAACAAAATACTAAATTTTTTAAATATCATAGCATTTTGCAATCAAACATAGCATAATGGAACCTAAAAACAAAATCTCAAACTAAATCTGCCACAAACCCCACTGGTCCATCAAGATCCACAACCACGTCAACAAAGATTCGGAACTTGAATCCAACACGTAGAACCACAAATATGCTACTTCAACAAGTAGCATAGACAAGTGGGAAACTGATTTAATGCTAGTCTCCAAATTCATTCGTTATCTTCAAAGTTCAACAGATAATTGGAAGACGATAATACGTATTCAACATTAGGAGTTTGCTAAAACATCGATTATATAATCAATGCAAAGAAAAACAAGTGAAGGAGCAAATATGGACTGGACATTCACACATACAAGATCGTATGAGTATCGAGAATAAAATCTAAATACAAACGAGTAAGATCCAGTAATTCATAAAGATTCTGCAATCTTCTCTCGAAATCGCTAAAAACAGTGATTCGAATCCCAAGCTCTAGGACTAGTACGGAATGCGATATTATATGTATATTCATACATATATATACACACACATATGCAGAGAGATAAATTCAAGATGATACCTCCTTGGCTCTGTTCTCGATCAGACCGGCCACGAAGCTCGATCTCTCTCCGACGTCGACGTCTTCCATTATAGTAGGCTCAGCGGTGAAGCTTTCAGATGCGCGCCAAGTCTTATACAAGGAAAGAAACTCTTTTGTTTCTATCTTGCTCGGGGTGCATATTACGCTTAAAAAAAATACGCACTGAACACTGAACGTGAGAGTGAGACTGTGAGAGTACCGTTTGCAAGTTTCCGTTTATACGTGGTTTAATACGACGTCGCACTTGATCTACACATTTCCTTTTCTTTTGTTTTTTTTAATAAAAATTTACCATGGTGTTATCTAGCCTCTTATCTTAAGCCATCTGCATCAGCTTCAACATATTTTCACTCTCAAAAAAAATGTCATTTCAGCTTTTTCAAGAGTCACATCAGCAGCTTTCATTCTCCAAAACCATATACTCCATCAGGCTCTTCTAATTTAAGCTCTCAAAAAAAAAAATTATTATTATTTTTTTTTAAACTTCCCCTAAACGGCTATATTTTTCATCTTATATAATGAAGACTCATTTGCTCATCTGAAAATCATCATTACATTAATCTCTCTCCATTGTAGCAAATATCATTATCCATCTTTATAAATTTTGAAATTCCGATGGCTTCGTTGTCACAAGCTTTTCTTTTGGCAAACTTTCATCTTCCTCGCCATCCTCTTTGGAAGATGACTCTATTGCCACGTTGTTTTAACAGGATCAAGATGATTTCTATGAGATTATTAATTCAGTAAGGCCAGAGATAATTAAACAAGTATTTCAAGTTCGTAATAAGAAGTGGTACATTCTTCGTAACCGAGTGAAAAGTCACTATCAGCTGATGAAAGACTACTTCAACAAGAATTGCACATATTCACAGCAGTACTTTCACCGGCGATTCAGGATGCGATGAGAATTTTTTCTTCGTATCCTTAATGATGTCAAAGCTTATGATGACTACTTTGTCCAAAAAAATGATGCGACTGGTCGTCTGGGGTTGTCTTCTATACAGAAGATGATAACTGTTGTTCATATACTTGCATATGGTTGTGCAATTGATCACTATGATGAGTATATTAAAATCGGCGAGAGTACTGCCATTAAGTGTTTGAAGGCATTTTGTAATGCTATTGTTATTGTGTATACAGAGGAGTATATGCGTCCACCTGACGAAGCCGACATAGCACGGCTGCTTGAAGAAGGGGAGCAAAGAGGATTTTTGGATATGCTTGGTTCTATCGACTGTATGTACTGGGAGTGGAAGAATTGCCCAGTGGAGTGGCACGACACACATAGGGGACGCTTTGTTAAGGATACTTTCATATTGGAAGCAGTTGCCTCACAAGATTTGTAGATCTGGCATGCATTCTTTGGAATGTTGGGTTTACACAATAATATAAATATGCTAATCATTCCCCGGTATTCAACAGTATCGTCAATAACCAATTACCTCCGGTTAATTATGTAGTAAATGGACATCACTATAGAATAGGGTATTACTTTGATGCAGACCATCCCACACCCAACCATTGGAAAAGAAAAATTGTTTGCTCAGCGATAAGAGACATGTAGTAAAGATGTGGAACGGGCTTTTGGATTATTGCAGAGCAAGTGGGCAATAACGCAAGACCAGTGCGTTACTGGGAGAAAGATGACTTGCGCCTCATAATGAAAACGTACATCATCCTTCACAATATGATAATTGAAGATAAGCGTCACGCAAATGTTAAAAGATGGACTCCGCCACCGGAGGATGCAATCCCGATTCCCACTTTAAGTCGACGGCCATCGGTTTTAGTGGCATACATATTCTCTCACCAACTTCAGATTCGCAACATAGAGACAAATATGCGGTTGAGGAATGATTTGATGGAAAATTTGTGGAACCGCTATGGTGGTGATGATGTTTAATTTATTTTGCATTTTGTTTGCTTTTAAGATGTTATAACATTTCGTGTACTAGAATTTGTATTATGTAATGGTTTTTTAAGATTAAAAATAATGAATTGGAATAAGAAAATAATGATTACAAAATCCTATGGGAATAAGTAGATGAATTTTTTATTTTAAATGTTTTTTTAAAAAAAGAAGTTTTAAAAAATTGAATTTTTTATACTTTTTAAAAAAACAATTATAATTGTTTAGGCACTATTTGTGTCAGCCAAACAATATCTTAACGGCCAAATGCATTGTTTGTGGTAGAAATTTAAAATTCAAAGCAAAAAAATTGTAAAAATAAAAAATAAAAAATTTAAGGGAAAAAAACAAAAAAAAAAAAAAATGTTTTTTATTTTATTTTTGGACAAACAGTGCCTAAACAATATAATTTTTATTTAATAAATTTTATTTATTTATTTTTTTTTTTAAAAAAAGAAGCTCAAAATAACTTATTTTTGGGTTTTTTCCCAAAAAAAAAAATCTTTGCCAAACAGTGCCTGTCTTTTTTTTTTTAAAAAAAAAAAAAAAAAACACGTTAAGGCAAAAGGTCGCCGATTTGCAAAAAGGGAAAAAGAAAAAAAAAATACAGCTATTGCGGGCCGGCTCGCGAAATACCACGAGGCGGCCCGCGAGCTAAAATAGGCCCCGCTCAATTAAGATAGTCCGCTGCACGCTATTTGGGCTCCCAAATCATTAAAAAAGGACTTTAGCTAGCCTGCTGTAGATGGCATTACAACCGGACAAAGATTTAGCCACTTGAAATGGCTTACATCGCATAATCAACAACTCCAATTACATCAAACTTCGAAAACTTATAGTGCAAAACCCTATTCTTCACCCATCTTCGTCATCACGGGACTCGTTAAGGCTTAGTATTGAAGTAGATAGTATAATTGTAGAGGCAACTCTTATGAGTTGCACGGGAGTCAGAAAAGAAAGTCGGGGAAGAATTATATATGTTTTTTTTTTTTCACAGTCACCGCAGAAAAGGGGTAGTAATGTACATGTTTTAAAAATAATAATAATATTACACCAATGTCTAATTATTTTGTATTGTATCAAAGCTAGACGCGCGAAGCGAAAGGGCGGTTCTCAAACGGAAATTGTGTTATGATCGCCTTGCCACTCTCGCATAAACCAACCGACAAGCTTCCATTTCAAGCAGGCTACCCTTTTGTTCGATATGTTCATTCAGTACTACCCCGCTGGTACACATTTCGTTTATTGTTCTAGTCGGGCCAAGCCCCTCGCAGCCGAGTTTCCTCCCATCCTATGTTCCTCGGGACTTTCTGAGCTCTGTAGATAGTGGAATATATTATCAAAATATTACTCATTCCAATAAATGAGCAGCAACAATGTAAGAAGGAGAAGACCAGCACGACATAGAAAGATTTGTATCAGCAGTATCTAAAGCAGGTTTTGTATCAGCAAAATCTAAAGCCTTCCAGGGAATCAAGAATTGAGACACTCCATGAAGTTAGAGAAAGCTCTTTCCACTGTTTCTGGAATTTCCCTTTTTTTTTTTTTTTTTTTTTTTTTTTTTTTTGCTTTTCAAGCACCAGAATTAAGACTTCCAGGTTCAAAACTTTTTTCCGATCTTGCCGAATATCCATTACTCAACAAATTTTACTGTTTCTTGTGCGGTGACTAGATCAATTCTATTGAAATTTATAAAACTGATCAACTAAAATAAAGAGTAAGGATTTAGTCTTCTCATGCATTTGTAATCAGAAAGTTATCAATTGGTGGTGAATTTTCATATACGAGCATCCAAAACCCCTAAAGAAAGCACAATCACATGTTAATTAAGTATTATTGGGTTGCAGGAATCGGATTCTTTGCGTGTGCCTTTCGGTGTTGGAGTGGAAATTAAGCAATTGAAGAATTCATTTTCATTTCTAGCAACCGATCACTGAACCTCTCACTCATTTGAAATGGATACGGAGAACTGGTTATGCCTATCTTGTCTCATGACACTTGCTGCAATTATCCTATCCTTTGTTGTGTTCATTAAGAAGAAGACCACGAACACTTCAGTAGCACCACCCTTGAACACTTCATTAGCACCTCTGGACACTTCTTTAAAACCTTTGAACACTTCTTCATCGTCCACCTCTCCACCTGCAGGATGGGACTAAGAAGTGTTCTTGAGTTTCAGAGGCAAAGATGCACGTACCGCGTTCACTGACTACCTCTACACCAACCTTGTGGATGCAGGAATTCACACGTTTGGAGATGATGATGAGCTTCGCATTGGAGAGAAGATTGGTCCTGAGCTTCTCAAGGAAATAGAGCACTCAAAGATATCCATCCCAGTCTTTTCCAAAGGCCATGCTTCAAGTAAGTGGTGCCTGTTTGAGCTCACCAAGATGGTTGAGTGTAAGAAGACTTTAGGGCAAATGATATTACCCATAAGCAGACTGGGAGTTATGAAAAGGCCTTCCGGGAGCACAAGAAGCATTTTGATAGTGCTACTGTGGATGGGTGGAAGGAAGCATTGAGGGAGGTTGGAGAACTGAAGGGATGGGAAGTGAACAAAGTTGCTGACGGGTAATTGCTTCTATTTACATTATTTATTGATTATGTTCTTGTTCTTTTTTCTTTTTTCTTTTTTTTTTTTCCCTCTAAACTTCAAGCTAGCACACACACTTGAAATATTGCCCAGCAGGGCTTGAACAATCAGCTTCCCTTTTGGGGATGTCCATTGTTAACTTTTCATGACTATTTTCCTCAAATGTAAACCTTACTAGGACCAACTATGAACTTTTTTGGTTATGTTCTGAAACTAGGCACTAGTTTAACTTAGTTTACAAACAATAGTTTTCACAAAATTGTCAATCAAATGAATTTTCAATGTACTTTATATTTTTCAGTTTTCTGGGAATATAAAACTATTCTCGAAAAAATAAATCAAGTAGGTCATGTATATTTATCATTTTCCCCACATATATGACATCTGTGATGCTTGGCAGGCATCAAGGAAGAGTAATAAAGATGGTTGTTTCAAAGGTATGGGGAGAGTTGAAAAGGAACTCATTGGTTGTAAATGAATGCTTAGTTGGAATTGACTATCATGTAGAAGAAATGATGAAATTGTTGAGTATTAATTCCAGTGATACAAGGATTGTGGGGATCCATGGCATGGGAGGAATTGGCAAGACCACCATAGCCAAGGTTATACTCTCCCAACATTCTGAATTATGTTGCTTCCTTGCAGATGTTAGGGAAACAGCACAGCAACACAATGGTCTTGTTAATTTGCAAAACCAACTTATATCTAACATCTTAAAACGGAATTGTTCTGACATTAGTACTATGGATGAAGGAACTAATGTAATCAAAGATGGATTTTCTGGGAAGAAAGTTCTTGTTGTCATTGATGATGTCGATCAAATAATTCATCTTCGTGCGCTTGTGGGAAAGGGTGATTGGTTTCGTTCAGGAAGTAGGATAATCGTCACAACCAGAAACAAAGATATTCTAAATCTGCCTGAGGTAGATTGGACTTATGAACCAAAGGAATTGGATTCTAATCAATATCTTCAACTTTTCTGCATGCTTGTTTTAAGACGGGACCATCCCTCAGAAGGCTATGATACTCTCTCTAAAGATGTTGTGTCCACTACTGGAGGGTTGCCTTTGGCTCTCGAGATTATGGGTTCTTTTTTATCTGGCAAGGGAAAAGCGGTGTGGAAAGATACATTGAAGAAGTTGAAAAGAATTCCGGATGGACAAGTGCAGAAGAAGCTAAGAATAAGTTACGAACCATTAGATTATTTACAACAACAGATATTTCTCGACATTGCATGTCTTTTCATTGGAGTGGATTGAAGAATTGCTTTCCACATGTGGGATGACTGTGAATTTTATCCAGAAAATGGAATTGAAGTTCTTCTTCTCATGTCCTTCGTGAAAATTGGAGATAACAATGAGCTAAGGATGCATGATCAGCTTAGAGACCTCAGTAGGGATATTGTTCATCAAGAAAATTTCAAGGAACCGGGGGAGCGTAGTAGGGCGTGGTTGCATAAGGAAGCCTCCGACATATTGGAGACTCATACAGTAAGATCCAACTGCTTCATGAATGGACGGCCCTTATTAAGCATTAATTTTCTTGTCACCTTACTAACACAATTATGTATGAACTACTCGAAAGTTGAAATAATAACTGGAATTTCCTCAAAGAGAGTGAAAATCGTCATTAATACTAATTTTTTGGGACACCATAATTATAGCATTAGTATATTTTTTACTTATCTAAAGGTTCTCTTTTGGCAGGGAACAAGAAAGGTTGAAGCTCTCTGTGTTGACTTTGGTTTAGAGTCACACGCATGCTGTCTTACAAATGAAGAATTTTCAGACCTATCTAATCTTAGGTTCCTTCAAATGGGGACTATGCAAACCTGGATGGAGATTTTAAGCGTCTTCTTTTAAAGTTAAGATGGCTTCGTTGTAACGCATGCCCTCAAATTTTTTAGACCAACCAATTTTCATCTAAAGAATCTGCTCATTATTGATTTATCATGGAGCAAGGTCACAAAAGCCTGGGAGGGTTGGAAACATATCAAGGTTTCATCAATTTCTTTCCTTTTGTTTCATGTCTCTGGTGACATAATTCTTTATAACTGATTTTAAGCAATTATATTTTCTTTTTTTTCCTTATTTCACAGATTGCTAGAAAGTTGAAAGCTCTAAATCTCACAGGTTGCAGTTACATGGTTAGAACTCCTGACTTCTCTGCATATGAAACTTTAGAAAGATTGATTCTTGAAGAGTGTGAGAGTTTGGTTCATATTGACCCATCAATTGGGTATCTTAAGAGTATAGTTTTCTTAAATTTGAAGAATTGTGCTAAACTCAGCAGGCTGCCTGTGGAATTTGATTCTGTGGAAAGTTTAACGGAACTCCTCATCGAGGGCACTTCTATAGAAGAATTCCCTGTTGGTAGAGGTGTTATGAAGAAGCTTGAAACTCTTAGTGCCACTTGTTGTGGGTCATTGACTCAAATTTCTACCTCAATCAGTGACCTAAAATCTCTTTCAGTCCTTACATTTGATCTTACAAGTATTACTGAACTACCAGACTCAATTGGTTTCCTAGTGAAATTGTGATGCTTGTCACTAAGGTGTTGTTTACAATTAAAAGAACTTCCAGACTCCATTGGGAAATTGGAATCATTAATTGAGTTGCGCTTGTTTGGAACAAGATTTACAGATTTACCTGATACCATTGGCAACCTAAAAAGTTTGAGAGTTCTTGATATTGATTATTCTTTTATAATGAAGTTACCTAGTACCATCGGAATGTTACTGAAACTTGAAGAATTACATGCCTCGCATTGTTACAATTTAAAAGGTGAAATTCCCAGTAATGTTGAGAGAGTATCCTGTCTGAGAATCTTAAGAATAGACTGTACAAATATTTGTAGCCTACCAACAAGCATTGGGCTTTCTCACCTCCAAACCCTTGATTTACTCGGTTGCAGAGAGCTTCAGTTTCTGCCAGAGCTTCCCTCAAGTCTAGTAAGTCTACGAGTCACTTGCATGTCAATGGAGACATTTCTAAACATTCCTAGCCTAATGAATCTAAAGGAGTTCTGCTTTTCTAACTGCTCTAAGCTGCTGAAAATTCCTGAAGATATTGGGAAGTTAACCAAACTGGAGACCTTGACCTTGTATGGTATTAGCATTAGGATCCTGCCAATGTAGCTTGGTGCCCTTTCTCGGCTTAAGGAGCTCACTATTCAAAATTGTGAACAACTTCAATGCCTTCCAACTCTTCCCTCAAGTCTGTTCAAACACTTTCTTCAAGTTTGTGATTCAATGAAAAGGTTGCCAGATTTGTCAAATTTTAAAATTTTATCAGAACTAATGCTTGGACAATGCTCAGAGTTAAGGGAATTCATGGCCTTGGAAGATTGGAACTCTTAACAAGTTTGGATCTATCTGACTGCATAAAAGTATCTATGCTTGAAGGGCTTGAACAGCTAAGATCTTTAAGATACTTGACCACATCATGGTGCGAATCACTAGAGACATTACCAGATCTTTCAAACTTAAAGAAGTTGAGGAAATTAATTCCTTAGCATTGCAAGAATCTGAATGAAATTAGGGGCCTTGACAGATTGGAGTCCTTGGAACGCTTGAAAATGAGTAGCTGCATATCCTTGGAAAGACTGCCTGATCTATCAAACTTGGAAATGCTATAAGATTTAAACCTCACCCGGTGCCAGAAGTTACATGAGATTGAGGGTCTGGAGGCTTTGAAATCCTTGAAGTTGCTGGACTTGTCATTGTGCATAGCCTTGGAGAGGATACCTGATCTGTTGAGACTAAAAAATTTAGAGGAATTACAACTTTGTAATTGTGAGAAAATTAGTGAGATTTAGGGAAGGAACTGAAATTTTTAAAATTCTTGGACATTTCTGGATGCAAGTCACTAGGAAAATTTCCAGACATTTCCAACATAAAAAAAGTAAAGCGTTGAAAGCAAAATTTCAGGATGTCAGATTTTAGAGTTTAACATGCGCCCTGATGGCATGGTAATTATCTATTTTCTGCTAACCTATGTTGTCTTTGTTTGATCATTTTTTTCCTCAACTGATAGTTAATTGTGATTTGTTTTTCTCTTTATTTTTCAGGTAATTGATGAAACATCCATGTCAGTTATTAATTATCATTGCAGAAGGTTGTTGAACACTAGTATTTATGCAGTTGTAATTTAGGTCATTTTGGTTTTTATTCCTATATTATATGGTTGATTAGGAGCATGGTAGCATCTGCTGTGTATTTTAGAACTGTTTGGATTCAGTACTTTCAGGGACACATTGTCATAATAAAGATTAGTAAACACATGATTAACCTTCCTGCATTCATGCTTAGTAACCACATTTTTTTTTACATTTACCAAGAAAAATACAAAAGCCTTGCAATAAGATTAATTCTACAGCCCAAAAGTAAAGTAGAGATTTTTATTTATTTATAAGGTAAAAGTGGAGAGTTTTATATTATTCCACACGATTCTCTTCATAATGATTAAATTACTGCTGAAACTCTTTTTGGCTACAAATTTTTACTAACACCCTAACTTCTCAGGGTTAGATGCATCCTCTCTTGATATTGACGTATTGTGGTTCTTGTATTACTTGAGAAGATTGAAAGTGGTTAGCTCTCCTTGCCTTTATTCAAACTAAATGACAGAGCTGTCTTTTCTACATTGAATCCATTGAAACTGCAGATATTTTATAAATAATTTTCCTATTTTTAAATGGTGAGATGATAAAACCACTACTCTTTTATGTTCTTACTGCTTCATTTGGATAAATAACAGCTGTCTATCTACATTGAATCATTTGAAACTGCAGATATTTTATAAATAATTTTTTTATCTTCAAAAGGTGAGATGATAAAACCACTACTCTTTTATGTTTTTGCTGCTTCATATGGATGATTTGTTTCTTTAACCCTTTTCCTAAAAAGTATACTCTTTTTAATAGATTCTTCTTCTATTACATTTGTTCAGAAAAATAAATGGAATGGAACTGTATTTCTTAGTTTTACTTTATAAAATAATAAAAACAAAAAGAAGAAAAATTAAACCATCAAAAAATCTGAATGGAAGTTTATGAATTGATGGTTTTATAGGTCTTTCCGTATGAATTTCTCAATAAATTGTGCGTTATGCTTAGAAGAGATTAGGATGATACTGAGAATGAGACAGAACAATTAAACAGAATGGTTTACAAGATTGATTGATCACTATATTTTGCTCACTTTGGACAATCATTTCAGTTCTCTTGTTCAGTGCTTGTACTGTTCACTTTTGTTATTGGCTTTCGTATTGTTCAATGCTTGATTAATATGTGTAACCAGTGATGACTGTGTAAATAGTATATTACTAGATCATAGATCTCTAAATGCTTGCTTCATTTCCTATAACTAAATTCAACAATTAATTTTGAATGAATTAATGTTGCATTTGGGAGCACCAAATCTGTGCTTTGGATTTGTGATCGGAGGAAATTTAGTTCAAACAATTTCCTCCAATCCCAAATTCAAGCGGCCGATTTGGTGCTCCCAAACACAACATAAGTGTGTTTGATAAAGTATTTTGAATATCCTTTCAAGAAATAAGTGCTACTTAAATTGAGGGTTGAGCGGTATTTTTGGTTGCTGAATCGAAGTTTTCGTTTCCTAGATTTGGTTGCCGTTAATGCCCATCCATCTTTGGTGCACTTGATTGTTGAAGCCGTGACGGTTTATTTTTTCTGATGTTGCTGCCGGGGACTCTGCATTGGTGTCATTTCACTTGTTATGCTCTTCAATTGTCTTCTTTCAAATTTGATGATACTGCTGCTCTTCATTTGACCTTTGGTCTCGTCTTTGACCATTGCTGCTCTTGACTAGTCTTTGGTCTCACTTGAATGATGCTGCTGCTCTTCAGTTCACCCCTGGTCTCATCTTTGACTGTTGCTGCTACTGACTATTCTTTGGTGTCACTTGGATGATGCTGCTATTTTTGTTATCATTTTGACTTGTGCTGCTCTCTAGTTGGCTTTGGTGGTGTTATGGGATGCTGCTGCTTCTCTTCGCTTGTCTTTGGTCAATTTGGCAGATCTGACGTATACTATTGTGCTTAATTTCTTCAGCCTTGTAAATTGTACATTTGTCAGTTTGATAGCCTGCTACAGTTTGGGCTATATATTGTCTGTAGCATTTTGATATTTACTTTTGTATTTTGTGTATCCAATGTTATATCAAATGCACTTCTTTTCTTTTCTTTTTTTCTCTTTTTTTTTTTTTCTTTTTTTTATCTTTTTTTTTTCATGCACAATGTGTATAAGTTTTTGGACTTATAGTATCAGTACATTACACAGTTGTATGTTAACTGAGATTATACAAAGCAGTTATTGTTCTTGTCAAATGGAGTTAATTCAATATTCTATTCAATGCATGTACAACAGTTCCCATTCTTATAATGTTTTTCTTGTCAAATTCCAATTTCCAGGTGTTAATTCTATTTTGTTGAAAATGCATGTACAAGTTCTCATTGCTTGGTTCGATTATTGTTAATTGTAGTAGCCAAACTATTGTCATAAGGTAGGACCATGGCACAGAAGGCACAGTTTCAGTCAAAGGCTAGCCATTTGTTTTTGAAATAGCCAATACTCTCAGCTATTGTAAATTCCACCCTTGATCAAACAAGTGAAAAATGCATGTACAGGTTCCATTGGTTGTTCTTATCACCCATTTCATTCAATCTGATGAAACATTTGAATGCATTGTAAAGATCAATCAAGCATTTCAAACTGATATACATGTCTCATTTGATATATATATATATATATATAAATCTGTGGCGGGAGCGGTTTTTCATGCCTTGTACAACATGGAATGCGATTTCTGCTGTCCCAAAATGGTACAGCTTCAAAGGCAATGACCATCTCCGACAACTCAAGTTTGGCAATTTTTTGGCAGACTTTTTTCCTTGTGAATGCAAGCTTTTCATGTCATTCCTTTTTCATTGTGTTCTAAAACAAAGGAAGGCAAAAGAAGCACAGCCAACACCAAAATCAGGACTCATGTACAAGACTTGAGATTATTGTCATCCATGACTTCCTCAATTGTAATAAATCGGCCCTTCTCTATTGAAAGCTGTGCTGCAACTCCAATAGCAACTGAAATCAACCCATCCTGCAGATCTACCGCAGGTGCTTCGATTCCTTTAGCTCTAATTGCCGACAAAAAGTTGAGGTGTTCCAAATAGCTAGACCCATGATGCAGCCCGTTGTATCTGATGAGCAAATTGATAAAGAGGCATGTTAAAGAAGCAGCTAAGACGAAGAAAATTGAGGTTCCCGTTGGCATTATAATAGTTTGAAACAATTGAAACTTGGAGAGGAAAAAAAACCCACTTTATTCGATCATCCTCAGCTTTTACAGTTTGGACACCGTCTATTCCATCCACTCGAGTACCCACACGCACAATACTCTCTGGAACAAAGGCTTCACCCTGTAAGCAGCTCAATTTTTTTTTTTGGTCAAAGAATCAAAATGAGGATTAAATGAAATATAGCATAATCAAAGCAATAGAGAAGGAAAAACACAGAATTGAAGTTAGATGGTGGGGATGGTACACAATGTGCCCAAAATGGAATATGTTACATTTTTACAGATAACCCAAACCCAAATACTCATTATCAGCATCACGTGCCCAAATAGAAAGAGAGAGTTACCTTCCCAATATCACCCACTACAGAGATCTCTTGCTCATTTTTGCTCCCTTCAGCAAACATACAAAGGTCGAGCATGCCCCGAGAACCATTATCAAATTCGACAATCACATACGCATTGTCAATAATATCAGGCACCTGTGGAAGAAACAAATAGATAGTGACCAGATGACCACAAGGAAAAAAATACAGTATTCCCAGTTTACCATTTACTAGGTATTGGGAAAAAAAAAATTTTAACTCAAAATTTCAAAAAACAAGAGAGATCCAAGTACGGAATAGCTAATGTTTGAAGTCCCCAGCTATCATAATTATTTCTTGTCACGGTTAAATGTATATAGACTTAGTTCACTAATCATTATGAAGTTGAAAAGAATATACTCCATTGAATCAATACTTTAAAGAGAAACAGAGAGAAATTAAATCCTTGATTGAACCGTATAAGAAGTTTGAATAAGCCCATAAGCTGATCAATATCAAACTTAGTCTTAAGATGAGTAAAATAACTCATTACAGAGAAGCCTTGGCATGGCACTGAGAAGGTTCAATTCTCGTAACTTAAACTAATATAACCAATATCAATGAAGTTCGTTCTTTCAACCACAAGGGGCATCACATTCTGCACCATTAAGATGGGATGAGGTCATGGCACTTGGGCCCCATAAGGCGATTACTGATTGTACAAGCTACAAAACCTCTTTGTACTCCGGCAAGCATGTGCTATCATATCCTATGAATTGTTTGGTAACTATCATCAATGTCCTGGTTGAAATGGAAATGTTAGCTACTAGGTAGCTAACTGATTTTCACCATCCAGAACCACCAGAAAAACTGCCACACATTTCCCAAATCTGTAAGCACTGTTAGCAATTCTACACAAACAGAACTTTAAACGCTTCGGTTTCCAGATTCCAACTATAGTTCTTCAACTCGTTTGGCATCTCATTCTACACCTTGGAATTGAAATTAAGAAAACTAGTTTAGATTGGAATTAGTGTTTGCCAATTTCAAGACGTGGACTCACAATGCTGAACACAGCACAAGTGAAATTAGAAAATCTGCTAACACTTCATGTAAGTGAACTACAGTTTAGGTCAGTTTAGCAGGAAACAAACCCGGAGTTATAGAGTTGGGTTCTACTACTCATACTCTATAAGATGAAATCCTTGCCCCGCGCTAGTTAGCTAACAACATGGTCTTTGCAAAATGAGCTAAGCTTTAGATGCGTTTAGCTTGTGCTGATTTTAAGCAGAGGAAATAAGGCATGCCCATGCTGGATTGACTCTCTTTTCTTGACTACTGGTGATTTATACTCTTGTGAACTGTTTTAAGAGGGTGCACATGTGGGTGTGTATCTGCATTTTTGAACTTCTCGTGGATCTTGGGTCGTATAACCCCTCCCAAAATACTATCATATAGCTTTACCATTTCTCCATTATCATGCATATAAAGTAGATCGTTATATTCTAGATTTCTAATGAAAACTTACCTTCTCATCATATATTTCATCTTTGTGATTAACATCAATAGCTCCAGAAGCCATCACACGAACAGGATTTGCACCTACAAACAGCCTCATCAGATCAAAAAAGTGGCAGCACTTCTCCACCAGAGTCCCCCCAGTGTTACAATTGAACCGGTTCCAATTGTTGACCTATAACAAGCACAAGAAAATAAGATTAATAGCTACAAGGGCTGGAACGAAAACTACAACTTTCCTAAATTACCTTAACCAAGAAAGGAAATCGATGTTCCCTGATTGCCACCATCTTGACCAGTCCTAGTGTTCCACACTTAACTATATCTATTAGCTTAGCAACAGGCGGCATGTATCTGTACTCCAGTCCAACTTGTACCAGAATATCTGGTCTTCTTTTAGCAGCCTCTATAACCTGATTCCAGTATTATATGCTTAATATACGTTTAGATCATATAACTTACGGAGAGAAGAAAAGAAGAATGAAGCATGTGAGAAATTCAATGTGACACAACATCCAGAGGAAGCAATTCGTATACATCTAGTAGCAAGTTAGAAAGTAAATGAGTGTGCGCACGGTGTAACCATGTAAGCACAAATGTATAAAATACATGTCGCAGGCATATAAAAAAACATATCCAAGCTTCCAATTTAATGACAAAACATCATTCTATACTCAAGTAATATTTGCATCAAAATTGAATGCAATCTCGCAAACAGACACCAATAATTGCTTGCACATATTTTTCCAATTTCAATACCAGACAGAGTTTTTGTAACTGAATATATCTGCAGTCTATGACCAACCTGCAGATTAGTAAACATATATTGAAGACAGTGTACACTATCTGGTTGTCAGAAAGTTGACACTTAATAATAGTCAACTAGGGCCAGGGCATGTTCCCTAAGTTTTGGGGAAAAGTCCTGAAGCACATGCAACTTTATCAATAAGTGTTTGTAATATTACGCAACACAGTACAAATATTACGCAACACAGTACAAATAATAGAAGTGTTAATTGAAAATCATTCCCACATTTTGCACAGAATTCCACAATAATTAACCAAAACGAGAAGACAACATTTGCTTGTTCATTCCTGACACTAATTGCTCGTCTTAAATTATAATTACAATTGTTTGCAAGATGTTTACTGATTTCTGTCATTACAAAGGACTAAATATTTGTTGACCATATATACCCTGTTAATTCCCAAAATTCACAATTCTTTCACTCCGAAAGGAGAGGAAAGAAAATCCAGAATCCCTGCCATTAAGTTCGTAGTCTAGTCATCTTAAAGTGTTTACAAACAGGCTTGAAAAATGCTCTCATGAAGCATGTCTCTTAATTGGTAGATATACGACAATACACACGCACTTGCATACGCAGGCACGCGCACAATGCTGGGGTATTTCTTAAATGCAGTGCTAAAATATTGGTGTTCAGCTACAGCTCTCACTTGTTTGATGCCCAAGCACACTAATAAGTTCAATATGATGGAAGTAATTGAGGTATTACATCACTGACCTTTCTACAGTCCATGACTGTTGTGCACAAAGGCTTCTCCACTAGTACGTGATGTGGTTTTGGATGGTTGATGATATCCATTAGGATTTCATAATGAGTCATGTTTGGGGTCGAAACAACCACTACATCACATAGCCCACTGTCCAACAGCTCTCGATGTCCTGAAAAAACCTTTACAATACTCAAAATTAATAAATAAGTTAAATAACTATAAATCTTGAGGTTAATTTTGTAGCACTTGAATCAGCTGAAATTTAGAGTTGCCTGATAATGATGAGCACAACAGGTTCAAGTCAAGTTATAGGCCTTTGCAGTGTGATCAACTGTGAATTTTAGTTTTCAGAGCAACCAAATATTGAGAGGTAAGTTTTAAATTTCGATGTTTCCACACCTCAAATTTCGATTTCAAACTCTCTTAAATAAAATTTTACAAATTGAATTCACTTATGTAGTTATATGACAGAATTTTAGCATAATATAAAAGCTAAAAAGCGTATCAAACATTGGATACCAGATGTATTAAAATGACATGTGCCTTGGATCAGTATTCGACATCTAATATTGTAATTAATACCTCCAAAACTAACCAATAACAGTAAAATCATACAATAATAATATTGTTTCAACATGATTTTTTTTCTTTTTACTCTTAACAAAAAATCAGCATATGACGTGTTATAATTCAATCAAGCATTGAAAAAGAACAAAAGATACAAAATAATTCAATGACAGTAATTTATTTGCTAACACTTGCTCCATACTGACGCAAAGGTTACATGTTCAAAACCCAAAACAGTTTCGCATACATCTATCTATGCAATGACACGAGCTTCGTGCACTGCACTAGTTCATTTGACAAGCTATAGATACAGAATTATGTGAGAATGATGGTTGACTCAGATACCTTTAAAGGCCAGTTGAAGGACTCTGCTAAATTTAGGGCAAGTTGTTGAGAAAGGTCGTGTTGATCGGCGATACAAACGACGGCGACTCCTTGATTTCGAAGATGATAGAGATTGATGAGGTGTTCTCTTCCCATCATTCCCACTCCGATGATTCCATATTTTACTGATCCATTTGCCATTGGAGTTTCTTCTTGTTATCTTTGAACTCGCTCAGCTGTCTCTCTCTTCCCAAGTTCCGATTGTTTGGCCGGTGTCTTTTTCGCTTCTCGGGTAAGTAGTTGGGGTTGATTGAATTTTAATATAACGGTTTTGTCCGTTACTTGGATTTGATTCATTGAATATAGTCAGGTTTCAGTACTTTTCAAGTTCCACGATCGAGGTGGGTTCCACATGTGATCCATTTGCTTTGCCCAACGGTGTAATTACAGGAAAAAGTATGATGGCCTGCTCATCATTGCAACCAGTAAGTCGGTACAAACCGATGGTTCGAAATAAACTTGTCAATTGATGGTATATGAATTTGAGAAAAAAATTCCATAATGCTCGGAATCTTCCAACCTGTTACCTTAATAAATAAACATAAATTATAAGTAATTCAATCCTATTAAAAATATATTATTACATTATAATATATTATACGTTAAAGCCGAAATTAACACAATTCGGGATAACATCATTCTCTTATAAAGAAGATGGGAGAAGATCGATGAACTTTAACGGACATCGGTGTGGTGCCTGTCAAAGTTAGTCATTGAAGGTCTAAAATAACGACAATGATTTAATATGATATTTTTTATCATACCTGATTAACTAGTAAGGTCGTGTTATTATAGTTGACGTTCCCTTGGTTCGTTGCAAGACGTTTGTTGGGGAGATTATCTGCTACTTAAAATTAAACTTGTACAATCTTGGTTATTTTTACCTCTTTGACCCACTTTATTTTTATCTTATCTACTTATCTAAATTATCCTTATCACCGTATATATGAATGTTATATATATTAGTTAGCTACTAGTATTAAATTTATATATATAATTATTTATTACCATATTAATTTGATTACTTAGTTATATTATGCACCATCGTATATGTTAACAATTTTTGGTGCTTTATATTTATGGTACAAATAAGTTACAATTTTGACTCTATAAAGGGAGTTATTAAGGATGGCAGCAGGGGCAGGTTTGGGCGGGTGTACCCTCCCCCGCCCATAACCGTTTAAAAATTCCTCCCCTGTCCCCGTCCAAAACTGTAAAAACGGATAAACTTTTCACCCTATCTCCGTAACTATTTAATATTTTTACCCCGCGGGTACCCGTCCCGCCCCGTTTAAGACCATAATTTATTTATTGTTGAAATAGATTTGCTCTTTTTTTTTTCCGCTCATCTTCAATTCTTCACCATTACAACTTTCCTTCTAATCAAATTCATTTGTTATTTTAATATTGTTATTTAGGGTACTTAATATATAATTGAAAATATATATACTAATGAAATAAGGGTATTTAAGTAATTTGCCTATCTAAATAGGGCAGGGCGACCTCCCCTGCCCAAATAAGCAAAACGGTCCCCCAAAAATAGGGCGGGGTGGGCCAGGTAATTGAGGGGTAGGTTAAATTGCCATCACTAGGGGTTATCATATTTATGTGAGAAAGATATACATGATATATTAGGGTGTGACTATGAGCATGATTCGCAGTATTGTTTACGGTCACGGTGTAACGAATTCGGACAAAGTCAGTGTAAACTGATTTGAGAATTCATTCCTTTTTGATTATTGAGTAATATTTTCATATTGAGTTTAGGGTAACATCGACACGAGGTTGGTCTATACACACTTGTTTTATGTGGATGTGCCCATAGAAGACCACTGGGGATATGAGTGGTATCTTGGAGTAGTAATGGTCTCTATTTGCACTTGCACATAGGTCATACGATTTTAGAACAGTGCTTGCAAGCCTCTCATTATCCAAATCAGTTCTTTCCTACTTAATTTATTATTATTGTTTCTTGATTTTATTATTGAATTCATATTATATTATTAAGTAATTTGTTATATATAAATTCTATTACTTATTGTTATATTCATGTGTACTTAAATTAATGTATTATTAACTCATTTTATTGAAAATCATTATTGTTCCTTGATGTATTATTTGTTGATGATTCATGAATAAAATTTGTTAATTTATTCGTAATTTGTTATAATTATATCAAATTCTCCAACACTAAGAACCCAAATCCATTTGGGGTTATATATGTTACATTATGTGTATATACATGTTATATATAGAGAGAGTAAATGAGTAAGGAAAGAGATTGAGAGAAAGGAGGAGGAGGAGGTGGTGGTGGTGGTCAATGATATATAGAGAAAAAGTGAGTAGAAAGAGTGAGAGAGGAGAAACATGAAAGGTAATATATGACATTAGCAAAATATGTTATTGACTTAAGTTGATTATTACAGGAAAAATTTCTTATAATTTTACAAAGAGAGGTCTTTATAATTATAATAAATTATAGAGAGATAATTTATTCTTAAATAAATTGTCACAATAATTCAACAAAATCGTACGTAGTACTATTCTTTTTCATTTTCTTTTCCTTATTTTTTTTTAATCGAAAAAAAAAAAAAAAACGCCTAACTTTCCGAACAAGAAAAAAAAAAAAAATTACACCTACGGCGATGGTTGGGTTCGAACAAAAACACAGCCACAAGACAAAACCCTCCCCTCTCTCTCCCTGAACTACTTGCAGCCAAAAAGAATGAAATTTAGGGTTTATCAGAGATTCTCCCTCTTCGCGCTCAACACACGTCTCAATCATCTATATCGACAGCGTCGCTGCTTCACTTCATTTTTCCGGAAGGCACAAATCACTCAAGCTCCTAGAGCTTCCATCAATGGCGGAAGTGGTGGCAGTTCTCAAGGTCGTTTCTCAACCCCATAATTTCCCACATTGTTCCGTTTGGACAGTAAGAAAATGTTAGAAAATAAAAGAAAATGTTTGGAAAGAAATTAAGCATCCATAACCGATAAGTCTAACAATATGCACTCGACTAAGCCCAAGACAACAATATTAGGTGTTTTTTTTGGGTACAAGTTTCTCGGCAACCAAACAGAGCTTTCTCTGTTGCTGATTTTCTTAATACTTTCTTACAGTTGTTATCACTTACACTTTTCTTAATGCACACACAGCTAGAGTTTTTGATGAATCATAAGAAGTTCATTTATTTTTTTGGGCAAATTGTGTAAAAAGTCAAGATTATAAAATGTTTGTGTCCAAATTTGGCAGAACATATGGCATTTCAGCATAATGATATTCTGTGGAAAACCAGAGAAAGGGAATTATGTGACATGCACTTATAAAAGCATGATTTTTCATTAACTGTTTATCCTTCACTTATTATCTATTTTGCTGTGAAGATCATTATTGATTTTGTTTGCAGGTAATCCTTTTCTTTTGCCTGGTGCAACTGTGGCAACTATACTGATGCTTGGCACTCTTCATGCTCGTCGTCTCTATGTTGACAAAAAGGTACAAGGCACGCATACACCTACATAACGCATAATGATTAGCAGATGCAAACAAGACAGTAAGATATTCTTGTAAACTTCGTTAAAATATCATTTTGTTGGTCAATTTGTCCTCTCTGTTGTAATGATGAATAAAAGATTTGTTAAGTGACCAGATCCTTTAGTTGTTTAGTTCAATCGGATTAACAATTCTTACGATAAAACATTTGAAGTTTTGAACTTGCTAGTTGCTGTTAAACTTTATTCTTACGACTAATCTTTCTACTGTCAATACTAATTGAACGCAAATTCTGCAGATTTGTGAAGAACATCTCTCTCTCTATATATTCCCTTTTGTTTCTTTCTCTTATTTTGCAACTTTTTGTTTTCCTTCAATAATTATCTGCTTCCAGTTTACTGATCAAAGGGTTAAGAATTTCTCTGCAACATTAATCTGGTAGGTTATCGGCTTCCAGTTTACTGATCAAAGGGTTAAGAATTTTCCATCTGCAACATTAACCTTACCAGAAGTTAATTATGCTTTCTTGGGTCAGCTATGTGAATCCTTGTTTACGACTTAGCTCTTTTTTAAGAGCCATATTGTCTGTTAAACTATTGGCAGTCATCTTGCTTATCTAAAATTATGGTAATCGTGTCTTTCTTGCTAAATTGACCCACAATCACATCGTTTTTCAGCTTTTCAACTTGAATCAGGCAGTCCATTGTACTAATGCATTCAATACAGCCAAGTCCCCTGTAGTAAATGCACTTGCTAAAAATTTTTGAGGATTCCTTTTCATATGAGACAATTATTCTCTTGTTCTTCTTCTCTGTTTTTTTTTGGTTGGCTGCATATATTTTACAGCTGGCTGTCTATTTTCAACCACACTTCTTTTCACAGCCTTGGAGATTGCTTACTGAAGGTTGACACACTAAATAAAAAGGGTGGATTTAACAAGCCCTCTTTCTGATGGTTGAAGTAAATGATCTATGATGCTTTTTTTTTTTTTTTTTTAGCATTATGAATGACATTAAAGACAATTGTGGTACATTTTTTTTGGGTAGAATTTTAGAAATTGTTGGTGAATTACTGCCATTAACCTTTATATATATGTTTTAACCTTTGGCGTGCATTAAGTTAAACTTTTTACATGAGAACCTATGAGGTGGATATGGTGAGTTTGTATACTTTCCAAAAAAGAACAAAACGTTGATTCTGTTTCGAAATTTTCGGTTGGTATCAATAATTACTCTTAAAATTGTACTGGTCACTATACTTATATGGTGAGTTTTTCTACCCAATTATTAGTGATATATAAGAGGTAATTTTATTTGTTCCATTTTCTAGTTGAAATTTTCACCATATTCTCGATGTTAGCCATTTATCGTGCTGCAACATATCTCAAATTCTACCTCCCTAAAAAAACTTTTGACAATTTCTCTGTGTCATGTTAACACCCTTAGCTGTTTATATTGCAATGCCAGGCATATTGCCTGTGACCTCATTCTAAAGTATTCAGTGACAGTGGCCTTTCTTGGATTTTTTGCAGTTGTTTTTGTGTATTTGTCCACTTTGAGTGTGGGCAATCCTCACCTGATTTTATAATGCATGTTTCTAGGATACCACCACCTTGTCCCTATCTTCTGCTGCCTGCTCCAATCCTACTTGTTACATTGCGATCATCTTATTTTCCTTTCGTGTTACTCATCCTAAATTGAAAATATATTTTGAATTATCATTTGATCTTGAATCTTTATCATTATTTAATCACTTTATGTATTTTTTATTGAATTTATGTTTAAATTATATTGAATTTACATGTTATGTTAAATCATCAAAATGGAGTTTCTTTTCTTTTTGAATTTTTTTTAACAATAATTATTGTGATGTAGTCATTCATTTGCTGAACTTTTTTGCTTCTTGGGAGACAGATCGAAGAGGCAAGGGAGAAAGGAATTGAATTTGAGTTCCAACCTGATGTAAAAGTAATTTGCTTACATTCATCATCTCTAGCCTTTTTGTTATGTAAAAGTAATTTGCTTACATTCAGTCGTACAAATTTTTTAATAGTCATATCTAACCTATGACAAAATCTGGCCAACTTGTCGATTTCAGGCTACCTTTCTAAGGTTTCTACCTCTGCGCTCCATTTCAAGATTTTGGGGTTCCTTGACCAGCGTGGTAAGTGTTCAGTTATTTGAAAAGCTAAAAATTTGTTGTCGTTGATTTATTTATTTTTAATTGATATACGATGTTTGTTCTTCTTTTTTATCCCCTTTCATGATGACGACCTTTTAAGTACTCTATATAGTACGCACATAGCTGTGAAACCACATAATGTGGACATGAAGACATGTCATATTCTAAAAATTAGATTTGGACTTGGATTAGAGATGAGATGGCAATAAATAATTTTTTTGTTGTTTATGTGGGATTTTGGTTGATTTTTTCATATTTCTATTTGAATAATTGCATAACTCAGAGCTGAAGCTCAAGAAGTATTATATAACACATATATATCACTTAATGCTTACATTACCACTACTTGACAGAGGCTATGGCCTTAAATAGAGCGGAATGGAAACATAGGGTTCATGTAGCCAACCCCAAGTAATTGGGAAAAGGCTTGGTTGTTGTTGATTACATTACTCCTACTTATCATACAACTATATTTATTCTATGTAGAAATGTACTTCCTCTGTGACTCCGTCCCAATTTAATTGTCCCATTTTGAGATTCCAAGTATTTAACAGCACATGCGTTTATTGTATTGTTTCCTTTTGAAATTCCCAAGTAACCCTTTGATGTTTTTCAAAACTTGAAAGATATTTTTGGAAAGATGTAGTTGTACTTTTCAAATAGGACATGAAATTTGGGACAGCCAAAATTAGTCTATTAAAACAGGGACAGTTAATTTGGGACGGAGGTAGTACATCTGATATTACATTTATTTTAGGTATGTGTGTCTCTCTCCGGTGCATCTCTGCTGCTCCCAAGAAGTCTCCTGCTTCATGGGAAGAAATTAACTATCATATTAGAATCGAGTCACTTCATCATAGATGTCAGGTTGGTGTTAAAGCCTTATAATTACTTGTACATGTTTTTTATTTTAATAATGTTAATTACATTAAAATGTTATTAGGATAACTTGATGGAAAATTGATAGTTTGTATTTGATAGGAAAGGAATAATATCATAATATAATTTTATGATACTCAACATTTGTAACATATTTTCATGTCATATTCTATCTTCTATTTAAAATGAAGGCAGTCACATCTTAAAAACACACAAAGTCACAGTCTGATCCAGGCTTTCAGTTTATGAATGGCACATCTTCGACACTTAAATTTGTTGAGTAGCAACTAAGGCTCAAATCAGTATTATGAAAATCAATATGGAGTTATGCATAAGAGGTCAATGGTGGAAGCTAGCTATAATGAGGAGATTCAAGGAAAATTGTTAAGAGAAGAAAGGATATAAAGATGGAGTTCCGCATTCATGACTTGGGTAATACCTACAACTAGGTCCTTAGAGTTATGAAATGGTTTGTTTAGAAAAGAAAGGAGTTCCTAATATAAAGATATGGTAGAAGGAATGAAGAGTATGACGAAGTTGCGCATAGTAAGAAAATGAGATGGACAATTCTCAATATTTGTTTGATTTACATCCGAATGAACATTAAGCTCTAATATTCTTATCTTAGTTGGTGTTGAATCAACTTTAGTTATGGATGAATGAACTAGACACATTCATGTTGAGAAAAACTATGAGTGATGATACTGTTTTAATAATGAAACTGAAGTAGAGTAAGTGACAAATTAGAACTTTGAAACTTTAGAATGAAAAGATCTTAATATAAGTAGGACCAAAATAAGAATATGTGGGATCTACGTCTTAATAAGATGAATATTGCAATTTAGCTTTAGCATAAATAGCGATAAAATGGAAAGTAGTGTAAAGATTGATTGCTAAGAGATACTAAAGGATAAACATTTTTTTTTTTTACATGCTTGATACTTCATTATGGGCTATTGCCTAGTGCAGTGGTTAAATGCTCTGGCTGTCAAGTGTGAGAATGTGGTTTTGAAACCTTGAGAACGGACACTTTGTGCAAGTAATGTTTACTCCTCCTAGACTGTCAATTAATATTGACCGTACAGGGTAAAGACTCGGCTTGATACTTCTTTGGCGGAAGGAGATTGGTGGGATGTTGCTCAAAAAATTGTAGTATTTGTCAATGGAAGGAGTGTTCTAGAGTATTGCAAAATTGGTGTATAACTGCAAGGAAGATTTAGTGTGACTGCTATATGACCAGCCATGCATGCTTTGTAGAAAAGAATTTTGAGCAGTTAGTGACATATAAATGAAATGAGCATGTCTAAATTTTGTTGATATGGACGTGTAGAAGGATTAAATTATAAATAAACTGCATATGGGTAATAGGATGGGGGGTGTTGAAAGATATAAAAGATGAAGAGAGAAATCAAACATGAAGAACACAAGAATATCACGTAGTTCAGCCACTGGGACTTACATCCACGACACACAAAGCCCAAAGGGCTACATCTCTTTCATTACATTCTCTCTTAATTTTTGTATACAATGATCACCTCTATTTATAGGTGAAAGAATACAAGTGATAAATATGGAAAATGCATTGGTGGAGGATTCTTATAATAAATCCCATAAATCGCTCCCATCGTGCAAAAAAAAAAAAATCACTCCTGTTGTCCAATCAATATTCTATCATTGGCTAAAATCACTCCTATAATATTCTCATATCAATATTTTGTTAAGGAGTAATTTAAGGGTTTCTATAATAAGATTCTCCAACACACCCCCTTAAGTTGGTACATGGAGATTTCAACTCAAGTGTCCAACTTAAAACTAAATATGAAGTTGTTGAGAGTTTGAGACGAGTTTATCTGGAAATCCGAGACAAGTTAATCCAATTATCCGAGACGAGATTAGTTGATCCGAATATCCCAGACGAGCTGAGTTGATCCGAAGATCCAAGATGAGTATAGTATAGAGTAGGGTATGATAGACCTGTTCTTATACCATGTTGAAAGATATAAAAGTTGAAGAGGGAAATCAAACATGAAAAACATAAGAACATCACTTAGTTTACACACAAAGCCCACAGGGCTACATCTCTTTCATTACATTCTTTCTTAGTTTTATGGAAAATACATTAAGGGGATTCTTATAATCAATTCCATAAATCACTTCAATCAATATTCTATCACGGGCTAAAATCACTCATATTGATATTCTCATATCAATATTTTGTCTATGGAGTAATTTAAGGGTTCCAATAATAATATTCTCCAACAGTGGGAAATGGGTATAACATCAATTAGAGATACCAGTATAATAGAGAAAATCAATAAGAATGCTTTGTCAGATGCAAAGAAGACTAATTTTCAGTAATGAGGAAGAGTCCTGTTTGGCATTGGGAGAAATACTGACAAACGAAGTACCAAAATAAACTTGTTTCAGGATGTGAGGAGTGACATTGTGGTGAGTGGTTGTTAGTCCAAGACATTAGACTACATAAATAAATTAATAGCTAGCCGCTAATAACTAGGACTCTCAACAAATAAATTAGTAGCTAACCCCTAATTGTCGTCATGTTTATTAGCTTAGTCATCACCCTAAAGATCATTGAGCTATGGCTTTTGTGGTTTGACACTCGTTGGAAACTTAAAGCATGGGGCATCAAGAATGTAATTGTTCATATGCTTACGTAGTTAGTATTCTGGAAACCATTTGGTTGACAAACTGGTCTAGAATTTGAGAGCCAAACAGTTGGATCCTGAAAAATATTAGCAGCTCCTAAAAGGTTGCATCAAACATGTCTTTTCTTGATAAATGAAAAAATTGAAATTCTTGACATTCATATTTGCTGTGATCTTTTCTGGCTATTTAAATTTTGAATCATCTTCTTGCATGTGGCTAACATTTTTCCTGTAATTTTTTAATATTGCGTTACAGTAATATGGCTATCTTATTATTGTATTTTGGCCTAGTGGTTATTGGAGCCACTATGGAGCAGTTGCCTTGAAATCTGATCTATCTATCAATGAAGGACATGTTTGTCTTATTAGGATTATGAGTTAACTTCTTACATGTTTTAGATTAGTCAAACTTAAGTAATAAAGTAAACTTATGTGTTTTGAAGGTTTTTCCACGTTAAATCTTGGTGTCCTAATGTCAGTCGTAAAATTTTATATTCACTTGGATGAATGTTTAGTGGCCAATATGAAGTTCAAGCTTTTATAAAGAACAACACATATTTATATATGACCTCCTTTTTACCCTTTTAAAATTCCAATTCTGGTCTTCATTAGAGCCCGGTCAGATGCTGCAATCCGTCATTCATATATAGTAATCAAATATATGCAGATGGATCAAAGATATCAAATTGGATAATATGAAGTTTTCAGGGCAGACTCTATCCGCTTCCTATTTCTCCATTTGCAGCCACCCTCTTCTCCCCTGAGTTATTTGATGCCCGCATCTCATCGACCAAGAATTGTGTCCTTAACATTAATTATCTTACTTAGGGCATGTTCTTTTACTTCCTGTTTTCTACTGTCAATTTCTAAAAACGTAAAGTAAAAATCATGTTTACTAATGTAATTTTACTTTTCAACTTTAAGAAAGTAATTCCTCTTTTAATGAAGAAAAGAGAAAGTGAGGATTTGTTACTTTCTCTACTTTCCGCACTGTAGACGGGAAGTAATTTCTATCACTGTAGCCCTCTTCTTCTGGTCAACCATCATCCTCATTTTATATTCTGTTTCACCCTAAGAAATCAGAATCATTATTTTACTTTCTTAGAAATTAAAAATAGGAATTAATTCCTGTTAGTGAACAGGCTCTTAGTATTTTACCAGTCTCTTGGTGGTGTCACTCGTAAGACTTAGAAGCTCATTCCAGTGTATATTCTATGAAGACCCAGTCACTGAAACATCTTATTAGGAAATTTAGCTGTTTGTGGGTTGAAAACTGGTGATGTAAATGAACAATTTTTAAGTTATAATTATTTTTTAAGATTTTTAAGCCTTGCAGCTATTATAGCGATACATAATCTAGTAGATTGATTATGAGATTCTTATTTCTCATTTTATCGATTTTTGTGTTTCACTACTTATGACGATATTGGGATAACAACTCTTACTTCTCTTGTTTTGATGACAGTAAACACATGCAAACACACCACATGCACACACTCACACGTGTGTGTATGAAATTATGTACTTGTTTATTTTTAGTGGTTTATGGCCTAAAGAATAGGTCTTGGTCATGTGCTCCTATTCTTCAACATATTGTTGTTTGCAATGACTTGGTGTGGTGAATTTTTGTCATGGTGCTAAACATTGCCTGCTAAAAAATGTTCTTCAGGAATTTCCAATCTGGATGCGTCCACACGTTTATAGAGCATGGGCTCGGGCATTCCATTCAAGTATATTGTTTTCTTCTTTTATCTATTTTAATTGAATTGGTTGACACTGTTTTGATAGTTATAAGCAGTACATAGTTTGCAAGATAAGCTATGAAGGAAGAAAAATTATGGAATTCTCATTGTAATGCTTTTCAGACTTAGAAGAAGCAGCCTTGCCTTTGGAGGAATATGCATCTTTAAGGGAGTTCTTTGTTCGCACCCTGAAAGAAGGTTCCAGGCCTATTGACTCTGACCCACGTTGTCTGGTAACTGGTATCCAACTTCTTGGAGATATTATTGGTTCCATTTCTGTTTCACTCTGAATTGGTTCTCACAATTGGATACTGTGTTTTTTGTGATTATAGGTCAGTCCTGTGGATGGTACTATTCTAAGATTTGGAGAATTAAAAGAAGCAGGGGGTATGATTGAGCAAGTTAAAGGGTTTGCCTATTCTGTTCATTCTCTTCTTGGTGCAAGCTCATTCCGTCCTAAATTAGCTATAGAGGATTATCAAGAAGAGGGTAGTGGACAAGAAAGCACTCTTAGAGATGGGAGAAAGAGGTCATGGTGGAGAATCTCACTGGCTTCTCCCAAAATCAGGGATCCTGTACCAACATGGTAACCATATTCACATCGTAGATTATTTACCGGGTATCATCTCTATTTTATTAATGAATATATGTTAACAGTCATCTATATTATACAATAGACTGCAAAAGAGATAGACTGCATAGTTTTTCAGCATCAACTACTATGCTTTTAGTAGCCACTTGGGGACCTTTTCACTCTTGTATTTTCTATGCTCAGAGAATGTTTTCTGAAACACCTAGGACATGGATTTTATGTTCTGAATTGTTTTGTTAACATTGTAATCCGTAACTGCAAATATATATATATGTTTTATTTCTTGGTGGTTATGCCGGGGTGTCTTTTAGCATACTGGTTTACTGTAGAAAATTTTCATTTCTTCTTTTTCTTGATAGCCTTTTCATTTTGAACTCTCTAAATTCTTCAACCTAAAAGAGAAATTTTGTGTGGAATTTTATGTGGATGAACTTGGAAAACAATTGAGACAAGTTGGGTCCCCTGGGAAATTTCGGTGGTGCTGCAGAGCTGTTAAACCTTGGTAAGAAGTGGAATCAAGTCAGGTGGGAAGCAGCACAGCGTTTTGCCAATCCAAATGCCGTCTTACTTCTGAAAGATCTTTCTGGTGATTACTAGTTGAAGGGAATTTGATATTTCTTGGGAAGGGGGAGTGATTGAGGGTTTCTTGTTGAAATTGATGTTCTATGTTTCATGGAGAGTGTAATAGCTCATAGAATGTAATGGCCTCACTGGGCATCTTTCCATTGTTTACATTCTGTTTTATTTTCTTTCTTCTCTCTCTACCAGTTTCGAAAACTTGACTCAAAACCTTGACCTAGGGCTTGGGAGATAAGACCCAAAGCCACTAAGATAGAGGTAGACCGGTTTTGCTGACTGTTCTTTCTTTCTTCTTTTTAATAGACTGTTTTCCAATAAACTGAGAGAAAAGTTTGAACTATTAAAGTCTTTTCTCCTTATTACCAGCTGTTGATCAGCATCTTACACATCCTGCAGTAAGCACGTGCAAAATGGCATTTAAAAATTGCATTTATTTTTTTCATTCAAATGGCCCAATCTAAAAAGTTCATAGCAGGAGGAGGCGTCCGATTATAGTCACTTGGTGTTGTACGTGTAAGAGGGACAAGGAGTCGATGGATCATCTCTTCTTACATTGTCCCAGAGCTGGGGATCGTTGGAACATGCTGTTTGCCATTTGTGGGATATAGTGGGTCATGCCACAGTCTGTGTTGAGCTTGATTGATGCTTGGGGAGGGTGTTTAGATTCTCTGTACTTCTCTATTTTTTTTGGGTTCAGTGGGTCAAATTATAAAATTTTGTAGATTCTTGTCTTTTGTGGATAGCTTGAGGCTATAGTTTTTGGTTTGTGCAGTTGTTCTGTGCTGCATTCCCCGTTTGGGTGCTCTTCAATGAATTTTACTTATCAAAAAAAATCTAAAAAATCTAAAAAGTTCATATCAATGTGCTAGTAGGTCTAGATTTGCCATGCAGTATGTTGGTTCTCTTTCATTTCCAGGTTTTTGAACTTTCTAAGGATTTATTCTCTTTTACAATAATCATCTCTTTTATAATGATTATCTCCTTGTCTGGAGTCAGTCATTATGGGCAAGTGATTGGGGGTGCTGGAGTCATGTCCTAGTGTTAGGGTTGGTAGGAGATTTAGGTCTGTGTGGACGGCTGCACTACAGTGCTTATGAACAAACAATATTGTCTTATATAATAAGAAATATAAAGAAATATTGTTTTATGAGACATGCCCGAATCAAGTTTGAGCAGGACATGCCCAGCTTGTCATAAGGACAACTGCTTTAACAGTTCTTTTTTCACCCGATTGAAACCTGAGCCATAGTTATTAAACAAGTTTAGCTTGAGTAATGGTACACTTGGCTTGTAAACACAAGGCTAATATTTTTTGTCTGATTTTGAAATTATTTATATCCATTCATTGATAAAGGGTTGTTCTTTTAAGTGATTGATACCTGCACATGCTTAACGTAAGTGATGAATATAATATGAGTATGAAGTAATAAAAAAGTTAAAAAGTAATATTTCTCACAAACCAAGCATGAATTGCTTGAAAACACACTGTAGCTGGGTTCAAGTTACATAAGTTTGGGATCTCATGATGAGGTTAAGAATTTTTTTGTTCAGCATAGTGAAGCTTGAGCAGCCTAAAGATCAGTTTAGACAGTCTTACTTGCAACCTTACAAAAGGTGGTCTGTCTGAAGCAGAACAAGCACTCTTTTGATGGGAAGAAACTCCTGATTATAAGCTGAAGAAGTGATGTGCTGATTCATTATTTTTGTGGCTTTCAGAGAGCGATTCCAATGTCCAGAGTTTGGGTTGGAGTTGGTCTCCTTTGTGTACTTTGAAGTGCAATCAGGTTGCGCATCTCGTGTATTTTTTTTGATATTTTTATTTGTAAAAAAAAAAAAAAAAAAAAATGTCTTCATTTATAGTGCTCCAGTTCTTGAAATCCATAACCAGCTTGGAAATTAATCCGTTTCCTCTTCATCCGATTGTGAAACAATTAAATATTTTATTTATTACTGAATTATGCATATACTTTATTGCTTCTATTTGATGATATGCTGTGGTAAAAATTAAGACTTTTATGTTATTATGCGTTAATTCTACATTTTTATTAATCATTGCCATAAAACTTATATATTGCTTTAATTATTTGGTCTTAATGCTGAAATTTCATTTTAGATACTATGGTCTAAGATGACCTTGGCACTTGAGTTCTTATGAAACCATCACATCTTTCTGGTGTTGATATAATTAATCTTGTACCATATCTCTTAAGAAGCTGTATGTGTACCACAATAAATGATATGGGAAGAACATAAATCACTACAAAATAGTTCATGATCCAATTAGTTTGCAATTTGTTCTGTAAGTAGATATTTAATTTATATTGGACTGTATTTCAACACTGGACCAATTTTCTCTGTTATTGCTAATTGCTCTCTGATATAAATCAGAATGCAAGTCAACTTATGCATAAAATTTAATTGCAGCAGCCCAATGAAAGGCATTTTTTACTGTGTACTTTACTTGAAGCCTGGAGACTATCACCGTATACATTCTCCTTCTGACTGGAATGTTCTTGTTCGTCGACATTTTCCAGGTAAACTTATCTTCATTGTCTTTGTTGAGGGAACTCAAAATATCTGAACACAGTGAGGAAATGGTCCATTTATGCTAGGTCCATTATATGCACATATGTTGCTTTATTCTTTATTGAAATTGTTGAAGTTCCTTGGCATCTTTTGTGTCCTGTCTTTTTGTCTGTTCATATTTTATGTTCACCCTCTTTATATTTCTTTCAAAGATTGAAATAGATAGTGAATGGTGGTTGGAGAATAAAGAATAAAAGGTGAGGTGACATGTCCAACCCAAAAGAGTATGAATAGAAAACTCCTTGTTTTGTAGTGAGTTCTACCTTGGAGTCAGTTGATATGGTATTCAAGAATAATATGCAATCATTGCTTCTTCTTTTTTCCTAGTTGGTACTCACACACACTTGTCTCTTCTGAGACTTGAACCCCTGACCTCCCTTTGGGAGGTAAGAGGCTGATACCGCTAGGCCACTGACCCGTTGGTAATCATTGCTTTTAGATATATCCTTGCTTCTCTCTTCCATGGAAACCAAAATTTTTAACTGCCTAGTAATTTGTTCATTAAGTATTTGAATATGTTCCCGTTTCCTTTACAGGTCGCCTTTTCCCTGTCAACGAGCGCGCTGTAAGAACAATCAGAAACCTCTATGTTGAGAATGAAAGAGTAATTCCGATTTGCCTTTTTTTAACTTCTAATGAGTCCAATGAACAATATATAGAATATTTGCTTTTTTCCCCTCATTTTTATTGTTTTTTATTCTTTTAAAGATTCGGACTTGTGGGGAACACATTCTAATATGAACCTAGCAAAGTTTTCCATTTAAATATATTTAGTAATTTTATTATCATCACAAAAAGTGTTGGGGTGGGGAAACTTGATGACATGTCAACAGAAGGTGGAATGCGAAGGAAATTATAAAACAAAAACAAATGACGAGCCAAGTAATGTTTACTCAAGTGATACAAGTTAATGGTTCCAATGCTATATTTCCCTTGTGAGCAACACCAATTCACGTGAACCATTTGCTGATCCTGATCACTTGTCATTTAGCTATTTGAGTGAATTTATTATGTGTTAGGACACTGAAATGGTTGTGAGGTGTCCAATTGGATGGATTTAGAACAAAAATGATTTGCAGCATGAGTGATAATGCCATGATGGGGTCTATCAAACGTGTCAGTTCGCCAGATATTGGAACAGAAAAAAAGGATTAAATAGACTCCATGTCAAATTATGCACTACCATAACAGTCTGACAAGTTCATGGTTTTAAGGATACCTATATGTCAATATCCTTTCTTTTAATCTTTTCTGGTGAACTTTTAATCACTATTGATCTATCTCCGTTATCGTGTGTCTCAGAGATTGTTCTGTTTTCATATCACCAGGTTGTGCTGGAAGGTCAGTGGCAAGAAGGGTTTATGGCAATGGCAGCAATTGGTGCAACAAATATTGGGTCTATTGAGGTTGAGCCTTCTTTTGGCATGCTGAGCTTGCCCTTTAATTGGGCTCATACGCAATCAGTTTTGTTGCTGTTGGATCATCTTAATTAACTGAGACTGTTGCACTCTAATGCATAATAATGTTGGTGGGAAATAATTGATCTGTGGAACAAAGCCGCTACTTTGATTACTTAGTTATAGATTTTAGAGTAAAAACAATATTATTTTGAGTCATAAAAGGTAGTATTATAAACATAGATTTATTATTATTTTCCATTTTGGGTTTGGGGTTGGGGTGGGTGGTAAAAGACATAGTATTGTGACTAAAGAAAAGAGAAAAATGCTGATATATGACTTGTACTAACTGTATTGACAGCAATCGTTTCGACTTTTTTAATATAACTGGAATGTACATCTTCCGTATTAGACTTGGTTATCAAATCTACAATTGTTGTAAACTTTGTCTAATGGTGATACATGCTTAAGAAGCTTTTCTTAACATGCTGTTCACAAAACTGATCGATATTAACAACGATTAATAGGAAATTATTGGGGGTTAGACCTCATAACCTTAACTTGATTTTTGTCAATACTTGTGTGTGGCAGCTTTTCAATGAACCAGCACTCCGGACAAATCGGCCAAGAAAGAAGTTACTGCACTCGGAGCCCCCAGAAGAACGGGTGTATGAACCTGAAGGTGTCGGTGTGATGCTCAAGAAAGGGGATGAGGTTAGAAATGCACTTATATTGTATCTTCAAAAACTGAACCCATAATAAGTTCCATTTTTTGAAAAGGAGTATGGCATTTTCCATTTGCCTACAATTTCTTTCCTCCTTTTTTCCAGTTCCCAAAACATAAATTTTATCTTTATTATTAGGATTACCCTTGATCTTTTGTATATTAAAGGAAATGATACAAGACATGAAATTAGTTGCTTCCTATTTTACTGCCATGTATTTCAAAATTCCAGTAATTGCCATAACGACAACTTTGGTTGTTCCAATTATATGTATCAGGTAGCTGCTTTCAACATGGGATCGACAGTGGTGCTCGTCTTCCAAGCTCCCATATCAAAATCACCAGAAGACAAAGCTTTGTCATCAGAATTCAAATTCTGTATCAAACGTGGGGATAGAATCCGCATGGGAGAAGCACTAGGGAGATGGCATGATTAGCAGCAACCAGCATCACATTTTTTGTGCTCGTACAAGATTTCTGTTGAATCAATTGTCTACACAATTAGCTGAGACTTGGATTTCTATGATTTTGTTCTGTATTTTAATGGGTGGAAGGTGTTACAGAAAAATTCAGTTGATTCTAAGTGTTTATTGCTCAAATTTATTGTAGCTTCTTATCAGGATTTTATGGTAATGATTGACAAGGATTTGTTTAAACACTTTCCTCAGTATGCCAGAATTTAGTTGAACTGCACTAAACTTATCTGAAAGGTCTTGTTTGTGGGCTTATTGGTGATTTTTGTTGTGCATTACTTATCAAAAAAATTGTTGCTCATTACGTCAATTGGATGAACTAGAGGACATGAAGAAAGCCCAAAAGTATCGGCAGGGAATGATCCTAATGATCTGTTGGAAGTGATCATTTGCTTTAGGCGTTGGCTCAGTTCAGAGAAACACGACATTCACCAAACGACACTAACGATTACTGAATGTTTGTTCATTTTGTTTCTAAAGCAGCAGATTTTTGGAGCACATGATCTAACCACTTAGTCCAGGCTAAGTTCAGTTCATTGGCTCATCAGATATATCCCTCCAATTTGGCAAATATAAAACAAAACAAAGTAAAATGAAGAATCTCCTCCATTCACAAGAAATCATACAAAGAATCCTCACTTTTGATAACAAACCCTCAAGAAGTCCTGAATTGATTATCAGGATCAAGTGTAATACAAACACTCAAGAAGCTCTGAATAGTATCAGGATCAAATGTAACACAAAACTGGCTATTGACACAAGCAAATGAGGGTGGAAAGCAATTGCTGTCATAACCACGGTGCCCAGAAAAGATGGTATGCCCCACGCACAATTCAGGTAAAGTAAAATAATTTTTTTCGGAAGGTAATTTTGGTAAAGTAATATAATTGTTGATTTATATCAAAACATTTTTTCCCCGGTATGAATCATACCTCATTTGTCGCTAATTCAAGTCACATATTGTTCACTGTTAAATGTCAATAAAATCAACAAAAGGATGCAACTTTTCACCAGGGATCCAAACATAGAATCAAGAATAACAACAGTAGAGCAGATACATAAAGTTGTCATTTGACTGATAGCGAATAATATTTCCTGTTTGGCTAGACATTGACATTGACAGAAAAATGAAACTGGGTTGTAAGAACTGAACATTTGATGGCGCATTTAATCACACTATGCTAATAGAGTTAGAAACATAACTATAAGCCACATAACTTTATGGTTTAGTAGTTATTAAGCCAGTGTATAACACCACGTATTACATATAAAGTTTAAAAATTTAACCCAACTACCACGTTCCTATACCAGTATACAGTACACTTGAGTGTTGCAAAAGTTTTTCAAACACTCTCCTCGCCCTCAATATGCATGCCTCTGCGCTGTGCACATATCATCCAGATGACATAACCGAGAGACTTGATTTTGGGATGTTAAACTTCAAAATCCTTGAATCTTGCCTCTAGGCATATCATGCGTCTCTTAACACCATTATGCAGTGAATAATGTGGGGAAAGGGGGGAGAATCTGGATTGGACGCAAATGCACAACTACTAAAAGACTCGAACCAGCATTCTAACGCTTGACAATCTGAATTTGTAGTCACCTCTTTTTGCAACTAATGCAGTATCTTCCTTACCAAAAAATAAACTTATACAATATCTTCTCACAGAATAACTCATAGAATATTTGCCCAACATCTTTTGTAAGGATCTTGTGTTTGTAGAAGTAGTGAGGAAGAGGAAGAAAGAAAGAAGAGAGAGAGAGGAATTCTGTAAAGTATGAGAGTGTGTCACCTATTTATACATTGAAAGGATAAAAATACAATAGTGCCCTTATTGAATAAAAGAAATAACAAACTTAAACTCTCTAACAATAACCATTTTAATCACCAAACCTAATACCAATTTTCTCAGCAAACGAGAAAGACAGTCATTCAAAGTTGTCAATAACAAATTATTCAATCTTATTCTTCAGAATAATTGGATGAATAACATAATTAAGCAATTTGGAGAGCAAGCCCTTGCATAAAGATCATTTAGAAGATTCTGCAATCTAATTATGGATAACCCAAACTAGTTCAAATTTTGCTCATTTGGTCCACAAGGTCCCAAAAGCTACTCAAAAAGTTCAGCAAATACAGGTTTCTAAGCACATGCAACCATTTCGGTTCAAAGTTCAAGTCATGGTTATACTATAAAATTGATTACTTCTAGAGCAAATTCAGATCAAACCATAATCAATTTCACAATCGTACTTGACCTAATTTCTAAGACCATAAAATTTTAATGCGACTTAACCATAGTGAAAGGAATGCTCGCTTTTGATGGTAATAACTCAAAAGATTTAAAGGACAACATACATGAGACAGAAATACCAACACAAAATAAAACCAAGAAAATGTCATTGTACCCTGTCTAAAATATTCAAGAAAATATCTACTGTAAGGTGCAATAGTTAAAATGACACAAATAGAGATACGAATTTTATTAAAGCAAAAATAAGTGCATAATAAACATCATTATAACTCCTGAACAGAAAACAAAGAAGAAAATTTGAATATCACAACAAGAATATTCTTTTATAGATTTGAACCAGAATACCAGAACAACCCATAAGCCAGAACCTGAAGTTCAATACATCTATATTCACACTGTGCAGATCTGTCAAGGCCTTCGTTTTACTCTTCTTCTTCATCATCACCACAATAAGGACCTAAAATTCAAATCTAAAGCTATGCCTTCACAATGCCTCTATATCAAAACTTTGTTCCTGAAAAACCAAATCAATCCATCTTCTTAGGTTGGCCCAATTCTTAAATCAAAATTTTCTCATAATAATATAAATGCTGGAAACATATAACCAACCAATTTCTCAAATCAGTTTTGACCAAGCTCGAGAACTTCTAAACTAAAACTATATATGGGTATGAATATAAAAGACACATTATGATATATAAAGAATGTTGTTGCCAAAACTATGTGAGTATGTATCACAAATTCACAATCCCTAAAATTCAAATCTAAAGCTATGCCTTCACAATGCCTCTATATCAAAAGGTTTATTCCTGAAAATCCAAATCAATCCCTATTTTATTAGTTTGACCCAATTTTTAAATCAATTATTTCTCACATTAATTTTGACTAAGCTCGAGAACTTCTGAACTAAAACCATATGTGGGTATGTATATCGTACACACATTATTGTTGCCAAATGAATTAGTGAAACCTATGATTTGGGTATCAATTAAACAATTTTGGGTCAAACAGAACAAAATCGCAGAAACTACAGAAATGAAAGGCACACCTACGTCTGTTTGGAGTACGAGGAAGAGGAGGGAACACGCTTGTTACGGAACATCATGTAACCGACGGGCAAAACGACTCCGACCATCATGATCGCAGCTCCGATGATGTACCTGAGAGGGCTTGGTGGTTCCACCTCTATAAACTGCATCACATCCGATCATAACCATGTATGAACTCAATTAAAATTTATATATACATCTGTGTACATGTTTGTGTGTGTAGCCCTAGGGTTCTGCTATTGATCGTAGATCTGGATTCATATTGAAATTTACAGTTTTAGAGAGAGAGACTTACGGGCATTCTTGGTGTATGCAGCTAGAGCGAGAAAGGGGGGCCGAGCGAATGGATGACCGCGCTACTGTGAGTGCACCCAAAGGTTAGGAGAAGGATCTACCATGTAAGATGCGTAACTGTGCAATACTATGATCTAAGAGGCTATTTTAAAATAGGATAAATTACACGGACCTCCTATATAGTTTGTCATAATTACATGTACATCCTCTATAGTTTGAAAAATTACTTGGGTCTTCTTTAAAAAAAGAAACCTATACGAACCTTCCTTCTATTACGGTCAAAGCAAGTCAATGACGAATTTTACTTATATCATGTACTGAATAAATTAAAATTTCCATATTAGCCTTTGTCCATCTCATCTCTCTCATATATACAGATGGTACTACAGTCATTTATCATAACAATTTGAGAGCATTTTAGTAAATTAGACAATATGTTAGTGCATTTAACGGTCCATCACTAAAAAAGGAAGCCTGTGTAGGTTAGCTTCATTTGTAGGGAAGGTCTGAGTAATTTCTCAAACTACACGGGAGGTCCTTATATTTCTGACAAACTATTGGAGAGTTCTATGTAATTTATCCTTTAAAATATATATATATATATAAAATAATAAAAAAAAAAAATTATAAGGTAAAACAACTAATTAGATGGGAATTTGTATTTTTTTATTTTAATTTCAGTTTCAATGTTTTTTGTTTATTTTAATTTTTCTTTCCTTTTTTTCTGTGTGTGTGTGTGTATTTGATGCGTGAATGAAGTAAAAAACCTTCAAAAATAAATAATCTTCCTGTGTTATTGTGAATAAACAAGAAGTGTTACATGTGAAAAAAATTTAATTTATTGAATTTAATTTTTGATCTTTTCGTATAGAAACTTATTTTAGCTTTCATTCTTGTCCTCGACTAAAACAAAATAAAAGTGCGAATTTAATTAGACTGCGTTTGATAGAAGCATGAACATATAAATAGACTAGTGACCTACCCTCTTACTTTTCAAAGGGAAGTCATGTTTAACTAAAAGACAAGTGTGTGTGAATACTAAATTACCAACTAGGAAAAAAGATAGTAGCATGAACATAGTATCTTGAAATTAAACTGTTTAATTTTTCTGTTATCAACTTCAATTTTAATTTATAAAGTGTGAATTTTATATTATTAAACAAAGTTGGAATTTATTTTGAGGACCTAATTGATTTTATTATTTTAACATTATTTGGTATTTTGTGCGATGAAATTGAATAAATTTAGGTTACCAAATGAATCGAGCTTTGACTTGTTTAATCTCGGATTTGAGTCCAACTCATATATTAGTTTATGAACTTTACTTGTAGTTAAGTTCGATCTTGATTCGTTTGCCTTGTTCAACCAATTTCGAGCTCGATTCTTAATTTTATTATTGAGCTTGAAACTAATATTAATAAGATAAAAAAATCAAAACAGTCCCAAAAAAAGATGAGTTTTGATTGTGCAACCTTGCTTACAATTTGAAGCTGGTGAACTTAGCTACAAGATGTTTAGGTGAACGGCTTATTTTATTAAACATGTTTGGACTTGAAATTAAATTTGATAAGAACAACAATGAATTATAAATTAAAACAGTTATATCGAGTTTCATCTACCACCTTGTTAACAAGAATCACAACATACATATTTGCTAGCTTGGGCTTGTTTGGCACATGTTTTGTTTTTGTCGAGTAATGTAATATTGAACAGTTAAAAAAAACACGTTTGATAAAAACAGTTTTATTTAAACAACTACAATTTGATATTTTTATATGTTTTTGAAATGTAACGTTTAATATATAGCGATAAACACTAAATATTTTTTAAGAATTTTTTTTTCTTAAATGATATTTTCAACTTACCATTAAATTTTCAAACTTTCAACATTTCATGTTTTCATATTTTTGTTTTTTAAAATCTTGCAACAAATGGAATACAACAAAATACTTATTTTATTTCAAGTTAAAATAAAACACCAAAAATAACACGTATTAAACATACCCTTAATGAGTCAAGCCTCAAGGTGCTCACTCTCACTTTTATTTACTAAGCTAAAGCCTAACTAGGCCAACTTTAATAGAGTCAAGTCCTAACTCGTATTAGAGATTTACTTGTACCAACAGTATTTCGAAATAAATGAACAATTCAAAGATGAACATGAATATCTACTACACATATCGAAGATGCAATACTCAAGTTCAATTACAATTGTAATCGCTACAACATGGAAAATCGAGAATGGAATGAAAGTAAAAATAAAAAAATAACATAATTTATTTCCATTATAACTTGTGAAGGACGTTACTCTTCCACCATCAACCGTGTACTATTCATCTTTTTATTTTTGGAACAATATTTGGGCAGAGGATGGATAATCGTTGATGACGCCTAATAAAATTGCGATAAGAGTTAAAATTAAATTAGATATTGTTTAACTTTTACTTTTAAATATATATTTTAAATTTTAATTTTTACTTTTAGACACTTATTTTAAATCTATTGGACCACAATTTTTTTTTTGTCATTCAAAGGTACAAAGGCCTAAAACCAAGATGAAGGCCTAAAACCAACATGACAGTACAGAGGCATAAAGTCAAGTCAGAAAATGCATACAGATCTTGAAGTAAAGCAAATAAATGAAGAACATGCTCCAGATTTGTGGAGGAAACAAAACGGCCAGAGCTCGACACTCTCCAAACGAAACCATTAAGGGAGAACGCAGTAAACATGAGAGACCGAAAGGTCTGACCATCGTCACGGCAACCGCTCCATAGTTACAACCACAAGGCGCTCCAACACCTAAGAAACCCTGCACAAGATCAAATCAAAGAAAAAAAGATTAAATCGAGGCGCGGAAAACTAAAATCGACCTAAACCAGAAATCTTGTCGGAGAAAACAACAGGAATCGAACATGGACAGATCTAGCCGAAGAAAACCAAAAAAAAAAAAAAAAACATAAAAAAACACCTACGGAACACACTTATTAAAACACGCTGAATTTATTACAGTCGTAGTAGACGACTTTTATCTCTCCACTCCCATGAAAGGGAACAGGGTGGCAGAGTGGAGAAGACGAAGCTGCATGTTAGAGAGAGAAAGTTAAAGAGAGGTGGGAGGGAAAGTTGGGGCGGCTTGAAATATTGGGTTAAGTGCAGTAAATTCCCTTGGACTTTGAGCCAATTGCACTGAATTAAAAAATACCTCCTAAATTATAAAAGTATTGCAGTTAACCCCCACAGTGCCAAACAACCGTTGACTAAAAAATGAAATTACTGATTTGCCCATTAAAAATTATTGTTCTCTCGTATGCAAGCTCTTGACAGATTGCGATCATCCCTTACTCCACTCTCTTTCTCTCTCTTCTCATCGTCTGGCTAATCACTTTCCTATGTGTTATGGCCTTCATAAATTGAATCACATAACTCTGAATTAATTTGAGGTAAATTAATTAATCCCAGTTCTACTCATGATATATCATAGCTCATTGTTCAGATCAATTGGACCCAGTAATAGTGATGCAACAATAGAAATCATGTTCCTCTATATGATCTTACAATAAAAACCCAAATAAATAGAGAAGGCTGAATGGCCAAAAGCCCAGAGTCCCCTAACCCATCCAAGCGAAGCGCAGATGAACAACGCAAAGGGAAATCGCAGGCTTAGTTCTCGGTAACATTAGTGGCCGGAGTATTGTCGATTTCTCAATTTGCTTGTATCCTTTTCGATCTACTGTTACCGGTATCAGACGACTATAAGTTGATCCAAGTAGAGAAGCCATGAACACTGGGAGGATGGCAGATCTACGATGGAAGGGTTAACAATGTGGAGTGGTCACAGCTCCATACATTGATGGGTCTTTAGGCTTTCTGGAAGGAGTCTGCTGGCAAGAATTCTAGTCAGCGGTGAGCAAAGATTATGACTAGGGCTGGTGGTGCACGATCTGTGACGATTGTAAGAGGTCGCAATTCCGGCAAGCACGAAGTAGTGATGAATGGCGCAACAAGAAGCTGCAGTTCCAAAGGGCGAGGAAGCGGCAAGCTGAACCAGTGAGGACGCGGCTCGAAGTGGGTTTGATCGGCAGTGAAGAGGACGGCGAGCACTGTCTGAACGGCGCTTGCTGGCGAGGACAAACCGTAGGCATGGAGGACTTACTGGCGGGCATGGAACGAAGGTGTGCTTGGTGATGACAGAAGATTGAAACGGCGGCGACTCGGCCACCGCAAAGGACGGCGTGATGGGCTTTTCAATTTCTCGCTTGTACTGGGTTTTCGTTAAGGAAGATGACCAAGGTAAAGACCTTAAAGGATGATGTTGACTATAGTTGGTGGTGATGCGGTCAGTGAAAGAGATAGATTGCACAATCGGGCAGTTGTAGACCGAAGCTATGGGCGACGGAGATTCTGGTGAAGGGAAAGAGAGAGGAGGCGTCGGGGTGGTTTGGAGGAATCTAGAGAGAGAAGGGGTAAGAAGGAGGTAGGGTTATTATTGTCTTTTTAAATTTTTGTCTACTCACGTCGTTAGATTTGGGATGGCCAATTAACGTTTTGCAACTAATGAAATAGTTTAAGGGTTAACTGTCGTTTCAACAGTTCAGAGAGATGTTTTTTTGAAAAAAAGAAGTTTGTTGAGGGAGATTTAATGCACTTAACTTATTATTGTTCCACATCATTCACCCAAGTGTTGTTCTTATTTTTGCGAACGATTACTATGATTCATCCTTCTGAACTATAACTAACTGATATAGAAAGTATAAGACGGATCTGAACCACCGATTGATAATCTATGAGTGCCCTCTGAGTATTGGCCCATTACACCAAGCTCTCAGATCGCACCACGTGTCGTCTCTAAAGAATCTCCACATCTTCTCCCACCAAATCCATCGACGTGGTGAATTCTCATAGGTTTGTTCAGAGATAACTGGGATCAAGGCAAGGCCGCGGAAGTGTGGCGGTGGCCAAACGCAGGTGGAGAGAGAGAAAAGGAGGACATGAGCCTCCTCCGTAGAGCCTTCTCGAGCAACCCTCAAGTTATCGGATTCACAAAAAGATCCCTCAACTCATTGAAATTATCCGGCGAGCCCCCCGAAGATTCAACTTCTTCCAACCTCACCCATGGCATTCACGTCTTCCGATGCCCCGTAAGTCTCCCTCTCTCTCTCACACACACACTCGCCAATTTCAAGGATTTAAGCTTTACTATGTGAATGTGTGTGTATATATGTATGTATTAGGATTCAATCTCTGGGTTGGTTGTTTTGTCAATGAAGAGTCAGTTTTGGGTTGCTAAGATGGGGATTTGAACTGTTTTTTGCTAATAGGATGAGGTTGGAATCGTTGCCAAGTTATCAGAATGTATTGCTTCACGAGGTGGAAACATACTCACTGCCGATGTTTTTGTGCCTCAAAACAAGCAGGTCTTCTATTCAAGAAGGTCTCTCTCACACACTCTTTCAATCGTTTCTAAAGCATGTCCATTATTAGATTCATTAATGGCTTTTGATGTATATTCGACTGGTTTGAAATGGGTTTTATTTGCAAGGCTGATAATTTTCTTCCATGTGATTGTTGTTTGATTGTTATCTACTTGTTCCAGAGGATTATATACATTTTAAGAGATAAAACAGATGTGGGTTTTGAAATGAAAAATGGACTTTGTGGCCATATATTACCATTTGGGATTTTATAAATACCAGGGCTGAAAGTAGATAGCAGTAATAAATGTGAAAGATGCTACCTAAAAGTGTAGATTATTTATTTTTGGGTGCCTAATTTTAAGATTTAGAGAAAATTAAGTAGGAATTTGGTTTTGGGATTGAAAATATGAAAGATAGGGCATTGCTGAAAATTTTGGCATTTGGTTAGTTAATTTTAAGTTCCAAGAGAAAATTAGATTGGACTTACGAATGTAAATCTGGCTTCAGGATTGCAGTTTGTTGCAAATTTCAGCATTTTGTTGTCTAAACCTAAGTTTTATGGGTAAAGCTTGGGAAAGAGTTTCAATTCCTTAAAGGGTTAACCTTCATCACAAAAATTGGAACTTTTGGGTTCTATTTCTATGTTTGTAGAGCAAAATCAATTGGAATGTCTATAGTTCTTCAACAATGCTCTTTACCTATTTCTTCACTTCACATTTTTTTTTTTTTAAAGGAAAAATATTTCTGCAATAGATTATGCTTGCTTGAAATATTTGCAGTTGGTCTGTTGAAGCCTGATAAAACGAGTTTGCCTGTTGTGTAAGTGAGGTGGCACTGCACTTGAAGTTTTCTGCAATCTAGGATATGACCTAAATTAGGTAATTTAATTTACTGAGCTGCCTGATACTAAATGTTGTTGCAACATTACAGTGAGTTTGTATTTGATCATGCTAAATGGCCACGGGTAGAAATGGATGAGGATTTCCTTAAGCTGTCAAAGATGTTCAATGCCATGAAGTCTGTTGTTCGGGTGCCTGACCTAGACCCCAAGTACAAGATTGCTGTTCTTGCTTCAAAGCAGGTTATCTTTTCATTTTTTCCTTTCCATTCTTTTGTTTTATCTAAATTGATCAAGTGGTTGATGAAAACTGCATTGTCTAAGCACTTATAAAACATGTTATTTATGCGCTTCACTTATTGAAGCTGTCACAATGCTGGCACAGGATCATTGTCTTGTTGATTTGTTGCATGGGTGGCAGGATGGAAGACTTCCAGTACATATAACTCGTGTAATAAGGTAAAAATTGAGGAACTTTTCCATTTTTACAATATTTTGGTTTATAAAAACGTTACTTACAATCCAGGTATACTTGTTTGACAGTAATCATGATAGAGGCCCGAACACACACGTGTTTCGATTTCTTGAACGGCATGGAATTCCATATCATCATTTGAACACAACCGCGGAGAATAAAAGAGAGGAAGAGATTTTGGATCTTGTTCAAGATACCGATTTTCTTGTACTTGCCAGATACATGCAGGTAAATCAAATCGTTAGTTTTTTGGATCCATTCCATGTCCTCTTTTCATTATCAAATAAAAAGAATTGTGCTTGTTCAATTGTGTTATCAAAATTTAGAATACATTCAGGAAAAAAATTAGTTTAGAATACTGCTTGAGAGACCAGGCTTCTCTCTCTACCCTTTCTATACTCTCTAATGTCTATTCTTGTTGATACTATATTACTTTCTGTATAACTTGTACATATTTTTGGATGTAACTGAAACACCGGTTAAAAATGATTGCAATCCACAATTCATTTTACTCCCACAGTTATTATCTGGAAATTTCTTAAGGAGCTACAGGAAGGATATAATTAATATTCACCACGGCCTATTGCCATCATTCAAGGGTGGGCATCCTTCCAAACAGGTTACGTTCCAAGCCTTTTCACTGATTACAAGGTTCTGTCATTTTTACCATTTCAAACTTTTGATTCTTCATGCATGCATGATTTGTCATTTGGTGTTGACAGGCCTTTGATGCTGGTGTCAAATTGATTGGTGCCACAAGTCACTTTGTCACTGAAGAGCTTGATTCAGGGCCAATCATCGAACAAATGGTGATTATTCTCTACCACTTCTTTGAATTTCACCTCCATCTAAATGTTGACTATGTGATTTATCAAAAAGAGAGAGAGAGAAAGGTGACCACTGTGTGGAGTCAGCTACTGTATAGCGGAGAACTAAAATACTAAAAACAAACGTGAGCTAGGGTGGGTATCAGCTGTTGAAATTGTTTATTACTGTTTAAGTTTCAGCTCTATTTTCTGTTCACTACCATGTGAATCTGAAATACAGGGCAGTTAAGTATTCTAAGAAGATACTGAAGTTGAGGTGAGGATATGGACAAGTGACTGGCATCTGCTTTTTTTTTTTTGTTTTTTTTCAAATTTTTATCAAAGTAGCCCAGCTCTTTACCAACTTCAAAATATTCGATTTTAGTTGAATGCCTTCTTGCTTAGATGGCAGCTCAAGGTCAGCGTCATGAAATTTTATATTGCATGAGCAGGTGCCACTTAAGTCGCACAGAGTGAAAGTGAGTGTGAGAAAGGGAGCGAGAAAGTGGCAAAATCTAAAATTTAGTCAAAGCGGGAGCGGCCCCAGAGTGCTTATACACTTATATACTGTTATAGATATAGATAAAATATGTGCATGTATACAACACTTTAATATTTGTACATATCCTAACTACAGTTACTTGGTGAAATAATAAAAAAATTAATCTGTGGATTATGAGTAATCATTGTTCTTTATGTTAGGAAATACGTAATATTAGTAATAGTGTAAATTTCAAAAGTTATTTTTTATTTTTAAAGGAACATAAGCCCAAATTATACAGTTGTTTTAGATTCTTAAAAGAGATCTTGTTTAAAACTGTATACATGAAAAGATTTCTTTAAGGAATTCAAAAATAGTAGTCATATTAACCATATAAAGTGAAACTACAAAGTGTCAATATCGTCTGTTTGAAAATATATATGCATTCACACACACATACAGTTAAATGTTCTAACTATATGAGATATTCAAACAAGTATCTAGTAAATAACAAAAAGGAAAAACTATCAATACGAAGTGGGCAACAAGATTGAAAATATTTATTATCCTTTTTTCTTCATATTGTGTTCATTTTTAGCTATGCACATTTCTAACAGTTCTATTCCATGTTAGACTGTTAGGTACATCGTAGTTCAATGTTGTGCATAATAATTGTCACATGTGATTGATCATTCAAGAAATGGGAATCCGATATGAATTCGAGGATTCATAAATTGATTTCAAGGATTGACAAAATTGAATTCGTGAATTGAAGAAGGATTTGCCCTTAGAGCACGGAGCTTGAGAGTTGCACCCCTTTAGGAGGATTGTGTGGCTTAGGGTGCCACCCTGTGGAAACACACTTTCTTTGAAACTTCAGCTTTAGTTGGTCATGCCCCAAAAACCACCATTTAGCTAGTTCATCTTGCTTAGATCTTTAGGTGTAGCACAGTTTTAGGATCAGAGCCAGCTGTAAAAAATTCATAGTGGTTCATTCGAACAAACTATCAAGTTGGTCGTGTGAAGGAGAAAGCTACTGGTAAATGTAAGTCCAATTATAAGCTCTATCAGGCCACAAATTTGATTGGTTGGTCCAGAAATAAATTAGATATATTGATGATGAAGAGCTAAGGGTCAAATTGGATAAAATACAAAGTGTAAGTAAGTTTTGGAGTTAATATTTGAAGAATTGTGTAAAGGAGGATCATATATAGCTTAATCTCTTATGCCTCTACTAACTTCTTCTAAATGCAAATTATAATTCCTGCTGTAAAAAAAAAAGATCTTTTCTCTAGGTGCTGTTCGAAATAGTAAATCCTACCATGTTGTTTGACGATACATAAGGTATTATTAGGTTCTAATTATCTTGCATATGAGAGATATATCAAACATTTTTTTTTCGCAATTCAGGTAAGTATGTTAAACATATTGTCTTTATGGTGCCTAAATTTAATTGTGTCTCTACTGTGGTCTCTTGATAACACAAGATTGCATCTTAAAGGACGTTTTTGCTCTTTAAGCAGTTTCTGTGTAGTCCCAAAAAGAGTTGAATTTGTTAAGTTCTTATTTTGTCAATTATGCATAATGATTAGAAAACAACTATATATTTTGCTAGGTTCTAAACTTATGGACACCAATTTTTTTTTTTGGTTTTTCAGGTTGAGAGAGTTTCACACAGAGATAACTTGCAGACTTTTGTACAGAAATCTGAGAACCTTGAGAAACAATGCCTAGCGAAGGCAATAAAATCATACTGCGAACTGAGAGTGCTACCTTACGAGGAAAACAAGACTGTTGTATTTTGAGTGAAGTGAGAAGCAGGAAGAGAAAGAGGGCAGTTGAAAAGGTTTTTTCCTTCTTAGAAGGTGGCAGTTGAAAAGGGTTGCAATCTGTATATACATTCAATTTTTCATTTTAATTTTCAATATAAAATGCTTCCATGTCAACCATTTACTTCTAATTCATATGTCAGCATTTTAGAAATTCAACTTAGTTCTTCTTGTTAGTGTACCGAGTCAAGAGAAATTTCATGAACTTCTGTTTTGGTTTTGATTTATGATGAAGAAGGAAGGTACACAATCAAATTCATAATCTACAATTTTTTTTATTCACAAATTGCAAATGCAAAGTGCAAGCTCAACTCCAAAAGCAATAATAAACCATAACAATTAACAACACAGCAAGCTGGCACAAGAAACTCTTAAGCATAGTCTTCGGATGCTGGAAGTTGAGCATATGACCCAATAAAAACGTCACCATAAATCAAACCGGCCAACCCTCCACCGATGAGTGGGCCAACCCAGTAGATCCAATTCTCCGAAAAGTTTCCGCTAACCACCGCCGGCCCAAATGAGCGAGCCGGGTTCATGGAACCACCGCTGAATGGACCCGCGGCTAAAATGTTCGCGCCAACAATGAACCCAATGGCTATGGGTGCGATTATTCCGAGCGAGCCCTTCTTGGGGTCTGCAGCCGTGGCATAGACCGTGTAGACCAAGGCAAAGGTTATGACTATTTCCATCACCACGCCTTCTAAAGCATTCATTCCTGATGCAACTCCATGGGTAGGAACGCTCTGCAAATTCAAATACATAATTTCATGAAAATTCGATTTTAAGATACGATTTGACTCATTCTAAAATGAATTACATGGAGTAATTCAAGCAAAACAGAGATCATTTCACATGAGGTGCAGTTCACTTTGTCTGAGGGGATTCCACCACACCTCATGTGAGATGATGCCATCTCTAGTGATCTAAACCGTTCAAAATACAGAATAGTTTGTTATTTTAATTTTTTTATTCTTAATAAATATACCAAGCCATTAGTAACAAATTTGAGGAGGAGGCAAGCGACAATGGAGCCAAGTAATTGGGCGATCCAATAGAAGATGCCAGTTAGGATGGTGATGTTGCCTCCAATGGCCAATCCGAAGGTGACAGCTGGGTTGAGATGGCCACCTGAGATGTTGGCTGCCATGGAGACCCCAACAAACAGTGCAAATGCATGGGCCAGAGCCACTGCTACTAGTCCAGCTGGGTCCAGGGCTGCATCTGATGTCAGCTTACCTACAATACAAACCACCACAAATATATATATATATATATATTTATAAGAAATCAAAATAATCATGCTCACACACACACACACACCCACGTACAAATATATACACACACACACATATATATATATAATGAAGTTAAAATTGTAGAGGTAATTGTGTGAAACTTGCAAATATGTCAAACATGTTAGTTTAGCAAGGTGAAAATGAGAGAAAATGTTTTATATATTGTCTTTTCGTTATACACATGACAATTAGTGTACATGATACACACACACACATATACACATAAACGCAAAAAATATACTAACTGAGACTGAGTGAGAGGGAGTGACGTATGTATAAACCTCAAATAATTCAAGTGAGATAGAATTCTGTACACACTAATTCATCTCTGATTATTTTTTTTTTTTTTTTTTTTTGTTGTTGAAAATGAGGTTATGTAAACCCTAATGATGGCCCCACTTACCGTAGGCGATCGCTGATCCGACGCCGGCGAACACAAAAAGAAGGGTGGCAATGAACTCAGAAAGATAAGATTTGAGTGACACAACACTGAAAGAGTCACCAAAGCTGCCAAAAGCCAACTTCACCATTTTTTTTTCCTAACTTGAGAGCACTGAGAATGAAGCTCAAAATTGATCAAGAGACTCAGAAAGTTGGCTTGGCTTTCACATAGCATGGGGTGTGATTATATATATGTACATAGTGCATATAGGAGTTAGCGAGAGGGACTTAGCAGGCACCGACCAGGACCCACATGAGTGAGCTGAGACCGTCGGATTGGTGCCGACCCACCGTCCATATTTGATATAATAGGCATAATGAGCATGCAGACAACTAAATTAGAAATTAATGGACACACAAACAATTAATTTAAAACCATTTGATGATAAGCATGATTGATGAAAAATAGTTAATCAAAGCAAACCTCATTATATTAAGCCTGGAGTTGATCAATGTCATGATCGTATTAGACTAGATAGAGCCCATTAATAAAAGGTTATTCAATAATCCATTACCTAAGATTCTAAGAAGATAATAATAATAAGAACAAGAATGATAATGCTAAAGGGACTTCATATAGCCTGAGTTAATGAATTTTATAAGCACGTTGATGGTGATCGAGTAAATGTTCTTATCTATGACCAAATGGTGTATATATTCTTAATTAGGGGCGGAGTCAGGATTTGAATTTAGGAGGGCATAGTGAGATTTTATTTTTTTATTTTTATTTTTTTAAGAATAAGAAGAAAAAAAAGAAAAATAAATTTTGAAGGAAACAAATTAGAGTATGATTAAAAAAGGGGAATTTAACCTTATTAAATAATGTTAAAGAGTAAAAGATAAAAAAATAGAAAAGTTTTAAAAAAATTTGAAAACTAATAATTTTAGGGAGGCATAATATACAAATTTCTATACATAGATATGTGTGTCTGTGTAAAAAAATAAAAATAAAAATCATATATATACCTAGGGCAGGCCAGTGTGCCCCTCGGGCACAAGCTGGCTCCGCCCCTATCCTCAACCGAAATGAGGGTTTAAATCCCAAGAGTTTCTTGTAAAATATAAAAATGCTAGAGCTGCTTGGTTTGTAACTATGAAAACAGTTATCTGTCAGAAAATTAAAAATAGAAAACTGTATAAAAAAACTCTGTCTGGTATGTTTTTTAAAAACTCATTTATAAAAATGTTTGTTTTGAAAGAATTATAAAAATTATTCTTTAAAAATAATTTTCTGTTTTATGAATTCTAGATAACTGCTATTTAAGTTACACACAAAGCAGTCCTTAAAATTTCTTGTAAAACATAAAATTATCTTGCCTATATTTATAGGAGTTGAGATTTGGGAGACCAGCCGAATCCAACCCAAGTTATGAAAGTTTCAAGACAACATTCAACCGAAGTTAATTTGGGCTAAAAATTATGATGATATATAACGGGTTAATTTTGGGTTGGGTTAATTCTCTCCTTCAAAAAAATTCTAAAAAATGAACGTGAATTTCTAAAAATTTATAAACAAATCCTCAAAAAATATAATTTGATATAAATATAGATTTGGGTTCGAACTAGATTAAAGTTTTTTTTTGCTGGGGGCTCCAATACGGCTAGGCCGAAGGCCCTTTGGTAACCCAAATCAGGTTTGAGGTTTTCTTATTCATTATCAAAAAAATAAAAAAATAAAAAAAACACAAATAAATAAAAGTTAGTTACTATTTAACACTGTAATTTTATCTCCTCCTCTTTTTAAAGAGTTGACAGTCTTTCCAAAAACATAATGAGAGTTTTTTTTATCCTAACAAAATAAATATAAAAATAAATATTAGTTTTAATCTTGTTATTTTGTAAAAAATAATACTATTACAAGATCCTCTCATACCGTGAAATAAATCCTAACTATTAATGGGATTAAAAAATATACTAGCCATGCCAAGCATAACTGGCATGGATTAATAAAATGTCACAAACCTATTCGCTGAAACCAATCAAAACAGTATATTACCTCCGTCCTTTTTTAAATATTCACCTCCTAAATTGTGACTCACAAAAAGGGAGGAGAGAGGGAGTATAATTTATTGTACTTGTCCACTGGCTCCATTTTGAAGAAAATGCATACATTCAATATTTAAATCCGTTGGTCAATTATATGGTTGGTTTCTTCTGCACACCTTCACGGTGAATAAATGATCATAGACTTGAGAATCGAGATCTTGTTAGGGCCACACGGAAACAAATATCCCACTCTACCAAGCTGGTTTTAAACTACGATGGAAGCTATGGTAAAAACAACTCAAAAAATATACCGCGAAACACAGCCTAAATATGAAAGTTGCCAGTTTAATTTAAGGCAAAAGTGATAAAAATAATAATAATAATAATAAATAAATAAAATTTCAAAGTTTCACCAATTGAGCACAATACTCTCATGTGATTTTAAAGTGAGCAAATCAGTCCGTATTGTTTCAAAAGTGAACAAATTGCCCCTTTACATTTCACCTCTAACCACTTTTCGTCGAATATCATTGTGCATTTACCAAACTATCCCCTACAATTAACTTTTTTAAAAAATATATAAAAGGCAAAATATCTTAAATGTCATATAAAATAAACTGTTACATTATATTACGGCTGCAACTCGGGCGGGCTGGAGACTTAATTCGGGCTCAACCCATATACAAAATTTTTTGCCCAAGCCCAACTCAAGCCCGCCTAAAGCCCAAGCCCAGCCCATAATTAACTTCTCCCGCCCATGAGCCCACGCCTCTGTATTTAGAATGTAAAAAATAAGAAATTTGTGGACTCGAACAGTATTCCTGCAAGAAAAATCTCAAACATACTACCAACTAAGCTATTATACACTTGTGAAATAACATAATTTTAAAATAAATATACCCTTTCCAGGCTCGGGCTGGGCTTCGGGCTTTATATAATATCAATCCAAGCACAACCCGAATTTAATTCAGGCTCAGAATATCTAGCCCAAGCCCAGGCCTAAAACAGAAAAACACTGCCCCAGCCCTGAAAATTTCGGGCTGGGCTGAGGTAAATTTGGACTAGCTCAACCCAAATTGCAACCCTACATTATATATGACTCTAAATTGAACTTCTCATTTGGGCCTCTACATGAATTACGTGAACCCGGGCTTTCCTAATCTTTTTTTCACAACACGTGTTTCACTATTTTGTCATCTGTAATTACGGAGTATTTATTTATCTATTTATTTTAATGCTTCCTCTTCTCTATTCATGGCCGGGTTGAACTATCTGTAGGTTCTTGTATGTGGACCACGTAATAATGTATATGCACACGTGTGCGTTAATATGTTTAAACAAGTTTATCACGATGCATTTTCATCATGAGATCAACCCTCCTCAACTATTGTATTGATAAATATTTAATGCTTACAAATGCATTTTGAAAATGAGAGTGCCTTGATGGTAACCAAACTAATTATCAGGTAGTAGAAGCAACAAGTAAAAGTAGAAGAAACAAGTGAAAGAAATGCACATAAACATATAACAAACAACATATACATATACATATATACACAACAACAATAATAATATATACCCATGTCTCCATAGAGGCTCGAACCCCCGACCTCTTTTTGAAAAGTAGAGTTCTATCTACTTGCTCATTGGTATTATTATATTATATTATATATTTAAATGTTTAAAGTAAGTTACCTTGGAGCTATATGCAAATGAAAAGAAGAGAGCAAAAATGGGTTTGATTGGAATAAACAAATGCAAAACCTTTTTTTATAGGAAGAGGGGTATAACGATCATATTGGAGGATAATTTCAGTATTAATTAAAAAATATTAATCACCTGCATCATAATATGGATGGAAAATGGCCGGAAGTGAAATGTGAGGGGGCAATTAGCTCACTTTTGAAACTATAGGGACTGATTTGTTCACTTTTAAACCACACGAGGTATTGTGCTCACTTGATGAAACCTTAGGGTTTTTTTTTTTTACACTTTTGCCTTAACTTAATCAAATTAAACAAGCATTCATAAATAAATTAATAGACCGTGTTCAAGATTGTTTAAATGAGTTAAACAAGTAAAACGTCAGCTTGGCAATGTGCTCAAATGCTTATTTTGAACTTGATGGACTAGAGTTTAAGCTTGAGAGTAAGATTGACTAAAACAAAATTTAGTTCAAATAATGAATCCATACTAGGATTCTCTAGACTTTTGTTCACGAGCATATCGAATTGCTAGTGAATTGTTTGGAAGCAAAAGGGTATAAAAGAAGAGAAATGACAACATTATGAGTCTCATAGAAAAGAAAAGATAATAATAACTTGTATTGATGTTTGGATAAATTATAAAAGAAAATAATAACATTCTTGCTTGAAAAAAACCAAAAAGAGTAAAGAAAACGTATCATTTTAACCTATTTACTAACCCACCTCATGTTAAGATGGGATCTAAATGTCTTTTCCTATTTTTATTTATTTATTTATTTATTTTTTTTTTGGGGAGTTAGGTAGACAACTCACGTGCATCCACATAAATTTGCCCACTTGAATTTGGAACCTTTCACTTCCTTTGGGAAAGGGACCAGTGGGGGGTGTAGTACAGTTAATTTAAGGTAATGAGCCGGAATATTATGTACAATTTTAGTTGTTGTCTCCACATTTGAGAATGACTTCTTTTCTTACTCTAAACTCTTAAACATCGTTAGACATCTGATCCATGACCTTTGATTGGGTCACATAAATAGTATTTCGTACTGATTTTGAGTCATGTACGCAAATGGTTAGACAAAGGATTTAAAATTTAGTACACATCAGACTAAATTTATATAAATAAAAAATAATATCATCCTTAATAAATATTTAATAAAATTATACATAAATACATTCAAAAGACACTAATTATCATTATACCTAAATTGTTATTGATGGAGAGCACTCTTATCAATTTATCTTATTAATTTACAGCAGAGCAACCAGTTTGCATGAATCACTTCATCTCATGATTCACATTAGTACCTGTAGTCTGAATTATTTGTTACCTGTACTTACTTTACTCTCTCCTGAGGCATACACAGTTATATACATATACATTCAAATATTATTCAATCTTTCACATTTTAAAGGTGACCCACTCAATTATTGTATGTTATTGAACATCCATTTTATAATTAAATAATTTGGATTTCCCATGTGGGTGAGCTGGCATGTTTGAGTTATGTAATTAATTATTATGCCATGCTTTTAATTTTTAAAGTTGCTGGTAAGATATCAGATGATGATAAAGAAAGCCGTTATCGAACATAGCACACAAGCGAAATTAATACTCACTGCAGGCCATAAATAATATAATTAATTAATGAGTGAGTGTCTGGTTTAAAACCCGAAATACGCACTAATAACCAAATCTTTTAATCTTGTTCATGTTCACATAGCAAAATTCAATACTCATTGCAGGTCATAAATGGATAATTAATTAGTTTAATTAATTATATATATATATATATATATATATATATATATTTATTTATTTATTTATAAACAATTTTTTAACTAAGAAAACAATAAACTGATTTTGAGATAATTTGAAGTTTTTTTTGTTTGCTTGAAATTTTTCTGAATTTGACCCTTTTTTTTTTTTTTTTTTTTTTTCTAAGAGGAAATTTGTATAATTCTCTTTAAATTGTTTTCATTTTACAAATTTTTTTAATTAAATATCTAATCTGATCTGTGATAATGATAATTTAATGTACTCTAAGAATGTATTAGTTAATAATGATTTAAATAAATTAATTAAATTTTTCTGTATTGGGTTAGGGTTAAAAGATAAATAAATAATATTACTTATAAAAATAAAAATAATAATGGATAATTTAAAATTTCAATCCACGGATCTGATCCGTGGAATGACGGATTAAATTTTTTTTAGTCCGTTGGGAGTGGATTAGAATCGGATTGATGGCTAATCCGATCCGATCCGTGGCCACCCCTACCTTAAAGTATACTCTGCGTAACACTTTTACTCCATATTTGAAAAAGTGTACAAAAAACATCCCTAATCTTTTCACATTGTACAAAAATATCCGCTCTAATATAAATTAATGCTATAATACCTGATTTGCCTTTTGCTCTTCCGAAAAAATGTCAAATGGGGTATATATACTACTAATCTCATACTATGTGGGTGTTATCCACACATTACCTTATATATATTTTTTAAAACTTTTTTCTTTATATATATCTCTAAACATTTTTTTTTTTTTAACTTTGAGAATTTGTAGAACAATAATTCGAATTTTTTGATATTCCAGTTTACTCTTTTCTATTAATTTTTTTTTCTTTTTTCTTTATATATATCTCTAAACATTTTTTTTAAAAAAACTTTGAGAATTTGTAGAACAAGAATTTGAATTTTTTGAGATTCCAATTTATTCTTTTCTATTAATTTTTTTTTCTTTTTTTTTTTTGTACCAATACTGTTAAAAAAAAAAATCCCAATATCAGTATGCATTAGTTTTCAGAGTTTTGAAAAATTTTATTTTCTTTAATTTGCACTTTATATATATTTTTTCTATTTTTATTTTTACTTTTCTTTTATACTTTTAATTTTATTTTTATCTTTACTTGTCCATTGTAGGTATTCTCCAATAATGTCATTTTCGATCATTTTATAAAATTATTTATTTTTATATATTTTATAAAATGGTTCAGTAAGAGTAATTTAGTTAACTTAAGGGTTTAAATTTGATAGAGAGACCTATTTGCACCAGATTGAAACTTTAGGGATATTTTTTGCACAAGATGGGGCATCCTCCAATTGTGTTATTTTCGGTCATTTTACAAATTTTTTATTTTTATATATTTTATAAAATGGTTTAATAAGGGTAATTTAATCAACTTAAGTTTTAAAATTGTTAGAGGGACCTATTTGCATCAAATTAAAACTTTAGGGGTGTTTTTTTACACATGAAGTGTGTGACATGCACTATAAGCATATTTTAAGAATGTTTTATACACTTAACCCACTAAATAATTGTTTCTTATTTTGCCGTAATTTAAATATTTAGTATCAAAATGTAAGAAAGATGATTGAGAAAAAAATGAAGAGAATGAGAGAGAGAGATAGAGAGAGAGTGGGAGAGAGTAAAGTATAGATTTTTAAAAGATATATACCAAAATTACCAATCCATTTTTCAAGAAAAAAATATGAAAAGAAAGGGGATGAGGGAAAAATAGTAATAAGAGGGAGAGTTTAGAGGGGAGAGAGAGGAAGGAAGATATTATGGTGGACAGTAAAGAAGAAAGCATCTTTCATCCTCTTTTGATTTTTGATTTTTCCCCTTCTTTTGTCCCTCAAAATTCAGAGCCTTTTTTTTTTTTTTTTGTACCCTCTTTTTAATATTTACAATTACAACAGTAAAATCACTCAATACTTTCATTTTTCTAGCTTATTTCCTTTATACTTGAAAGAAGTAATTGGCAAAAAAAAATATATATATTTATTTATTTATTTTTCCCTTTGTGAACATCAAGACTTTCAATGTTGATTCGTACTTCTAAATATAAATTATTTTATATAAATTATTTTCATCATGCTCACAACAAACTTGTGATACGCGTCTTTCCAATTTATTTATATTTTTTAACATTTTAACTACTCCAAATATATATATATATATTTCTTATAGAAAGTAAATCACATAATCAACATTCACCTCACCCGATTACATATTTGGTGTAATAGAATAAATTAGGATTTACTTAATATATATATAATTTTATTGAATATAAAACTAAATATAAGGACAAAATTATTATTTATCATTATAAACGGACCAGATAACTTTTCTCTATCCTCACTCTATAATTATGCAGGTTTTCAATCATAACCATTCCCGTCCCAAATTTTTTACCCACCCTCATAACAGTTCTAAATAGGTCGGAATAAAACGAGTGCCCGATTCGCATGGTATTTTGCCATCCCTACTGGTGTGGCCACTCAATCAACATCCACCATTTTACTTTTCTTTTACCACTTTCACTAAACATATACAATCAAGTAAGAATTTATATTTGTTTTTTATTTTTTATTTTTTATTTTTTTATATTTATGAAAAAACACACTCTAAATTAAGCAAGTACTTTGGACAGCCCAAGAAAAGGAATGACAGCTACTAATAACAATGGCCTACATTCCGCCACCTCATTCACGACTCATAATTATTCCTGGGACCGTCTATAGAGGATCACAATCTCATGATCCAACCCTCTAACGACCAGTGAAGTCTCTCCATTTCTGAAGTCAAGACATTTTAGTGAGAGAAAAAGTTCAGAGGGAGAGAGAGAATTGCAGGTGAAATAAATCCTTTCATTGAATGCACTCAACGACGCAAAAGTGATAGAATTCAATTTCTGGCAGCTAACATGGTCCCATTTTTCGGGGTAAGTGTTTGCCTAATTTGTCTTGGTATTCACTATTCACTATTCACATTCTCTCTTCTTTGCAGTGCTTAAATTCAAATTCCACGTATCTAACACTTGAATCAATCAATTAGAAATACACCCATTAAAGAACTCTCTCCTTTCATTCCTTCCATCAAATTCATTGATTTTATCTGATACCAATCTCCCAATATCATCACATAATCTCTGTCGGTGTCATTTATATCACATTTTGTTACTTTCTGGCTACACATATATTATATATAGAAGAAGATTGTGATAACTTTGGATCTCCAGTGGAGATTCAAAGAAAGAAAATATATAATGGATGGTTTCATTGCAGATGAAGATGGAGAGAAAGTGGGTAGGAGAGAAAATGGAGAGCTTTGTGCTAGTTCACATGTTCATGGCCAGCACAGGCGCTGTAGGAGGTGCATTTCTCAGCTTGTTGTTTATTTCAATTTTTACTAGTTAATCATAGAGTGAAATGCAAAACTTGAATTATACAAGGGTTTGGATTTTTTTACACTCTTATGTTTTTCTATTTAGGTTGGAGTGAATAATCATAGAATGGGATATGTAGATGCAAATAGACATTAATTTGAGAAGTTTAAAGATTTTTTTGAAATATTTTATTTGGGTTTCTGAATCCTTGTTGCATCAATATGTATTTTATGTCTATTTGTTATAGCACACACCATGATTATAATTCACGGCTTCGCTTTCACTTTTCTCTCTTTAGAGTTGTGTTGTCACTAATATAATTTACAATATGCTTTGTTTTCGTTTTTCTGTTTCTAGTACCTTGTAAATAGAGTGCTGTAATGAGCTACCTGAAGGTTCACTGTTAAAAGTTTGAGTTATTTGGGCTTAATTTGTTGGTGAATATCACAATTGAAACTTGTGATTGAGTGTGTGTAAAAATAAAATCCAGGAATCATGAGTAGAGTTATCAGGGGGACTGGTGTGGGGAGGTCATTGTGTATTCAGGTGATGAGCAGGTTGTGTATAGGAAGCATACAGTTGTTAGAAAGCAATTTATAGTCCACATGATTTTCTTCATTTGGTTGTTAGGTCTTTGTTATAGTTCTGGTCTCGTGAGTTTCCTTCTGATTTTCCAAGGTTGTGAAGGAAGACACAATGACCCATCTTTTGATTGAAGATGGTCCCAGATAGGTTTTAATGGAAAATGAACTTTTTAACTGAGTGAGGCTGTTTTGGATTTCCTGTAGTTTCAATGTCTACTGAGCACTTGTGTTATTTGTAAAACCAATTGCATCGTAGTATCCTCTCTCTCTATCTTTTTCTTTTTCTTTTTCCTTGGTAACACTCTTAGTAGATCTTTTCTTTTCCTTTCAGTGCTTCTGACAGGAACTCAGGTCTTTCGAGAGGTAGAGTTTCACATTTGGGACGGAACAACTTGAATGAAACACATGTATGTATGATCATGAATCTTATTACTTGATGTCAGTTTGTTGCCTCTTGTGGTACTCTTTCATGCAAGTTGATGCTACAACTTTGGGATACCAACATTTTCTAGCTTTATATTATTTATTTTATAATGACGACGGTGCATTGGATAACAATGGAATTTACCCATTTCTTGTTACGGTTGTGTCTAACAGGAATTTTCACCTCTGAAAAGGACTTGTGGAGGAGCACGGAGTCCACTTCAGGAATACTCCAATGCTAACATGGATACGTCTATCCATCGCGTTTCTTTGGAAAAAGATGTAATCTTGGAATTGGATATCTGTTTTTCGTTTCATTGAGATATAATCTTACATGAATTTGTTTATATATGTGTTTTTTCATTATTCCATACTTAAAAATTGGTTGCAAATAAGTTGTATACATTGAGTATATTGGTGGGTTGGGGCCTTTTCTTTAGGAGGTGGACATGCGTGGTAGAATGTTTGGTGAATACATTCTGGATGAGAGTGGACCAGTTCAGAAAGAGAGGTGGAGGAGTGAAGCAAGAGGGGTAATGGTAGTGACTGCTAAGAATTGTAAATTCTAGCCCGAAGGGTGAAAATCTGGAGCTTATAGTGTTCAATTCATTAGTTTGCTAGCATTCACCCACTAAAGAGGGATACTGGATGTATTAAAGGGGTGCTTAGCTAAGGGGTCCACATGGCCCATTCCAAACCATGGTGTTGCCAAGTGTCATCCCCATGAGGCATACATAAACATGAGCTGTGAAGACGAGGCCTATGCTTGCAGCACCATACGTCCCTAAGAGCACCTTTCCACTCTCATTCTGTACAAAGTGTGCTCTGCTCCCCCGTGTACAGCCTAGAATAAGAAGTCACCTTAGCCCGCCGTTGAACTCTAGCTGCCACCCCAGGAACCTCCAAACATCTCAATCACCATGACATAAGTGCAGAAACATGCTGTCATAAGCACTTGACCACTCCTTCAAGGAAGGCTTCTGTGAGCCCTGCCTCTGGCCTCTGGCAGGTGTAGAGTTTCAGGGTGTTCTTTCTTTAACTTCCACTACTTAGGATAGTGATGGCTTCTGGAATTGAGCGAACAGATCTAGGTATTGCCATGCCCAGAGGCATGATTTAGGAGTTCGCCCTTTGGGGAATATTGACTGGCCAGAGTTCCATGTGGCTGTCTTGCGGTTGATGCATGACTCTCAAGAGCATTCCATGTGTCAGAAATGTCATTATGTTACCACATATCAAGGTTACCCATTGAGGTCCTCATTAATTGAGGGTGCTGGGAGGGGTAGATTGGATACAGAGTCTTTGTTATCATTTGCTCTAAGTAGCTGCTCTCAGAATTCGAACCCGCATTCTCACACACTCGACAGAACTTTTATGGCTGTACCAAGCAATGGTCCCTAGGTCACAGCATGGAGAGAGAGAGAGAGAGAGAGAGAGAGAGCACTTTTAGTCGCTGTCCGCATCACTTAATGGGGTCTTCAGTGTTCCTCAAAAAATTATTGTTTTGGTGTTCTCTATGTTAATTTGCATATAAATGGGAAAGTGATTGATTCTTCCAAAGAGATGTTAGCACATTGATTCTGCCTTGAATTTGTTTTCATTGTTTTATTGATTCTTTGTCGAGATCATGCAATCATGCACAAGTTGTATAATAAGCTTCGTGGAAGCATTTAATTTTTTTTGGAAGCAAAATAATGATAGATATTCTGTATGAACCCATAGAAAGTATTGAGTTTAAACTGGAAAATATGAGTCACAATGAATGGAAAAGGCCCACTCGATAGTAGTTTCTTTTCATCATTTATCCATAGAGACTTTGGCATATTCTCCATGGGAGAATTAGAGGAACTTCAGAAAAAGAAAAAAAATTTACTCTGGTAACTTCCTACTTTCACTTTGGGGAATGCTACGCCAAAAACTTTTTCCGAGTCCATTTTAGGGGCTTTAAACAGCTGGAAGTGTTATTTTCCCCCTAACAACCCCAATGGTGAATCAGAGTAGAGGGTGACCCTCGTTCACGCCCAATTATCCCCATATAGATAGTGTTCTGGATCCAAGTGATTCAGTCAGTAGGAATGTCAGTAAGAAATTCAAGTGCCTCTCCTGCAGGCCGAAACATGTTCTCCGAATAGATGCAGCTCGTCCAACTGGAATTGGCTTCAATCAAGATTGCCTCGGTTTCTGTGGCACATGAGAAATTGACCTAACATATTTTTAATCGAAATCCCAATCAAAGAAAAGTTCTACCAAGGTCAGGATCTGAAAGAGAAGATTCACTTTCCGAAATTCCAAGTGACATGATTCCTTCAAAAGTTAAAGTTAAACGATCGAAGTTTCCTTCAGGTTCAGTTGAAGAGATCGAAGCGAAGTCATCAAGTCAACCGTTTGTATGGTCTCTCCTAAGACTGAGCTTTTCCAAATGAACTGAACCTTGATACCACATTCATCAAAGAGATACAGCCATCTCTCTAGGTTGCACAATCCCTTTAGATCTTCTACCATTCGACCAGATCTTCTAGTTTCTATTCTAATTTTCTGGCTTCAAGCAACTTTACAAGTAAGGGAAAAGCCTTAATTAATATTCTCAATGAAGTGAAAGGCTTTAACTTTAGAGTTCAATCTAGTTTTCATCATTGTTGATAGAAAGAAGGGAGTGTTTCAATTTCCTTTTTTGTTGACCAAATCCCATCTTTCTCAGTTACATGCCTTTATTTGTCCCTTTTGTGTCGGCATTTTGGAAGTCACTATTAAAATCGTTTTTCTGGCTATCTGAAGCTCCGCCCGTAACTAAAGAATTCGACCTGGTTTAACAACGTATACCCAATATTTGGGAGATCCTTTCCCAGAATATATACGTGTTTTTATAGGTCTTACTCTCCATCTTTTTCCACCATGACGTGCATATCGTGTCATTGCTCGTTCAGTTTTGGTATATAGCAGTGGACTTTTCAATTCTACAGACTGAATCAATTCTGGTGATATGTTGCCGGTTTTTGTGCTTCTTAATTTGTCTTTGACAAATGATTTTACTGAAATTATTATGGATATTTGGGATATCTGTAATTATGAGTTCTTACAAACTTTAATCCCCTGGCACAATATGTAATACACACAAATTATCCTCATGCACTTTGATGCTTAGCATAAAAAAATGCTCTAACAGGATATGCATCTTCTCTATACTGAATCTTGCTGAGAGTTTGCACATACATGGACGATGCTCCATGCTCTGTCTTTTCTGTAATGACAAAACCCCAAACTAATCAAGTATATTATTTTCTAGACTGGTGTTCACCTACAAAATTAACTTTGCTATAAAAATATCTTACATTCCTTATACAAATGATGTATTAATTTGCAGATCGAGCAGCTGCAATCACGTTTACAGCAAGAGAAGTCCATGCGGATGATGCTTGACAAGGCGATGGGTCGTGCTTCTAGTACTTTATCTCCTGGGCATAGGCATTTTTCTGCTCAGGTAATTTTGGTTTAAGAGCTCCAATCTTATATTTAACTTTTGCGGAGTTGAACTTAGAGCAACCATTATGCTATTTGAAATATCTAGTATCATATAAAGAATTTCCGACAACATATGGTATTTGTCTATGCAGAAAACCTGAAATTTCATGTTTAGCATCCAGGTGATGCAATGCGGAATATAAAGATTACTTTTGATGCCAAACAAAATAAGCAGCCTCATCAAGTTGCTTAAATTCTAAACCATCCAATAAGTGGGTACCTGTTTTTATTTTATTTTAAACATTGAGTGGAAGTACAAAAAGGTACATTAATAGATGGACAGTTCCTTGCGCTGGGGGCGCCGGCATCCGGGATGCAGCAGCCTCGCTTGAGAAGGACAAGACCATCAGAGAGGAGGCAACAACCACAAGGAGTAGTGCACGATTGATGTTGAGCTCCATTGTCAAGGCTGGCGGCTGGGGCAGATCGATATATCCCAATAGATATGTATATATATTGGGGAGATCGAAGAAGAAGTTTAATTGGGAATGGAAATTAAAGTCTAGAGAAGGGCGTGTTCTTATAGAGGAAAATATTGCATGGCTTCTTGGCTATGCATGAAAATAGCTAGGGCTTTTAACTTAAATAGTCTTAAAATAGGTTAAAACCACGTGGCTCTTAATGTATGCTGACCAAAACAAGAAGTGTAATACCCTGATTTGAAAAGGATAGTCTCGGCATTTAATTATTTGTTTTAAATTGCATTTTTATTAATTATTTCATTACGTGTTTATTTGCTTATATGTTTTAATTGAATTAATTGTTTTTGTGTGCTTAAATATGTTTTAATTAATTTGTTATCTGATGTGCTTGCTTAATTGATGTGTTTGTCTAATGGGAATTATGTGTTAGATTAAATGATTTAAGTGTGTATTTTTTTATTTTTTATTTTTTATTTTAAAGAGGGATATGGATGGTAGTAATGGACCAAACAATTGGGTCGCATGGCCTACTTGGGTAGGAGTTGTTATAGGTACGAATATATACCCATATATGGATGGTTGTATATATATATATATATATATATATATATATATATATATATATATTTGTGTATATATGTATATAAGGATAGAGTATTATTAGTATTATTAATTATTTATTATTACTGGTAATGATAGTAATGTTAGGATAGTAAGTTATATATATATAATTATAAATCATATAGTATAGTTATATGTATATGTCATCACGTACAGACCTAAAGTATATATATGAGTATTGTTTTATTTCTTTCCTTTATTATTAGAATTAGGTTACAATTGGGATTAGGGTTATTTTAGGTTACAGAGGGTTTACAGAGAGAGAAACTGAGAGAGGAAAAGAGAGGTTGGCCAAGGAGTTCAAGGCCGGACCAAGGGGGAAGGTGAGAAGGCTGTTCGTGGGTTGAACCAGGATCAACAGAAGTCTTGACGGCATTTAGAGATCGCCGGAAAACCTAGGAAGGAGACTCTTAAAGGTTTCAAACCGAAACCTAAGGCAAGTTCTTCTCCTACCCTCTCCCTTTGATTTGTGTTTCTATACATGCCTAGGAGATTCCAGGATACTTAAATAATATAATTAAACAATTATGCATGTTTGAATCGGATTAGAACAAAGGATTTCATAGTTTTATTCACCTGTTCTTGTTTTGTTTATTTTTGGATTTACGTTGCATGATTTGTTGTTTAAGTTTGATCTTTACATGTTAGGACATCTAAAATAAATTATTATAGGAGTATGGGACTTAGATCGAAGGTTAGAATTCTTATCAATGGAGGTTGGACGGAAAAATAGAGGAGTTATAGGAGGAAGTAGTCGACTATATTGAATGGCATAGTAGACTACGCATAGTCGACTATATTGAAGGGCACATTGAAGTAGTTGTTGACTGTGTACAGTAGAATATTTTGAGGGCACAGTAGACTATGTTGAGGGTGGTTTTAGCTGTGATTTGGGTTTCTTGGTTACTTTGCCCATAATGTGTATTTTTCCATTTTAATTGCTTTAAATGATTTAAATGGACATAGAAAAATCCCAGAATGCATAATCTACCGTAATATGCTATGGACTTGAACAACATGAAATTTTAAAATAATTTTGCATACTATTATTGAATATGGGTGTTTTAAATTTCTTACTTTTGTTCTAGCAATTTTCTATATATGGTTATAAAATTGTAATCATGTATCAGCAGTATAGTATACTCAGTTAATTATCTGATTTTTATTATGCATATTATTCGGATTTAATTGATGTATTATTTTAATTATTTCATCAATTATTGGATCGTATGTATGTGATGCACCAGTATGGAATGGTGGCATCTTAGGGACGGATTAATTGATAAAAGTTAAGTCCTACCTATTTGGATTTATAAGGGAACAAATTAACTAGAAAGTTAAGTCCTCCTTATTTTCATGTCAGGCCATTAAATCCAGATTATGAATTATGTTTGTTCTCCTATTTGGAGACCCTCTCTCAATTGAAGGCATATCTTCATATCTCTTTGAACAGAAGATGAGTAAGAAACTAAATACTTCCCTTAAAGTATTTGGGTTACTCCGGTTCCAAACTCCTACCAATTTGATCTTATAGAATATGAATCTTCTTCGATACCCACAAAATCTTCTTGCTATACTCTGTTGAATTCTGACAATTGCAATCACACTATGTTTTTTTATTATATAAGTTCATATTATTTTGCTTCATGGCTTTCTTATTTTTCTTAATGAGCCACAAATGTGGTGAGTTTGGTGGAAAGCAACTCTAAAAAGTTCTGGTTCATTGTAGACAAAAGAGTTAATAGCTGAGATTGAGTTGCTAGAAGAAGAGGTTGCAAATCGAGAGCAACATGTTCTCACTCTCTACAGGAGCATTTTTGAACATTGTGCTAGCCGGCCACCTTCTGCGCAAAGCTCGGGCATGGCTTCTCCGGCCCATACAAAGAATGAATCGCGGAAACACCCAAGTATAATTTCAAGTGCTTTTTGTTCCTCAAAGAAGTTCCCTCTGCGGCCTTTCCAAACTCTGGCTTCTATAAATGACTTGGGGAAAAGAACCTTGTTATTGCAGTCGAAGACAAGACATGCTTCGTTGTCGGGCAGCAAGACTAACATCCACTTTGAGAAGACTTTTTCAGACCATGTTAAGGTACTTTATTTCTTCTTTTATCATGGTTGTATAGTTATTTGCCTTAAGCTGTTCTCTAATTTTTTGTGGTTTTCTTTCGGTATACTCTTTTATTTCTAATCTTTTGTATAATTGATTTATCATCTTGAATATAAATCTTTTGATGATGTGTCATGTATGGTGGTTTTTTTGTTTCTTCTAAATTTAAATTTAACAAAACTTTTTGATACTTAAATTTAACAAAACTGAATAAATTCCTTAGTTCTGCATTGCTATTTTTCTGTCACGCTATATTAATGCACGAGTGTTCAAAGCATGACCTAAAACTTTTGCCAGTATTAACTAAAGACTAGTTCACACTAACTTCAACATTCGAAACTCAATTTAAGTAAAAAATTAACCCAATAAATTTGAGAATTACAAAATCCATCAGACTAGTAGTAACTCCCAAAAGGAAATGATAAAAGCAGTAATTTTCAATTCTATGATCAAACTATTTAGATTACTGATCACTGTGAGCGCATTAGAATGACTCTTCTGGACGTGGCCTATCACTTAAACAGCTTGCATAGGACGGGCATACTTCACAGATTAGGGATAGTCTATATATCCTTCATGAGCACATGCCTCAAGTCAATTACGGTTTTTAAACATCACAAAGAGATAGAATGATTCCATTGTGTTTTGATAGCATTTTAAAAACCCAATTCCATTTGGATACTTCTGAATGAAATGGTTTTTTTGTGTGTGTGAATATCCACAGGATTCTTTTAGGATTTAGGAAATGATTTTGCTTCTAATGGTAAGAACTATTTATGATGACCCCATCTCATGCAATACTTATAATTGTTTAATTTTTGGTAAGAATTTCGTGGTAATAGATGGACCTGTTTCTTTGAATGCTATGGGAAAACAAAGCAGATTGTTCTTTTTCATGAAATGTTTGAACACTCTTCTAATGGGTTTCTTCCATTTACTGAAGCTTATTTTTGGTTTGCATTGCTAGACTGATAAAAACTAAAAAGAGACATTTCAATATCTGAACTATCTCATTTCAATTTTTTGTAACAGGTTGAAGAAAAGGTAACAACTATGAAAAGAACTCCTGTACTACGAACTCTTAAAGACCATCTCTGCCAGTGCCCAAGCAAGTTGTCTGAGGAAATGGTCAGGTGTATGGCTGCAGTATATTGCTGGCTTCGTAGCACGACCCCTGCAAATCTAGAACAAAATCGATCGCCTTTATTGTCAAGGTCTTCCACCAATGTTGTACTTCCTCAACGTGGTACTGGAGAGGAACGGAGCTGGTCTTGCAAATCCACGGTTGAAATATCTTCTATTTCAACTGACAAAAACCACTTCTCTTGTGCTTCTTATGCCATTAACAACTACAGGTGAATTCACCAACCCCTGCAAAAGAAGAGGTGGAGAAGAGAGTAAAAATAAAGAGGAGGTTTTTTTTCAGTCCTTTGTTTAGAGTAACTTAAAATTTTCATCAGATGCAATGTGGAGAAGTTTCACTTGAAATCCTGTGTGTCTTCTCCTTGTGTTCGTATTGTAATTGGGGCAAGTTTCACTTAAAATCCTCTCATTTTCCTTGTGTTCATATTGCATAATCCATTTGAATCCAAATCCAAGTTGCAAGTTCAAACGGATTTGTACTATTCTAGATTACATTCATTTTTCGAATGTTCTCCCCCCTCCCTCTTCTTCCAGAAAGAAAACCTCCTGACTGGGAAAGAACTATAAGAAAACAAAAAAATTGAAATCCTAATGTTGCTTAAAATATGTAAGGATATTAGAACTTAGTGTCAACAAATTTGTTAACAAAAGTCAGTCTGTGATTTTTACTTTTGTAGCATATATTCAAAAGTTGGTTTAGCTAGTTAGGGCTAGAATTTACCTTGGATCCATGAAAGATATTTATCACTATCTCCCTGTAGAGACCAGCCATACTGTTCTAAACCCTAGACTCTCTCTATCTTTCCCTCAGAGAAACGTGCATGAGGATACTAGAACTTTACATATGCTGTAGTATTGAATTAACATCTCTCTTCTTTTCCTGATTCAGAGTTCTAGTGGAACAACTGGAAAGGGTGAATGTGAGTCAGATGGAAAACAACGCCCGGACTGCATTTTGGATCAACATTTACAATTCCCTGGTTATGCATGTAAAGATCACCTAACTGATAAATAGTTTGCTTTCCCAATTCATAGATCTCTTCTTAATTTATCTTCTTTGACTCATGCAGGCATATTTAGCATATGGAATCCCACACAGCTCTTTGAGAAGGTTAGCCTTTTTTCACAAGGTAGTGCACTTCTTCATGTGAAATCCATTTAAAGGAACTCTTTCTTTTTAAGTTTCTGCATATCATTTATTTTGCATGATATATGTTATCTAGTGCTTGACTGGCCGCGGGTGAAGAGAATTTCTATACACTTAAGAGAAGTTTGTTCTTTTTCAATACTGTGCCGTACTCTGTTACAACAATCGTAGCGAACCAAGAGCAAATCACAAATCACGAAAGAAAAGTAAACACACCACACACAAAGATTTACATGGTTCGACACAAGTTGTGCCTACATCCACAGTGAAGATCCAGCAAAAGGTTTCACTATGTGAAAATTAAGGAGATTTCAAGTTTGAGCTCCCAAACCCTAAGCGCCCTTATGTACTGGGCTACAAGAGAGTACTAAACAGGGTCCACAATCTGCAAGCCAAAAAACAGGCCATATAATTGGGTCAAAACCAGGTCACAAACACGACCTGGGCCAAATTCGGAGCACAACATCACACTATCATTAGAACTGAAGTAAAACAACAAGAGAGAGAGAGAGAGAGAGAGAACTTCTGGAATGTAACATAAAGCTGATAACACTCTTAACTAGACTATCATAAATTCTGTCCATCAAGGTTCGTGTCTAGTGTTGCAACTACCAGGGTTTTTGTTATACATGTTTATAATAAATTAAGTCAAATTAAATTGACTGAAATCTGGGTGTGGGGTTTCTCTTTCTTTTATTTGCATTTATCAGCACTTTGACTAGAACATCTTTTGCTGCTTCTTTTTTCTGAATGATTCTCATTCTTTTTCACTTACCAAAAAAGAAAAGAAAAGAAAAGAAAAGATATTCTTTTTCGTATACTTCATCTTAAATATCTTTTCTTTTCTCCCTTATTTCCCCATTCTTGAACCCTGTTCTCCTGCCCACCATGACATGGAACTGACAACAATTATTTGAGGCAACATGAGCAAAAGATCTCAAATTTCATTTCTAAAGAAATCCTCAATTCCATTTTTTCATGCTTTTAACAATGTATCACATTAGCATCACTGATATGCATGTTTTGATCCAAAACTCATGATTCAGAGTTTTTCCCATCCTTCTGTTTTCCCTATTTTTCTGCATATTCATTAATAAATAATTGATGGGTTTCTCTGTTATAGTGCAGGCTGCTTACAACATCACTAGCCATGTCATTAGTGCAAATGCCATAGAGCAGTCAATATTTTGCTTCCGTACACCCCGAATTGGACGGGTACTGCCTTGCTTTCCTTTGAAACACGCACACACCGGCAATTATTGGATGAACCAACTTATTTTTACAAACAAGTATTGAATGGGTACGGTTGCCTCCTATAAGCTGGTCTCTGTTTTTGACCTGCTTATAGGTTTGTTTCGTGTGGCCACTTGATTAGCATTTGAATGACATGTTGTGGGTTGTGTGGTTGAGGGGAAGGTTTAAATGAGGAAAGGCTTGCAGTGGATACTTAGGCACCCAGAGTTGAAGCAAACTTGCAAACTTAATCATGGTTAGAAGGGGGAATATTGGTTACATGTTCATGTTTGTTTAGACATAAGAAATACGTGATTCTTTAATATAGTGCAAAATTAAAAACTATATTTTAACGTAATAGTTTTTCAATGAGGGGAAGGTTTAAATGAGGAAAGGCTTGCAGTGGATAAGAAATACGTGATTCTTTAATATAGTGCAAAATTAAAAACTATATTTTAACGTAATAGTTTTTCAATGAGATGGATGAATGGGTGGGCCATGTGTATAACTAATACAAAGGGGATGCCCCTATCTAAACCCATGTGTTCAAACTTGGCAGCCAAGCTTTTTCTTGGTGTAACATTCAATCATATGGCCTTCGTTGTTTTATCAGTTATATGATGCTCACTTGACTTTCAATTTAAGTTCCACTGATTATAACTATTAATAGCACATTTTTTCAACCCATATTTGTGTCAGAAAAAAGAAAAAGAAAAAAGATATAATGATTCTCATTCTAGTTTGTAGCGAAAATCGATGGTCAAATATACCAAAAAGCGAATAGTTTAATTGCTTAAGCTCGGGCTTTTACACAGAGGTAAAAAAAGATTAGAGATAATGTTGCTCATGGAATTAAAGGAAGCTTGGTGGAGTGAAGGAGTATTTATGGCATATTATATAACTAATGTATATCTCTAAAAGCTAAAATTTAATAAAACAATTATTTGACCTGTCAGACTATACTTATTGGACAATGTTGGCTGCTAAGAAATAACATGTTCAAAATATGAGCATAGTTGAATTAATACATATGTAATGTTGACAGCAGCTTTCGCTGGAGAGAAATGAATGATTAAAAAAAGATAGTTTGGTCATATGTAGGAAAGACCAATAACTATACCAGTGGGGAAAAATTTTCAATCCGTATTTCTTAACCAAACCGCTCATTGCGGATTGCTAATTTTTAAAACCATCACCAAACCATTAAATCAAAAAACCAAACTGAACCACACGGATCGGATTGGTTCGGATCGGTTTGACGGATTAGCGGATTATTTGAACACCCCTAGGGAAAATGACATAGTCAACATCAGGGGTAAAAGGGAAGGGAAAACCAAAATAATAGTGGTCGAGTTTATAAAAAAAGAGAGTATTAATTCAAAAAAGTTTGGATAAGACTTTGCTGTTGTCGGGTTGTGTTGGGTGATTCCCATTCTCATTTTTTTCCCTTAAACTGGTTTTGCTTGAATTTTACAGTGGCTTGAGACCATCCTTTCTACTGCCATGAGGAAAAAATCTGGGGAAGAAAGACAACTGATCTGCTCAAAATTCGGTCTACCAGATCCACAACCCCTTATTTGCTTTGCCCTTTGCACTGGAGCTTTTTCTGATCCCATGGTAACTCCTTGCTTCTATTACTGTTCTATTATTATTATTATTATTTTCTACATCATGCTTCAGCTAAATATCATGACTTAAAAACTATTCCTTCTCAGCTTAATATCATTATGGGCAATTTAGGGCATCTAAAATACCGCGAATCCCTAATGAATCTAATGATCCCAAGAATCTGTTTCTTTTCCTTCAATTTAATTTTAGAGAAATACAATTTAGGGTCTCTAAAAAATGACATCTGCACATTACTTGGGTTTGATGATGTCTGTATTATTTTACCAAGTCTTTTCCTGTTTTGATTGGGAATGGCGGACTGATTCTGTTTCCATGGAATGGTCCCTACACTTCCTAAAACAATTTGGAAGGTTGAATTGAGGTGGGTTTTATAAGCAGCCTCAAGGAAAATGACCACCACTGGCTACCAGAATGACTTTTGTATAATGGTCTACTTCAGAGGTATTTAGGAGGGGGGTTAAAGGATGAAGGTGAAATTGGAAATGCGATTTCTGCTTAATGTTATTATTCAACATCCTACTTGAGCTTCTTTCAACTTTATCTTCCCTGATGGCTCTTGGTTACTGCTGCTTCTTTTACTTATTTGATTATGTGATTGCTTTATTAAATTTAAATTTAATCCAACAACTCTAATATAGGAGGCTTCTCTTGTATACATCACAAGTACTTGTAGGTTACAGTGTTGCACCCTCCTTTTCTTGGCGCTCTGCACTGGATTTATTTATAAGTGTATTTAGACATTAAAACCATACACAGTTGATTAAACAAATTGCTTATTTGAATTTTTGTAGTTAAAAGTCTACACGGCATCCAATGTTAAAGAAGAACTAGAAGTAGCAAAAAGGGAGTTCCTCCAAGCAAATGTGGTTGTTAAGAAGTCCAAGAAAGTGTTTCTACCAAAGATGCTCGAAAGATTTGCAAGGGAAGCTTCTATTGCATCGGATGATCTTCTCAAGTGGGTTACTGAAAATGTTGATAAGAAACTCCATGATTCAATACGGAAATGCATTGATCACAAAACCAATAGGAAGGCATCGCAGATCATAGAATGGGTGCCTTACAGTTCAAGGTTCCGGTATGTGCTTTCAAAAGATCTTACAGAAAAGCCATGGTGGGTGTGAAAAATGTTCATCCCGAATCAGTCTTGTTAGGAATCATGAAGTGTTGTTGCTTGGATAGTTGAGCTTAAAAAAATTAAAAATTAAAAATTAAAAAATTTGAATTTTTGTATTTCAAATGCAGTTGTGACCTTAACCCTGTACAATCGAGTTTGTAGCTGATTTATGATGCACTTTTGGGTCATGTAATATAAAGTTACTTTTGTTGGGACTGCTGTGATTTAAATAATGTAGTGCTGTGATGAGTGCAGTTGGATTTTGGTTTAATTTATTTTTAATTTTTTTGTTTCTGCAACAATCCAAATTTATGTTAAGGTGCCAAGATCAACAATTTTCTCTGTTGACATGACCAATCTCGCCCTTGAATTTTGACAAATAGTTTTGGATAAACAACTTTATTCGATCTTCTTCTTTTTTTCTTTTTTCTTTTTTTTTTTTTTTTGTAGAGAGATGAAGGCATGTCTGAATCAAGATTCCAAACTTTCTTTTTGATCGAACAAGATAATCAATCTTCACGCATACATGGAATTTCATGTGTTCAAAGTCCATTTCACCCTTGAGTTTAAGTAATGTTTTCAATTCCGGGGCATCTAATTCAATTATAAAAAGTTTGATAGAAGAACACCCACTTTGATATTTTATAAATATCATGGTCATCTTTATTTATTTGTTTATTTCAAATTAATGAAGGTAACTAACATGAATTCTCATTTTCAACTCTATGTGGCTTAAAGTATTTAATGTTTTAAAATCATTTTTAATCATTTCATTTTATGTTAATTTTTGTCAACTTTGCCTTTTTCTCTTTAAGTTAGGTTAAAATAAATCAAATTTCTCTTATTTTATCACTAATATGCTTTATTCTTAATCTCTCCTTCACAATTTGTTTGATAAATTTATTTATTTTTAGTCACATCCACCTCAACATTTCTTATTTCAGTTCCATGAATTTGTTATTCTTATTTATTCAACACCTAACACTCCTCTCAATATAAAATAGCTGACCTAATGATCAATCTATAAATTCTCTTTTTAAATACTTGGTATTTTTCTAATAGATATGATATTGAACATCATGATTTTGAGTAAAACTATGGATTGCTAATATATTAAGTCATCACATAATGCAAATATTTTATTTAACTTGATATTTTTTCTAATATTGAACTTTTGAGTTCTGGAACAACTGTAAGGTGATATGCACTTCTTCTTTTTTCTTTTTCTTTTTTTTCAATAAATAACAAAAATATTCCAATACTTTATTCTATCTGAGTTAGGGATACATATCTCATTTTATTTTAAAAGTGGAGTCTATTATAGGAAGATATTGCAAATATATATCTCAATTTCTAAATGCCCATTTAAGTACTCTTTTATTTTAAATTATTTATGATCACCATAGTTTTTGTGAGGCTCCCATGAGACTATAGCGAATGGTAAAATAAGTGTCACAACCATGTGACAGTAACAAGGAAATAGATTAACTTGAAGGGGTTGGCTCTGTGTCAAGGTCACTTTGCTTTGTTTCTCATGAAATATCAAGTTCGATGTTTGATTTTTATTGAGTTTAGAATAGATAGATGTCCTTTCTGGATTTTGACGATTGAAGGCACCTCCTACTTAAATGGTCAAGAGGGCATAATTGCTGTAGAAGTTTTTTATTATTTCGGTTTCGTTTAATTTGCTAAATAGGAAAATTTATTCATGGTTTGCAGTTGCGTTATGATAACAATCGCGGTATAATGAACTCGAACGAGAGTATATGTGTAAATCAACCGAGCCAATCCGATTTATAAATATGTTTAACCGGATGGAATCCTTAAAAAGGGATTACAAGTGATAATTGAATTAGCATAAAAAATAATAATAATAAAAAATAAAAAATTCTAATGCGTATCCCAGTGAAAGATATTTATGTCTTCTTAAAATGTGAGATGCACAGAATTTAATTCCTACAAAACGTCAGTACTATTATTTTTTCCTTCACTGAAAGCTGTGGCTCTGTCTCTGTGTGTCTGACACGCCGAAGCCCTCTGTATCATCGCAGCGAGCGAACCCGCCTCTCTCATCGCCAAGTTCTCTTCCAAGCGGACATGGTGAAGTCTTCGTCTCTCTCTCTCTCTCTCTCTATATATATATATCTATGTCCCTCTTTTTGTCTGTATTAGGACTGAGATCCATGCTTTGCATTTAAATTGTACTCATTTACAGTTATATATATATTCTGTTTATTTTTTAAAGATGTTTTGTTTTTAAACCCCTAATCCATGTTTATTGTACTTCATATTACCCTGATCTTTCCCTCTTTTTTAAAAGCTCTGTTTGATATTTTAGTTTCTGATCTGCACATCCCTATTTTCAAAGAATTATGGTGTCTTTTTGTGCTATTTCATCGGATTATTTGTGTGCTTTCAAAGAATTATGCTGTCTTTTTGGCTATTTCATCAGATTATGTGTGTGCTTGATGTTGATATTGTTTAAACGATGATAGGATCATTCTATCTCCATGGACGAAAATCGAATTAGGAATATCATTGCTGAAGATGACAAGGATGGACTCGCTACCTTTTTAGAGAGTTCATTGGTGAAACTTTTGGCATGGATTTGTAAGTATCGGGCTGTACATTGTGGCTCTGCATTGCTCGAAGGAAAGACGGACCTGAAATTAAATCTTAATGTTCTGACCAACCAAGGAGCTTTTGTGCTGCATGAAGCAGCAGCTTCTTTATCTGCTCCCTTAATCGAATTATTTCTTCGCCATGGAGCTCAGGCTGACGTTCGATGCAAATCTCTTGACTCAGAGCACAATGGGTTGCTCCCTCTCCAAGTAGCACTCGAAAGAGTAAGGTAAAACTCAGTTATCAAATTTCTTGATCCTTTTATGTATATGCCTTATGAAATTCTATTTATTGTTCTAAAATTTCAATATTCATTGCATTTTTTTTCTTTTTATTCATGGTGTAGATATAATAAAAATCTCATCCTGTGGGATCGTCAAAAATCTATCTTCAAGTTGATCATCATACTTTGCCTTCCGGAAATGGTTTGTCTTTTATTAAAGTTTAGTTGCAGCTCACATGGTATACCTTTTATTATAATTTATAAATGTGTGACTGTTTTGTTTTTAAACCTGTGGCAGAAAGAAGCCTTGGAGGCTATTAGATTACTTGCATGTAACACAAAAATGATCAAGGAGGTATCTTACTATTACGCCACGAATTTCAAAGTCATTGAGCTGGCTGTTCTACTAATGGTAGCTGGCGATGAGATTCCGGATGCAAATCTACCAGGGAAAATGATTGCGGAGGCAAATCTACCTGGGGCTAGTCTTGCGGATGCAAATCTACCTCGCTAGTCTTGCGGATGCAAATCTACCTAAAAAAAAAGATTAAAGATTCAAATGGTTTCGATGGTTACGTTTTGGTTAATGTATTTGTCAGCCATCAGTCTCGAACTTTGTGCGCCATTAATTGAATTTCAGCTCGCAACATCAAGATGTGATTCGGGTGGAAAGGTTGAGGATTGGAGGAATGCAGTTGGTTCTGTACACTTGTTAATTGAATATTATGCCCGTGCTGGTGATGTTATTCAGGCGTATCTTCAATCAGAGCAAACTAATGTAAGCTGTAAATAATATTTGTTTATTTTACTTGGTGCTTGTTTATATTCTCCAAAGAGTAATGATAATTCAGGCCAAACAAACAAGGTTGACTTCATAACATCAATGCATCTTAGGATTGTGGTTTAGTCCAACCTATTTGGTTGGACGAAGTGACATTTTCTCTCTCCATAGTGGGAACGAAATACGACTCATCAGCTGATGCATTATAGCTCCTTGGATTGGTCTGACATTTTTTTTACCCCCCTTTTATTGTCCTGCAGAAGTTACTTTTGAAATCACTGTGGTTTCTGCTCTTTTATGATTCTACGTATTCATATATTAATTAGTATCGCTATATGCTTACAGGCATCAATAAAAGAGTTTGCCCGAAAAGTTGCTCTGGTGCTCAGAAAATCAGGCCACAAATTAACATCCGAAGACACTGATTTAAGCGACATAGGGGACCGGTATCTGTTTTGGTCTCCATTTATTTTTGGTTTTGTTTTTCTCATCCTTAATTAGGTTCCCGAAGGTAATAAACTCGTATCACCCATAAAACAATGAAAACACAAAAGATTAAATTTCTTGTAAGTGAACTAATTCTAGTGGATGTTACTTTGTTGTGACATGTACTATGTGATTGCAAAAGTTGGCCAACTGAGTTTTTGATAAACCCAAGTGTTCCCTTACGGGAGAAAAAAGAGCCAGGTATCATTGGTTGATTTTCTTCCTCTTCAAACACTCAAAGTTGCTTCATTTCATTTCGGTCCTTCCCAAAAAAAGGAGAACAGTAAAAAGAATTTATAGAAATATTTTTTTCCTTGTATAGAGGAGCCAACAGAACATAAATCTGCAAAGGAGGATGTTTCCATGCCATTGAACCCACATTCAAGCAAAAATGTAAGAAATTATAAAATTATTTTTGATGGCTCATTTTTCTTTACCCTTGTCCCTTTAGTTTACTCTTTTTCTTGATTTACTCTTTTAATTATTGTTTGACTTGTTTTCTCTGCGCTTTTATATCGCGCCATAATGAATGATTTGTTTATTTTTTTTGTTTTTAACTATTTTGTGTTGTTTATTTTGCAAAATATTGTTTTAAAGATGTTGAAAAAAAAGGGTTGATGCCGAATTATACCTATATCTTGATAAATTTCTTGACAACTATAGGTACTTTTTCTTGTCAAAGTCTTAGGTTACAAAAGTGTAATATAATATATTCTCTGCCAAAGAACAAAAGCTGTTTATTACCCTCTTCTTCTTATTTTTTTTTCTCCTTTTTAATGTATTGGGGCTATCAAGGAATTTGGTGTGTACTCTTCTTAGTTTTGAATTTTGGGTTGTTCATACAAATTGACATAACGCCTTTCTTTATCTCAAGCGGAAGACAACACATTTTGTGCCAGATTACTATTGGAGGCTGACCAGGGAAGGCATCAGACGTGGCTCTTCTGCTGTCCTACCATGGCATGCATTCGGGAATGAAAAAGTCAGTTTTCATTCTGGGTGTCTAAAAGCAACGGAAGTTCAAATGAAAGAAAATTTCATTGTGAAACGGCAGTATGCTCGAAATGCTTCTTCAATCAAGCAATGGGTTTCCATCACAACAGTGGTCAAGAGGGGCATGAGATGCATTTAAGTTTCCAATGTATGACATCAGTTTTCATTTACAGAGTTGCGTGAAATTAACGATCTTTTTGGTCATTCTTCAGATATGTTTGATTTGCTTGCCAGCATATGCATAATTACTAATTAATTGTTTAGATATCTAGCTGTTAGTTGTTAGTCTTTTAGCTGTTAGTTGTTATAGCCTTGTATTCTCTAGTTGCAATAATGACGTCGTCTTGTTACTAGTAGTAATATCATATTAGTATTTACTTCCTTACATCTGAGGAGTCTCACTCCTTTCAGCTAGATATACAGCTTATAAGATGATAGATATATCGGATAGTGTGAAAATGAGTTTTTTTTTTTTAAACTGTTGTTTTTTTGTTTTTGTTTTTTCTTATTATAAACAGTTACATGGCTATTTTTGTTCCGAGAGAAGCCAAGTTGGTGACAAACTAGCTCACCAGGGTCTCTTTAACGAAGGCAAAAAGAAAACTTTGGGAGTAGGGTTCAACAGAAGAAGATACAAAGAGCTGAGGAAGAAGCAAAAAAAATGGTACAGATGGATGTGGAGAGAACTCCAGTAATTGTTTACAAAGAGAAGGATGATAAAGATAAAAGGTGAAGAACAGATTTTATTTTATTTCTTAAGTCATATTACCTTGCTTAAGCAAATCTGTCTAGTATCTAAAAAATAACATCTGCATATTACTTTGGTTTGTTGATTTCTCGATATTATTTTACTAGTCTTTAGAATGAGAAGGATGATTTCTGCTTAATGTTTTTATTCAACATCCTAAACTCCTTCAGCTTTTTCTTCTCAAGGGCTGTTGGTTCCCGGTGCTTCTTAGTTCTTATACTTGTTTGATTGTGTGATTGCTTTATTAAATTTGTTCAACAACTCTATTATAGGTAGGAGGCTTCTCTTGTATACTATATATTTAATATTTTCATGATTCAGTAGGAAGGTGTCGCAGATTATATAATGGGTGCCTTACAATTCAAGTTTTCAATGCGCATTTTCAAAAGATCTTATGTTTGGAAGTATCGAATCGGTGCTTTGAATTTGGGATTGGGGGAAGTTTTGTTCAAATTTTATACTAAATTTTCGTCAATCCCAAATCCAATGCGTCGATTCGGTGCTACCATAACATTACAGAGAAGCCATGGCGGGCTGAAAAATTTTCAGAATCAATCTTGTTAAGAATCATGAAGTGTTGCTGGGATAGTTGAGCTGGAAATTTTGAATTTTTCTACTTCGAATGCAATTGTGATTAACAGTTTAACTCTGTACAATTGACTTTCTAGCTAACTGATTTGAGATGCACTTTGGGGTCACATGTAATCTAAAGTTAGTTGAATTATGTTTAATTTCTTTTTCATTTTTTTGTGCTGCAACAATTCAAATTTATCAGGGACAATTTTACGCCTCTTAGACCGAGGACTGGTGTTAATTAAAGTTCAAAATGGTCTTAAACATGCTACGATTTGAAGGTCCAAAATGACATGCAATGAGAAATGATTTTTGTCTCCAGAATAAGATGCAATATAGGTATCCATTGGTCACGTGTCCATTCAATTCTCTCTGACAACATTACCAATTTTGACGAATAGTTTTCATTTTTAGATAAGCAATTTTATTCAATTTTGTTATTTTTTCTTTTAGAGATTCTAACTCTCATCTTCTATTTTGAGAGGTAGAAAAAATATCATTAGGTGATAAAATCTTTGATTTTTTTTTTTTTTTAAAAGTAGATAAAGGCATGTCTGAATCATGATTTCAAACTTTCTTTTGATACAAAACAAGATAATCGATGTTCACATATACAGCCAATTTTGTGTGTTTAGAGTCCCGTTTCACCCTTGAGCTTAAAAAAATTCCGTTTACAATTCACGACATCTAATTCAATTACTGTATAATAGTATAGATAAAATAGTCACTTTTGATATTTACCCACACTCACCAGTGATTAGATTAAGTGACCGCTGACACACCTAATTTGTAGTTACAAAATCGAATAAGTAAGAAATAAAGAAAACAAAGAGAGTAACTGAATTTATTTTTAAAAAGTTGTTTTGTTTTTATTTATTATTTTTTTGATTTTGTAATTACAGATTATATGTATTTATAATTGGATTATATCCGCTATTAGTAGAGATCACAATCCTCAAGTTAACACCTCCCAAAAATTAGTAGAGTCAACCAAACAAATTCTCATTTCTCATTTTATGGTGCTTTTAATATTTATTTTTATAGTCATTTTTATTTCTTTAATTTCATGTTAGTTTTTGTCAACTGTCTTTTAACCTTTTAATCAAATTATTATTTTTTACATTTTTATAGGGGCTTAGCAACGATTCTACGCTCTCTGAGTCCATACCATATTTTTTCTTATTTTGTCACTAAAATGCATTATTTATAATCTATCTCTCACAATTTAATGTGTAAATCTATTTTTATCATCATATTTTAGCATCGTGATTTCAATTACATAAATTAATTATTCTTGTTTCGCATTTAATGTCCAACACTTTGCACCTTATAAAATAGCTAGCCTAATAACCTCTAAATTTGTCACTTTTACAAAAGAATTTTGTTTTTTAAAAAAAAGATAAAATACACTAACACCTCTTAAGGTTTGTCAAAAGGACACACAGGTGAAACTTACCCATCTTTTAGACAATGACACCCCCTCTCTAAAATTTCATCCAAACAAGGCCTTAAATTATATGAAAAGACAAAATTATCTCTCAATATTAAATTCAGATATATTACAAAATATCAGACCTTGCAAAATGACCAATAGCCCCTTATTTATTTTTTCTCTTCATATCACACCATCTATGCCTCTCTCTCTATATATAACATATATATAAATATACACAGGCATATATATATATATATTATACACATTACAAGCCCACCACTAACACCGCGAGGGGCAGGCGCAGGGGTCGTCGGCTACCGCCACCAAACCTCAGCCTCCCCCGCTGCCACCACACCTTCCTACACCGCTCTCACGGAGTGGCGCCACCGCATCCCCAACGACAACTACGCACATCACCATCCTCATCTGCACACATCTCCATCCCCAATTCTCATATGCGCATGGAAAGGGCTCTAATTGGACTCAAATCGAAGGGTAGAGGCGATGGCCACTTTAGCCTCCTCGGCCTTACAGGTGACAGTCGCCGGACTATTGGTCGGTTTCTAATTCAGCCTCCTCGGCCTTGCAGGTGACATGAGGAGGCTTGATGATGTTACAGGTGAAAACAATCGTGGCCATGTTGAATTTGGATTTTGTGATGATATTTTTATACATAACTCAATGATGAGTTTGTATTCATGATTGGGTGACAACGTTGGGTGGGTGGTTGTCAAAAATTGCATGGGTATCCAATTGAGCACCTAATCAAAAGACCCAATTTCATATTGTTTGGATTTTGAGTTGTTGGGTTTTGCTATACAAAAATTTGTGGGTATATGTGTGTAATTTGAACCCCTCTGTGTTTGTATATGTATATATATATATGTGTGTGTGTGTGGATTTGTGTGGTGGCGGTGGATCGGTGGGGGGGAAGATAAGCGGTGGCGGTAGCAGAGCTCTTCTTCGGTTGGTGGTGGTTGTGGTGACTGGTGTGTGTGAGTGGCGAACTGAATTATCGCCAATGCTTCTGGGTCTTGCTAGACTGAACTGTCGGGGATGCTTCTGGGTTTCGCCGAGGTGTTGCCGTGTGTGTGTGTGTATATATATAGAGAGAGAGAGAGAGGAAGCTGCCGCCCATCTGGTCCATTGAGAGATAAAAGGAATTAGGTATTAAGGGAGAAAAGAGTGTTTTTTTTTTTAAATGCAAAAATTGTTCATGAGGATAGATTGGTCCAATTTATTAAATTGTAAAGTTAAAAAAGTCTCCTCAATAGTCAAAGGGTAATTTGGTCATTTCTCATGTCAGGGATGTCTTTATCCATTTTTGAACCTTCAAGGGGTGTCTTTGTCCAAAAATCAGGTAAGTTTCACCCGAGTGCCCTTTTGGCAAACCTCAGAGGGTGTTGATGTACTTTACAAAAAAAAAAAAAAAAAACACGACGATTCATTTACATAAAAATGTATTGCTATTGTTATATTATTAATTTTCGGGAAAAATATCACTTACCTCCCTTGAGGTTAGACTTAATTACAAATAGTACTCATGACGTTTCAAAAATTACACTAACCTCCCTTTAATCTGATTGTCATTCAATTGTGTCCAAGATATGTGTGAATATACTAATATACCCCCATCATTATATTATTAATAATAATTGCTATCAAATTACTCTTTTACCTTACAAGTCGTAAATGATTTGATATGTAAATAAGCCCTAAATTTGGAGCGCAAAACCACAATCTTCACTGTCGCCAAAGTTTCAGAGCCATTATCTTCACCGCCGCCGCCACAACAAAACCACCATCTTCATTGCCACAACACAACCACCATCTTTACCGTCGCCACATCACAGCCACCATCTCTACTGCCGCCATGACAGCTATAACCACCACCACTGCCACAACTCAGCCTCCATCTTCACTACCACCGGCACGGCCATAGCCACCATCACATCCCCCACTCCCACCACCATATTTGAACCCATTAAAGTTGGCCTAGATACACTCCCACAATCATCGCCATCCCCACCCTTAAACTACCGCCACCATCTCCACCCCAACAATCACCTGTGTATTACGGCATGATTAAACCACCGATCCGATCGACCTTCACCCTCACAACCACATGATTAGCTCATTACCCAAATAAAATAAAAAACAAAACCCTCATTTATTCATCATTGCCCGTCGCTCACATACCTCATCGGGGGCGATTATAGGATCCATGATTCCGGCAACCATGGAGGAACGGATTGATTGCGCGGGCTTTTTGTGTTATGACATAGCTAACTTTGAGGGAGGTCAGTGTAATATTTGAAACTATGAGAATACCGGGTATAATTAGGTCTAACGAAAAGTAAGTGATATTATCCCTTATTTTTCGAATCTTTATTAATTTTACATTCTATATATTTAAAAATTAACACAGAGAACCTAGATTCGTTGCTAATTATATCATCTTGGAATTCTATAACATGCAATCTCTATAACTTTATAAGCAAAATACTAAAAAGTTAAAATAACCCAACTAATTAATATACAAAAAATGAATTAATCAGTAATTTGGTCCGAACTAACGTAAATAATGGCTGGTGTACTGATGTGATAAGGATGCCTGTGAGAGTTATTATCTCACCTGCATGTGATTGTAGAAAACTATTGCTTCTAACTTCAAAAAACAAACATAATTGGCTCCTACTTCTCTTGACGAATTATATGGCGACACGTCGTAAATCCACTCTCTGTTTATATCCGTCCGATTGTAACCATTTTCTGAAACCCCACTTTTTCAAATTCGATCCTCATCACACATTTCTCTTCCCCAGGTGCAAAAATAGAGTGCTTGGCCAAACTGAAGAATCTCCTCTCTCTCTCTCTATACATATATTTTATATATATATATATATACTATATATCACTCGCTACATATCCTTCTCCTTGTACTCGATTCGCTTGAAAGCTCGTACATTTTCGGCAGAATATCAGTTTTCAGCAAAGTAATTTGGGAGGCAACTTCGTGTTCACGTCCATAGTTGACTGAACTAGGGTTTCATTCATCGAGAGTTGAATTGAATCCTAGGGTTATGAAGCAGTGGGTGACCATACGATTGAGGTTCAGTTGATCAACAGTCAGGATTTCGTCTCCGGATGGAGGGAGGTAGCGTCTCTAGACTTACTTCTTCTGGTACTGTTCATTTCCTCTATTAATTACAAGTATATAACTTGAAAGAGAGGGTGCGCTTAAAGCACACCCTGAGGGTTGTTTCGTGTATTTTTATTGAAATGGTGAGATGAGTTCGAAAAAAAGTTTCCTTTGTGTGGGAGTGGGGATTGAAGTGGGGAGTGTTGTAATTAGTTAAAATAATAATGGGATTTTAATTGTGTTCGGAGGGTGGACGTTAAGGATATGTGCTTTCTGATTGGCTTGAATTATAGTTCATCACTGTAATGTAATTGTGCTGATAGTTGAAGTTTCCTTTGTGTCGGTTGGCCTAGGTGGTATGACCTCCAAAAGGGGAGGTGGTCTGTTCAAGCCCCAAATGGGACATAATGGGAGTGTCTGTTGCTTGCTTACACAAAAAAGAAAAAAGGAAAAAAAAAAAAGAAGTAGTCCGAACAGACTAGGTTTATTTTAACCGCAGACGGTGTGGGACCGTTTCTCTTTTTTTCTTTTTTCTTCTCGGCTCCTCAGAATTTTACACTTATATGTTCTATTTCCCAATCTTACTATTTATAATTTATTTATGCAGTTTGGTCTGTCTCTGTGAAACTTTCAATTTATCTTGCTCCATTTGCTAGAATGTCATGGGTTGTTGGTACAACATGGCCAGTCATTACCGGTGCTATTGAATTGGCCGATTGCAATATAAAATCCCATCTAAGTGGATGATTTATGCACCCCTTGCAGTAGTTGAATCAAAATTATCTTGTATATTTACATTCCATTTTCATATGGTAGATCTATACACGTGCGTCTTTTCTTTTATGGGCACATGTAGAATTTGTGATTAGCAAATGTGTATTAACTAATTAAGATATTATTGTACTTGTTATCTATTTTATTCGTTTCCCTTGTATTAATTGATTTTTATCTACATCACAAATGTAATATTCTGACAGATAATATACCAGGGACCATCTTTTTTCTTAATTGGATAGATTAACACATCGATGCTAATTGAATACCCATCTCTATTTTGCTTGCTTGACTGGATATGTGTCCTCAAAATGGAGCTGCTTACCATGATGGATTCACATACAGAGTGAGCTTAATGATTGGCCATTGTAGTGGACATAGGTTTTGGTCTAGATTAATTAAGTCGTAGCTTGGAGTTGGTTACCATTCCTTTTGTTATTATTATTATTATTATTATTATATAATTTCCTTTCCCTACCAACTTTTTATCCTTTTTAGGGATACACCGATGGATTATGATGACAATGACTTTCAAGGCCAGAATCTTCACTTAGATGGTGAAGGGAGCTCCAAATTCTCTCCTGTTTTGCGTCCATATGCTCTTCCCAAGTTTGATTTTGATGACAGCCTCCAGGGGCACCTAAGGTTTGACAGTTTGGTAGAAAACGAGGTTTTTCTCGGCATCCCCAGTCAAGAAGACAATCAGTGGATTGAAGATTTCTCTCGGGGAAGTAGTGGAATAGAGTTTAGTTCAAGTGCGGCAGAATCTTGCTCTATTTCGAGGCGTAACAATGTTTGGTCTGAGGCAACATCCTCAGAATCTGTTGAAATGTTATTAAAATCTGTGCGACAAGAAGAGATGATCCCAGGAGAAACTATCATTGAAGAATCTCATGCTTCTGATGAATTAGGTAGCTTAACCAATAAAATGGAGCCTAATCCGAAGCAAGATGATGGAATGAAAGATGTTGTAGATTCACACCCTGTATTACTACCGGATGAGTCTCTGGAACACTTTTCTGGGTTGAACGAGGGTGCTGGAGGGGAGTACCCTTATGTTGAAGGTACTTCAAAAACTCAAGAGGCTGATCCATCTGCTTGTGGAAGTTCAAGTGAGTTGGATCGAAATGCTGGTGGTAAAAAGTGTGGTGTATCTTTGACTCAGAGGGATGTGGCAGTTGATGGAAAATGTGATGATGCAATTCAAACTAAAGTAAGTACTTCTGTAAATGAATCTCTTGGTGATAAGATTCCACGAGATGCCTCTGCTTCAGGGATGCAAATTAATAATATGGACTCCTCTTCACAGGATATTATGGCAAGTGTTGTGGATTTGAACAATCAGGAAATCCAACATCATGTAAGTGATATTAGTTTTAAGAATGCTAATTGTTTATCAGAAGACATTGGTAAGAGTGTGGAAGAGCACCCCAGCAAAGAGATGGATGAACAAAATTTGAAGGGGCATGCAGTTGAAACTGGTACATATAATTTGGAGAGTCCACTCTGTTTAGATTTGAAGGTGGAATCTACAGAACATGCAGTTGAAACTAGAATCAATAAATTTGAGGAACCATCCAGTTTGCCACTGAATGGGGATGGTGACTTGCAGATAGCTGAAGGATGCAGTGAAGATATATGTTCCACAGATTATGCTCTGGGTAGCAGTTGTGAAGCTGTGGTTTTGTCCAAAAGCATAGAGATTAATGAGCGGTTTAAAGGAGATATGGGTGAGGAAGCACCTTTAGTTTTTCGAGGTGACAGTGATTTTGAAGGGCATGACGTTGATATCAGCAACACTAAGGCAGGAATTTGTGCCAGTTCAGAGCAGATGGGTTCTATTATACAGATAACACATGGGCAGAGCAGTTCAACCGAGAAAAAAGAGGATTCTCTAGGAAGTGATCGCCAATTGGCTTGTGATACTTCAGTCAATTCTGAGGCATCTTTGTTGTCTGGGGTAGATAATGAGCTTTCTAGTGTTCAGGGTGATGGAAGCATCAATGATCATGCTGGAGATCATTCTAATTTGAATGTAGTTTGTTCTTCAACTGAATTGCTTATCGAAAAATGTGCAATTGAAAATTTGGAAGTTGTTAATGATGCTTCTGGAATTCAAAAAGAGGAGTCAAATAACGAATTTCATGTCTCGCATCCTATGCTGGGTGGACCTCTGCAAATATGCGAAAGAGATCTCGTTTCCCAACAGGGTGATGTCCGTCCTGACCAAGAAGTTTCTTTCAATAAAGGGAATCTGGAGTTGCCTACCGAGACTAGTAATGAGGACTGTGAGACTGTTGGATCTCTTTGCAAAGATGAGAGCGTTAAATCCTTGTCTTTAGGTGAAGGTACAAAAGAAAATGACATGTTATTTCATGGATCTGAGTGTGATACTACAACCGGGAATGAGCCAGGTATATCATGAAATTGTCAATTTTGGATATAGAATCTACATAGTAAACTAATCTTTTTGCGCATTTCCTTTCCTTTTTCTTTTGCAGCATTGGACGTTGCTTTAGAAAAGACGAATTTAGTATCGCATAACACATTGGATGGTGTTTCCTTGGTTTCTGAGAGTGGTGGTACTGTACATGACGTTACTGATCACAGTGAGAAGTCACCTTCACTTGTTGTGGGGTCTATGCAGTTGGATAAAAAGGCAGAAACTAAGGTTGAAGTTTTAACAGAACCAAGTTTATCGACCTTAAAGGGGTTTTCGGACCAGGGAAGTGTTTCTGGAGTTGAAAAAAGTGTATCTTGTCATTCTGCTGGCCAGTTGCTACAGGAGACACTTGATCAGTCATTGCCAATTCTGGAGACGTGTAATACAGCAAGCCAGAGTGGCCAAGCAGTGGTTGCTAATGAAGTTAGTCAAGAGGGCTCTAAGAAGTTGGAGGATTATCCCGTTCTTTGTGATTCAACAGTAAAAGAGGGTGATGAGGCTAAAGCAGTAGTTGTCCTTGAGAACCGCAAAGAAGATTTGAGTGAAGAAATTCATAAAGTGATACCCCCCTCCGAAGTTGCAGGTGATATATTCATATCCCCCCCTCCCCACCCCAAACCACACGCACACGCACAGAGGAAAAAGAAATAAACCCCCACCCAACTTTTGCAATCATTTGAAATTAAGGTTATCTTGTTGGTATTTGGTAGACTTTATACCATATAGGGTGTTTGTAGCACAGATTTTTTCTCATCATCTAACACTACCCAGACCCTGTAGTGGTGGGAGCCTCGTGCGCTGGCCTACTAGCCCTTTATATTTTTTCACCATCTTGTACCTTCTTACGTAGGTTATCATGTCAGTTCCCTCTGCGTCATCCCTCGTAGCTATCAACCCTGGTAGCCATGTCCTTTTCTTCTTTGTCCTTCAACTTCATGAATCATACTACTCACCGTTGATGAAATCATTGATCAATGTTGCACATGGCCAAGCTGTCTCTGACCTTGTCTCGAATTGATTTTGTAGATAATGCATGGTTTTACTACTGCCGATCTTTATTAAAGCATTGCACTACATCTCTTAAATTGTCTTCAGATATATGTTGTTTGAATCTATTTAGCATAACTTGGAGCACACCACAAATCCAATGGACTTACTTCTAGAATATTATTGTTCATGTCGTTCTGATATTGTGACTTCATATGATTGATGCTGCAATATATTTTGTCTTCAGAAGCAGTGCTAGTTCCTAATAAAGGCGAGAAGCTAACAGAACCTCTACCTGTATCATTGGTGGAATCTTGCAGCGATGTGGGCCAAAAGGAGGATAAAGGTAGTGCTATTGTGGTATCTAGAATTAGTAGGCAGATTGCATCCAATATTGTGGGTGTTACATTTTATTGATCCTTGAATTGGCAATTTATATGTTTTAGCCTGCAATAATCTTTGTTTAAACTTTAGGTGGCCTTTATTTTCCTTGCTTCACTATGCCAAGCAATGGTAATAAGGAGGATATGATGGATTAGACTGAAAGACACACTTAATCTAAAAACAAAACTGGAGAGAAAAAATAGTTGAGTCTTTTCTCTGTTCATTAACATCAAAGCATGAAACCAGATTTGGGATTGAGAGTTTCACCTTAAAAATCAAATTGTTAGTTTCACCTTATTCAATGGTGTATATATTTGGATAATATATCTCTGTTAGTCTTCAGATATCTACTTCGAATTGGATCTCACTTGTAATACTCACCTTCCACCTTTGCATGAGGCTGGTTTCCCAATTATGTCATGCTATTGTTTTGGACAAGGGTAGTTGTGAAATTAGGTCATGCTATTGTTGTCCCTAGAAGGCTGCCTCCAATTTTCATATAGATGGGTGTTCAACTTAATTTTTTTTTACCTTCACTCAATGATAGGAGCTGCAGACAAATATATATGTTACAACTTACATACAGTTTGTATTTGGAGTTCGATTTGGTTCTCTCTTAATTGTGATGCATATTAAGTTACTGTTACCGGCAAGACTTGAGCAAAGCCCATCTTAAATATTTTCTTATCATTTCAATTTCGGTTTATGAATTTGAGTGTGGATGTATGTATGGTATGTACAGATGCATATGGATATAAGAAAGTAGTACATACAAAATTGATTACAACTCATTGATTCCTTCCACATTCTGAAACATATCATTAGAATTGTTAGTGGAATATGAAACTCCTAAGATCATTTATAGCTATCATTAGATACGTTATTAAAGTTTTTCTTATCATTAAGGAATGGTGAAAAGCCAAATTGAAGAAAGGAGAATAGAAGTGAAATGGTGAATGAGGGATGAAAAGTTCACTTTTCATTCTTATTGTTTGTCAATCTGAGAAAAGCATAATACTCAATTCAAAGTTTTAAGCTCCATTTTCTCAAACAAAGGGGAAAATTGACAGAAGTTATTTGGCAGTTGGTTTTTTTGTCATGATCAGTGATGCTATCACACTTGCTCTTGATTTCAAAAATTGTTTTTTTTAAATAATTAAAAACACATTTTTACTGTATTCTTTGTATGTAGTTGCATACTTCATTCAGCTAATTCTTTGAGATAAATCTTTGTAACAACAAAGTCTTTGGTCAGCATCAGCATATGCTTATTTGTATGGATTGGCAATGCTTCATACCATTCTATTCTTGCTGGCACTTTAAAGGGAAAAGAGCAGAAACAAAATATGCTTGTAGGGTAAGAAATAAGAGCAACAATGTTCATTTTTCACCTGCAGCATTGTACCTATAAAGAAATGATAAGGAAAAAGAGGAAAAGAAATGAAAATGACTTGCAACATAGGTTCTTGGTTGTTTCTGGAAAACTTTTAAGATATATATATATATATATATATATATATATATGTTTTTGTATCGACTTATCAAAAAAATATATATATTTGATTTTGTATCTCTTGGTATATAGCAGGGTCTTTTGTTAGTCATTCAGTCGTGTCCCGCATGTGGTTCTATTCTGATGGCTAGATTGGATTTTGCAGTTGATACATCACATGATCATCAAGGTTCATTTGTTGTCGACCATTTGTCTGAATGTGATATTAATCATGTGCCTGAAGGTGGCAGTTCTGCAGATTCTGACCGACCTAATTGTGGTTCGCCCACTATCATTAGTTGCTCTACACTTTCTCAAAGTGAAAAAGACTTGCAAAAGGGAGTCAAAGGTTCCCCGGGTAAGAGTATCCCACTTTCTGAGGTTGCTGATGGGACTGCGGACAAAGTTCAGTTAATTTCCCATAATTTAAGAGAAAATGATGCCACCAATGAGGCTGGGAGCTTCACCTTTGCGGTCAATCCATCGGCAGGTCTTTCTGAGAGAGAAACTAGCAAAAATTGGGAATCCTTTCCCTCTATTAAAGCTTGCAAGATATCCACGGTAGTTTTTATTTTTATTGATAATTAATCATGATTTACTTCTCACATCTCATTTTAATACCTTCTTGTATTTATTTATTTATTTTTGGTTTCTGACTCTTTTCTAATTATTTTTGTCTTGGATTTTAACTGAAGAGTGTGGAGGGGTTTTCTTCAACATGTATGGGCCAAATGGATCCTAAGATGGTGCCAGAAATTTCTTCCAGGAGCACTCGAGTAACTGATGGGGTGATTTCACCAGGAGGTTCCAAAGGTACCCCTGAGCGTAAAAGTAGGCGAGGGTCTTGTAAGGCAACAGGGAAAGAGAGTGCTAAAAAAGGGAACCACGTGAAGGAATCAACACTTGCAAGAGGGAATAAAGTATGTAGTGTGTCCAAGAGCCCCTCTGCCACTGGCCAACTTGTGCAGCTTGAAGTGTTGAAGCCTTATGGGATTGTTGATCACAATGCCACAAAACCATGTGGCGTCGTTCCTATTCCTGGATCCAATTTACCGGATTTAAACTCTTCAACTCTGTCGTCTGCATTGTTTCAACAGCCTTTCACAGATTCACAACAAGTGCAGTTGCGAGCACAGATATTTGTTTATGGATCTCTAATGTAAGTCCTGCTTTTTATAGTCTACATATACACACTGTAGCAGAAAAAGAAAAAGAAAAAAAACCTCTAACACGAACCTGCCAGTTTGACAATTATTATGATTAGTTAAGTTTGTAAAGCTTTGACAAGATAGGTGCATTGTGGTCATGTGAAGCTTAATAAGGAAAATTTTATGAAGCAGGAAAGGTCAATTGTGATATTTATGGTGTGTTTTGCTGTGTGGATTGGATTTAGCCCGACTTTAGGATTTTTTTCATTTCTCATATATGTCATATTCAGTTCACATTTTACTGTGTTTGAAACTATTGTTACTGCAGACAAGGAACAGCACCTGATGAGGCTTGTATGATTTCGGCTTTTGGGATATCTGGTTAGTTTATTAGCCCTTCAATTTTGTCTCTTGAAAAATAAATATATAACATGTGGCCAGCGTCTGAAACTTTGTATTTATAGATGATGGCAGGAGTGTCTGGGAGCCTGCATGGCGCGGTTGTGTGGATAGAATTCAGGGTCAAAAATCCCGTCCCAGCAACTTGGAAACCCCTGTGCAATCACGTTCAGGTATCTTGGAATTTTGAGCTGCTCAGTTTCTATTTAGGTTATGCTTAATGTCTAAACTGCATTACCATCAAGCTTTAGCTTTTGTGGTATCGCCTCCACCTCTCAAAGAGGAGGCTGAGACATCAAGTCCCAAACGGAACAAAACGGGTGTGTGAGGGTCTTACCTAAAAGTAAACAACAAGCATTAACTGCATTTCAAAATTGTGAATTGCAGGCACTAGAGTTTCTGATCAAGCAATTAAGCCAAGTACACCGAAAAGCAAAGTGCTTCCCTCACCTGGTGGTAGAGCAAGCAGCAAGGGTACACCTTCACCAGTTGCTAATTCTGGGATACCTCTCTCGTCGCCGCTTTGGAGTATATCTACTCCTCCTAGCGATGGTTTGCAATCGAGTGGTATGCCAAGAGGCACTGTTCTTGATTACCATCAAGCAGTTTCTGCTTTGCATCCTTATCAGACTCCATCTACGCGGAATTTTGTTGGACACAACACTTCTTGGCTATCTCAGGCCCCTTTTCCTGGTGGCTGGGTTGCTTCTGCGCAAACTTCTGCATTTGATACCAGTGCTCGTTTTTCTATGTTGCCTATAATGGAAGCAGTAAAATTAACCCCCGTTAGAGAATCATCTGTGTCTATGTCCTCTGCTACAAAGAACGCATCGCCTAGTACTGTGGTCCACAGGGAGGGTTCTAGTGTTTTATCAGGGACATCTTCCCTTCTTGACATGAAAAAAGTGTCAGTATCACCCGGCCAGCATTCTGCAGAAACTAAGTCCAGAAAAAGAAAAAAGGTTCCCGTTTCTGAGGATCTCAGCCAGATCTCTTTGCTTGCGCGAGCTCAGACAGAATCGTTGTCTGCTCCTGCTCCTGCTGTTACTAGTCATTTTTCTACTTCTGTCGCCGTCACGACGTCTGGCTTTGCGTCTAAAAGCAATGCTGATAAAATTGTTGCAGATGTAATTGCTACATCTTCCACTGATCAACTGAAACGAGGAGATCAGAATGCAGAGCAGAAGGTTATAATTTCAGAGGAGACTTTTAGTAAGGTTGTGGAGGCTAAGTTACAAGCAGAGGATGCTGCCACTCATGCTGCTGCTGCTGTTAGTCACAGCCAAAGTGTATGGAGTCAGTTGGATAAGCAGAAGAATTCTGGATTGATTTCAGATGTTGAAGCTAAGATAGGCTCTGCTGCTGTCGCAATAGCAGCAGCAGCTGCTGTTGCCAAGGCTGCAGCTGCTGCTGCTAAGATTGCGTCCAGTGCTGCATTGCAAGCAAAACTGATGGCTGATGAGGCATTGGTCTCAAATGGAACTGGGAATCCTACTCAACGTACTGCATTTTTTCCTTCCGATGTTGTGCACAATTTGGGGAAGGCCACTCCTACATCCATTTTGAAGGGTGGGGATGGTAGTAACTTTTCCAATTCAGTCATAGTTGCCGCTAGGGAAGCTGCTAGGAGGCGGATTGAAGCTGCTTCAGCTGCCTCAAAACATGCTGAAAATTTGGATGCCATAGTAAAGGCTGCGGAGCTGGCGGCAGAAGCAGTATCTCAAGCAGGAATAATTGTTGCTATGGGTAATCCTCTGCCCTTGAGTGAGTTAGTAGTAGCTGGTCCAGAGGGCTACTGGAAAGTTCCCCAAATAACTTCTGAGGAGGGTGTAAAATTAAAAGATGTGAACAAAGAACAATCTGATACAGATAAAATTGAAGGTTCTAGTCTTACTTCTAAACGATCCAAGGAGGGACAGTTGGATAAGAAGGAGATTCATGGTATGCCATCTATTTCAAGAGAGATTTCTAGGGAGTCAATGGAGGACAATATGAGGGTTGTTCAAGGAATTTCAGGCTCTGTTGCAAGCAGTGAAAAGGATTTAAGAGGGCGAAGGGATCGTAGGACTTCTGAGTTGGCCAAAACCATAGGGGTTGTTCCTGAATCTGAAATTGGACCAGTATCTATTTCTATTGTTGTTCAGGATGAATATGAAAAGGTGGTAGGGAATTTGAAAGAGAACAGCATCAAGGAGGGTTGCATTGTTGAGGTCTGTGAGTTGAAAATAATTATAAATTGCAATTGTTCGAGTCTTTGAGATGTAACTTCAAAATATTGGATGATCGTATATAAGTTTTTGTAATTTGTTATTGCAGTTCAGATGCTTCTTCATGAGTTATGATCTTTGCAATTTGTATTAACTTGGTCGATTTATTTTTTAGGTTTTCAAAGATCATGACAATGTCAAAGCAGCCTGGTTCTCAGCTAAAATATTGAGTTTGAAGGATGGAAAGGCTTTTGTCTGTTACACTGAACTCCAATCAGATGAAGGTAACTATTGCCATCTATACCTGTATATGATATGGAGGGAAATTGTTGAATGTGGATGCAAGTAATCATGCAATGCAGAATTGTATAGAAAAGTCAAGAGAACACACGCAAGAAGATAACATTTGAACGACGAATAGACAACTTTGCATTTGCATGATGCGTTTGAAGAATACTTTGTGCATTTGTGCCCATCCCGTGGAACAAGAGAATATATACAAGGCCAACGCTAAATGGAAAAAAAAAAAAAAAAATAGTAGATCAGATTTGCTCATCTGCTCATTTGCGCTAAAGCATCCATCCCTTCGATATGAAACAGGGTTTATACCTGCGATCTCCTATGGTCCCAGTTAAATAGTCTGGTCATAACCCTCGTGTCTTGTTTAACCTTCCAGCCTCTTAAGTATAAGGATCACCTTGGCTGTGGCCACCAATAAATCTCACATCATCTTTGAGAATCTCTTTTTTACATTGTTCGATAGTATGACCAAGCAGGTATTTTCATTAAGGTTTAGAAAGCAGTTCAGGAGCTAGAGGAATCCTCTACTAGACGAATTGCCTTATACTTGTATATTTGTTTTGGTCTGCTCCACATCAAGCTAATTCATGACCATGCTTCTGTTCGGGTGTTATAATTGGCTATTTCAATATTTTCATTGTTATTTTAATGCATTAATATCCATATTACAGCTGTGAAGCATTTATCGTATAAAAATAAATAATAAAAAAATATAAAATAGGGAACAATCAAAGAGTTGGATACATTGCTCCAAAAAGAGGGTATGTGCTGCAGTGCTTTCTCAAACAGCGTAACAGTTGGCAAACTTGCCTGCTTTATTCAAATATTACTCCTATAGTCCTGTGAGTTTATAAAACTCAAGTTCCTTATTGTTATGATGGGTAACATGATATGGTAAAACAATGATTCACAGTGTGTGACTCTGGCATCATACATTTGTGTTTCTTATGCTCCTTAGCATGATTAGTGGAGTGGTTGCCCTTGTTGGTCTTCATTTATTATTCATGCTTTATGCTAATTTCAGGTTCAGGGGGTTTAAAGGAATGGGTAACTCTCGAAGTTGAAGGCAACGTGGCACCCAGAATACGCATTGCACATCCAATGACTATTACACAGAATGAAGGAACGAGGAAGCGACGCAGAGCTGCCATGGGGGATTATTCTTGGTCTGTTGGTGATAGAGTTGATGCATGGATACAAGATTGGTAAGCATATAATCTTCCAACAGCAAGTTTACCTGATTGGGTGGGATTTTCTAACACCCCCCCTTCCTCTCTCTCTCTAGTTAGTATACATAGTGTTCTTATAAATAGGTAGGAATAGTTGTGTAGTCGATGACCAATTTTGTTGTTAAGAATTCAAGTTTGCTTCAAATATTCTTTTATGAATGTCATTGTGCTCGAGTGTGAATATATCTTTCTCATACTTCTTTAGTGTAATTTATTCTTCCTTCACATCATTTGGATTCTCCTCAGTAAGTTTTCTGCAAAACTTCTATATATCTATATTTTGAGCCAAATCAATCAAAGTGCTCTTTGTTTGTATAAGTGCCCGTTTAACTTCCTTTTACCCAAGTTTATTCTCGTGCACAGCCCAAATATCCTTATATTACACTCCTTTATATCACTAAAATCTTAAAGTTGATAGTATTCAACACAAGAAGATTCCTTTTCCCCCAACTACTTGGGTAAAACGGAGAGTATTCAAGTAAGATTTTTATTATGAGGCAATTTGTGTAATTTATGCTATCAGAAGACTGTAGTTTACTATTTCTGAAAGGAAAGAAGAGCATGGAGAAAATTTGGATAATTAAGAAATAAACAATAATGAGAGAAGACAATAGGTGTGTTTCTCTATGTAATTTACTCACTTTATTTGGGCGTGGGATGTGTACATTTTGGACTTGTCCAAAAACATTGTGAGTTCTTGTGTGGTAGTTGATAACAAAGCATTACACGTAATATAGACGAGGTACCTGGTGCAGTAGATTAAGTGGAAGCTGTGACCAGCTCACTAAAGAGGGAGATAGATCTGCGGTCGCATTTACAAGTGACTCTTTAAGGTCAGGGCCTTGGTAGTAAGGATCGAAGTTGATTTCTAGAGCAAGAGCTAATTATAGGGTTTCTCTTAAGGCCTCAAATGAACTAGTGTTCAGATAATTGTGCCTTTTTACCTTCTAAGTATGAGTTATCAATCTGTCTATAGTTAGTGATAGCAAGGCGAAGATCATGATGAGACGCCAGTCTCATCAGGTCATCTCCAAATAGTTTTACTGCGGCCCCCTTAGGCCATCTCCTCCACTTGTCAATGAGATGGCCCCTTGGGAAGTAATTGCATCAGCAAAGGTGTTCCATTGTGGGTTTGTCATATCATGATGCGATATGGGATTCAAGTGATATCTCTCCTTTGAGGCAGGTCAATGTGTGTGCAAAATCTAAGGGGATATCTTCTCGTTGAACGGTGAACTTCAACCAGCAAACCAAGTACCTCCCAGGATTCTAGTAGATATTGACCTTTTTGTGTGTGTCGAGGTGTAACCTCAGGTGGACTTCTAATTAGCATGGTAAATTTGAAGTCAGATCTTTTTATAAGGTTTCTCGTGCAGGTGTTTGTAATGATTTCTACTGACGGTATATGGAAGGCTAAAGTGCTTTTCTATATCCTTTTTTTTTTTTTTATTATGGATAACTTGAGGAGTAGGGGAAAATGATGCCCAAATTGGTTAAATGTACAAAAAGCCAAGGAGAGGATAAATAATCTTCTTCCTTATTGTTAGGTGGTGCATGAGTTATGGAACATGGTCTTATCTTTGTCTGATACGCATTGCTTCATGCTCTGGTCTCCTGGTCATGGCTGATCTCCTTGCATGTCGGGCCAGGGGCTGTATTAGAAAGCAAGTCCGGCAAGCTTGGCAGGCAGCTTCTTTGTGCCATGTGGAGTGTGGTGGGTGTGACATAGATGGCAATTTTGAGGATGTGGAGATGTCCATTCCTTCGATTAAGAAGTTGATGCTTGATCTTTTTCATTTTTGGGTGAAGGAAATTTCTGAGGTTGTAATCTTTCCTTTTTAGATTTTTTTGGCAGAGTTGTCTCTACATTTTTAAGTGTATTGAAGGATCTTTCTTTGATTGCTCCTGCATACTTTGTATGTACATTGGTTGCTTCCCTTCTGGTGCTCCTCTGTAAATTCTTAAACAAAGGGAAAAAAAAACTTGTATTGCGTGTTAGAGATTTGATTCACAGTGCAGTTAAGACAAATTAAAGACTACTTTGAGAACAGTATTATTATTTGTTGTGTTGTTTCCTCATTGTGGTGGATGTGCTTTACATTTTATTATCCTTATTTTTAAAAAATAGAATCAGTTTGGTGTTGGCAGCCCTCAATGTGGATTTGTTTTGGTGAGAATACGATAAATCCATAAACTATGATGTGGGAAAAAGAATATTCTATTGCGAATTTTATTCAGTATTATCTACAAAAATTATAAAATCTCTCTGAACTGATTCAAAATATATGACTGATGTTATTAAAAACTATGAAATCTCACCGAGTGAGTCAATTTTTTCTTTCCGTTTTGGTTCACTCAGTATCCAGAAAGTCATGAATTAGTTTCTATGAGACAGTTGGAATTATGCAATGGTTTCTTCCATTAAAATCTTATGGTTATCGTCTTTTAGAGAAACCAGATTCTGCTGGTATTGTAAAATCATACCATCTCAAGTTCACAATGATCCATATACATTATATATTCAAATTAGAGTTTGAAGGCCTGTATCTTTTCTGTCTCTGAAATTTATTGAGCATTTTATTTTTTAGCTGGCGAGAGGGAATTGTCATGGAAAAGAACACGAAAGATGAAACTGCATTAACTATTCGCTTTCCAGGTATTTGCAATTAATTTTATGTTATTGACATATGCTAACAATTATAATTTCAAACTTGGTGGTTCAGAAAATGAATTTCTTACATTCTGCTTGTAGCTGAAGGACAAACATCAGTTGTTAGAGCATGGCATCTACGGCCAACGCTGATTTGGAATGATGGGGAGTGGATTGAATGGTCCAGTTTCAAAGAGAAGGATCACTCTTCCCTGGTTGTACTTTTACTTGTGTACATGCCTCGTAACTTTTTGGTACAAACTTTTAAATTGCTGGTTGTATTTACTTGGTTTTACTTCTGGTTTTCAGGATGATACGCGACAGGAGAAGCGATTGAAGTTGGGCAGTCCTGCAGCACTGGTCAGAGAGAAGGGTGATATTTCAAAAAGTAGTGATCTTGTGGAATCTGGGAAGCCTGGAGAGTCATTTTTACTGCCTTTATCTGCGAACGAGAAATTTTTTAATGTTGGTAAGCATAGGAGAGATGAGAATAAGCCTGATGCACTTAGAGCAATACGGACTGGTCTGCAGAAAGAAGGATCGAAAGTGATTTTTGGTGTTCCTAAGCCTGGAAAGAAAAGGAAATTTATGGAAGTGAGCAAACATTACGTTGCTGAGACAAGCATGAAGAATAATGAATCAAATGATTCTTCTAAATTTGAAAAATACTTGATGCCTCAAAGATCAGAATCCCGTGGATGGAAAAATAATTCTAAAATTGATTCCAGGGAAAAACAGGCAGCTGAATCCAAGCCCAAGGTTCTTAAACCCGGAAAACCCCAAAGTGTTTTTGGTAGAACCATGTCTCAGAAGGATAAGTTGACATCTGCAGTTTCTGCACCAAGTGATAGCACCTTAAAGGATCATATAATCAAGGACTCTATTAGAAAAGATAAGAATGAATCAGGATGCCAGAACCTGATGGGATTTAAATCATTATCCAACACTGAGGATGCAGCGGAAGGCCCAATCTTATTTTCTTCACTAGCACTTCAATCAGATGCTCCTCCTAAGAAAATGTCCTCATCAAATGCCAAATCTGAACGGCTGAATAAAGGAAAAGTTGCACCCTCTGGTGGAAAGTTGGCTAAAATTGAAGAGGACAGAGTTTATAATAATAAAACGGGAAAATCAGTTCCTGAAGTTGTGGAGCCTCGTAGGTCAAATCGCAGAATTCAACCAACATCAAGGGTAAGTCCCCCATTCTTTTAAGACTAGTTTGTTTGCATTTACATATCTGCTTAATTTTTTATGATCCATTCTATCCATGGAATCTGGCTGTTCTCTCTCATCCACCCACCTCTCTGTCTGTGTCTGTATCTGTGTGTGTGCCTGTACTTCTTTACTTTGAATCAAAAGCATATAAAGAGAAGTTTTTAAGTGTTTTTAAAACGATTAAAATTAGAATGTCGATATATTATATGTTTGGTTGTCACATATCTGGTCATTCTTAATTTTGTGATAGATCATTGATATAATACTGAATATAAGATTTAGCTTTAAATGCCAAGAATTGTGATTTACTACAATCAGTGAATTACATTATTCCAAAATCCTGGAAGCATTCATACTCCAAAAATTGTCAACCGGAACATCTTCTGATTATAATCAATATTAAATAGTATTTTGTTTCTACCTCGCCCTTGTTTGCAAGCACATGCCATCAAATTGTGATATTTATTATTAGGTCTACAACTCGGGTGGTTCAAGGTTCAATCTCGACCAACACAATCAGAAACGGAATTTAGTTGGGCATGGTCAGCCTTTGTAGACGTCAACGGCAGTGGGCAACTTACCCAACCTGAGCACGTTGAGCTCAGATGTGGCCTTGGACACACTGACAAATCAAACCGGACCTTATATATAACTATAATTATATGTAATATATGATGGAGTCTTGTCTTCTTCAGTCATATTTTTATTTATATTTTTTCTCCATCAATACTAAATATTCCTTTTTAACATAAATAAGAAAATACATCCTTCCACTTGGAATTAATGTCCCATGTAAAGTTTGTAGATGTAGGATTCTAGAAAATGCGGAATCACTTTAACTATGATTGAACCGCCTGTGAGTAGAGGCCTAGGTGAAAGACTGAGCTGGCACATGGAAGACTCCTTTAGAGAGGGGTTCAAGGCAGAGAGCAGGGGCTATCCTCGCAATTCCCCTTAGAGTGGATGTAAGGTTATTCTAAATGCTCTAATGCTTGGTTGGTGTCTATTGTAAATGAACCATTAAGTGCCTTTTTCTTTATACTAGGCCATCTCGGGGTAAAGACTGGGTGAAAAGGATTACCCATCGATTCTTGGTCAAACGAGGATGTGGGTATTTGGAGGCTCAAGGCAGAATATCTGTCTTACAAGGGAGGAGAGAACAAGTAGACATGACATTTAATTCAATAACTACAGAGTGAGTCTCGTATTAGACTGTTCGTTCCAACCTAAGGGAAATTGCTTCTCTTCCTATGTGACAGGACAAAGAGTGTCACTGCAGTTCCTTGGATAGTGGTGGCATACCTTTGACGTTCCCCGGACCTCAGTCACAAAATCTACTCTGCAGGGTGCCAGGGTCCCATGGTGGGAGAGAGTTGCATCTAAGTCCTGCCCCTTGGACCATGGGATACTGTTCCTTCCTCGAAGTCTATCCACAGAGAAGGGCCCCTCGAATCAAACCTTCTTTGAAGTTTCCTGCAGAGGGTGACATATCCCCAGGGTCGAGGTTTGTCCATAGAGAGGAACATCTCATATGATCGAGGTTTAATGGCACAGACGATCTCCTTGAGAGATTTTAGAGGCTTCTTTATAAGGAGGAGATCATTGTAGCTATCCATAGAGAGGGGTTCATTGGGTATAAAGATACCCTCTGAAGGGCCTCGGGGATCCTGTATGGAACTTTATCATTCCTCACCACACATACCTCTTTCACCTCGAGAGAAGTGTTCGTCACATGCTAATTGTGTCATCTCGAAGCAGTGGTTGAGTATGCCTCCCCCAGACTCGGGGTTACATGACATGTTCAGTTGTGTCACTGGCCCCACTGCCATTAACATGTTGGGGATGATGTGGCGAGGCCTTTGCCACATGATAAAGGTACTGTGCCAATTTACAGTACCTGACACCTAAAAAGTTTAAACAGATGATATAACCCCATTCTGGTGTTCCCTAATCTCTATGAAGCATATTTCAGTTTACACAACCAGTCTCCACACACTCCCCATCACGCACCAATTAAATGAAAGAAAGAACACACAGATCATCTCTCTGTGTCTCCACCTCAAGAGAAAGGACACAAGAAAGAAGTAAACATTCCATCCTTCACCATATGTTTCTCAGCTACGAAATCTAAAACCAGGACCATGAACATGTAGAAGCTGGTTTAATAACCCCAAAACACATTTTCCCTGATATTATATTTCCTAATCCAATCAACCCACACAGAGTTGTGATTAGTGATAAGAGTTTTGTTCCATTCCTCTAGGTTTTTGAGGCCAAGGTCCCCTTCTTTCTTGGTCTTAATAATCTCTTCCCAAGCAACTTTAGCGCCATATCTTCTCAAATCAGTACCAGACCACAAACACGTTCTCAAGACTTTGATTAGTTTGAGTGAACACCCTATTTGCAAGAATAAAGGTAGAAGCCCAGTACTTGCATGCTACTCAAAAATGCATTTAATCAATTGCACTCTGCCTGCATAGGACAAGAGTGTATTGCATTAACAATCAATTGCATGCTTTCAATCAGTTTTTGGAGTCCATAGCTTTTAGCTTTGTAGAAATCAGATGAATTCCAAGGTATTAAATAGGCATTGTGCCAATTTGACAACCAATAGAAGAAGCAATCCCTCCCTTAGTCTGATCATTTCTCATTCACATGTTAGGGTTCATTCTCTCTCTCTCTCTCTCTCTCTCTACCCAAAAGGACTATCTTTCAGATCTGGCCTTCTGTACCAAAAGGAACTGTCTTTCACTATCTCTATTATGCAATTTTATAATCACTTCTGTGTTATATGTGTAGTTCTCAGTGATTGATTTGACCTACCATTTTTGTGATTTGAGCAAAAATTGTTGTGCTGATACTGGAGACACTTGCAAGTCGAGACAATCTTATTTCAACTATTTGGGTCGATTGCATGAATTCTTTATATTCATGCCTATGAAAATTCAACGAAGTGCTTATTTTGTTTTCCACAGCTACTAGAAGGGTTGCAAAGCTCGCTGATCATCTCAAAGATTCCTGCTGCTGCTACTAATGATAAAACTCACAAAAGCACAAGCAGGAATACTTCTAGAGGTAAAAACTTGTGTTCCTAATTTTGTTTGAGATTTTTTTGAGTGAGCTGTTGTAGCCGACTTTAGGTTCCTGTTCATGGTTCAAATTTGTTACTTTGTGACAGGGAATAACCACGGTTGAGAGGAGCTTTCAAAATGATGAGATCCAGTCTGTAGAAAATTGATGGGTACCGGATGACCACAACATTCCGCTTACTTTTTGTGCATATTTATAGTAGAGGAGAAATCTAGGAAGGGAAATTCTCGCTTTATGAAGCTTCAGCTGTATAATTTTGTTTAGTAGATGTTTGTATTGATTTTAGTTTCTTGCGCAATTATGATGCAATCTCCTTAGGTTTTCACCGTAATAGGTTGTAGATGAAATTCTCCATGTTTGTTGTAGGAAAGCAAGCTCCTCAGATAATCCCAAGATTAAAAATCAGAACATTTTGTGGTTTCAGTTGGTCATATTAAAATCATTTGATATGTATATGTATGTACGTTGAAATCCAAGAATCATAAACATTTTTGGATTGAAGTGATCCTTTTATTAGGTTCGGTTTCCTCAAAGAACCAATCCTTTTATTAGGTGCGGTTTCCTCAGAGAACCAATCCTTTTAACCTTTTTTAGCGTCTGATATCTTTCATGCATGCAAGGAACCTGCCACCAGCAATTTTTGATATTACACTGCATGTCTTGTTACGGTGCCAGTGCTTGCTCTTGGGTTTTGTACTCTCTAGATTATTAAATTGCAGTAGTGTGTCATATCCTCTCTACTAAATTGAGCAGTAATTTTGATGGTTCTCTTTTTAGTTATTTAAATTAAACGAGTTACAGCAAGTGAATACTTGCCAAATTGGTGATTTCACACGAAAAAAAAAGTGGGGAAATTTATAAGCATCTTATTTTAAATACAAATTTCTATTTTCTATATTTTGGAACATTTTTGGGTTCTTTTATTTCTTAGTCTCGTGTAAGCAAACGATAAAAAATTTATATATATATACACACACACACACACGCATATCTATATCTATAAACTATATTTATTATTATTAAAAGTACTAGGGGGTGTCAAGAATTTCATATCATCATTAAAAATAAATAAATAATAAAATAAGTTATCAATTAAAATAAAATAGATAAAATAGGTAATTGTATATAAAATAATTTACCAATTAAAATAAAATAGGTAATTGTATATAAAACAATTTACCAATTAAAATAAAATAGGTAATTGTGTATTAGAAAATTAATCTTTACCTTATTGTAAAATAGGTAATTGTTTAATTGAAAATTAATCTTTACCTTATTGTAAAATAGGTAATTATTTAATTGAAAATTAATGTTTACCAACTTATATATAGAAATGATAATACATGTATTATAGATTAGAAACTAATACATGGTTTGTAAAAATTCTTCTACTAATTTTAATTTTAGTATGAAGAAATAGAATTAGAAAATAATACATGTTTGGTAAGAGTTAAATGAAAGTTATGTTTTTATGTATGTATTGAAATAAATAATAGTCTGTATTATAAAAAATATTATATAGTCTAGACATAGAAACTAAAATGCAGTATAAATAAATAAATTAATTAATTAAAAGGTCTAGAGATAGAATATACTTGAATTTAAAATTCTATTAGTAGAATTCAATAGATAGAATATACTTGAATTTAAAATTCTATTAGTAGAATTCTCATTGAATAAGGAAATACAATTGGAAAGAAGAAATTGAATTTTAATTATATGTTTTACTTTTACACCTATTATATTTGCCCCTTTTCTCTTTGTAATTGGTGTTTAGATTTTTTTTTTTTTTCCCTCATAAAGCGGCAACATGCTTGATCCCGTAAGTTAGATATGATTATGATTTTTTTCCTTCAGTTTTTATTTTTATTTTTTCAAAAGCATCATGAAAGTATTTTATTTTTTTATTATGTGTTTTATGTTTGGTTGGTGACAACAATGGTTGTTATTGTTTTGCTTCTAGGGTTTCCAGCAGACGAAGAATCAAGAGAAAGAAGAATCATGAGAGAGAAGTATCAAAAATTGTAAGTGCAAAGTTAGGATTTTTAATTAAATTTGCTACCTTTTCTATTCCATACAAAGTTGGGATTTTTTTATAAAAAAAAATCAATATTTTACCTTTTCTTTGTTATGAATTTTTTCAATTCCTTTTCTCTTTTTTGAATTTTTTTTAATAATTGATTAGCAACTTTTTCTCTATTATGAGATTTTTTCAATAATTGATTAAAAACTTGACAACAAATTAAAAAATTTCAGTAAATAAATTTTTTCTTTAAATTTTTAATTTCTTTTATCTCTTTTCAATCTGGTTTATGTAATTGATTAGCAACTTGATAAATTTGGTTTATGTTCAACAAGTACAATTAGTTTTGTCCAGTTATATAAAAGCTATTTTATATATGCTTGATTATTGTTTAGTTTAGTTTGGATCATAATTATTTTTTTACATATTAATTTTATCAACACATATAGAGACTATATCATTTCTGTTTGATTATTGTTTTGTTTAATTTTTTACATATAAAAGCTACATTATTTCTATTAACTATTGTTTATTTTAGTTTTGGATCACAATTATTTTATTATTAATTATACTTGATTATTGTTTATAAAATTTGTCAATAAAAATAAATTTTAACTGAACTCTTATATATATATATATATATATATATATATATAATGACTTTATAAATATAAAATATCAACTATTTAAACAAGTTGCTAATTAATTATTTATAAATTAGATTTTAAGTTTTGACCACTTACTACACACAAAGCACCAATAGAAAATCCCACCTCCAGTAGGTCTCTCTCCCATCAGTGCACTGGATACTAATACTTTTTTCTACAATTACAATCTCCTCCAATAGCAATAAACTTTTTAACTCTCCTACAAAACCACTGTTGAAACTACATCATCAGTTTACAAACCAGCAGTCTAATAAAAGAATGCCCAGTGTGATATCCATTTCCATTCCAATGATTTGGCACTTGGTTGAGAAATTATGTGAAGCAATTGTCATCAACAACAAAAGCAAAACTGGAACACAATAAGCTTTGGTTCTTCGTTTTTGGCATACCCACTCACTATGTAACTTACAAAAATATATATGAACAATTGCAACTCATCAAAAGTCTCAGATTTCCTGTACACATCCAATTAGACACAAAACCAGATGCCACCTTTAAGCTGTGGCTTCAAGCCCAAATGCCACGCCTAGAAAAATTGGCTTGATAAAAGTAGGCATATACTGGAGATGAAATGGTAGAGCCAAACACTAGCTCGAATATATCAAGACAAATTCAGGGCATGCACCATTCAGGGGTGTAGTTCACCTAATCTGCCAAAAAGTCATCGACGTCAATTTCTCCTACTTCAGATACTAGCTCTTCTGCCATGTTTGTCTCGTTCAGTCTTTGTAAACGCTTTGCACCTTTGTCATCCCCGTTGAATGCAGAATATGGCTCAATGGACCTTTTTGCTGACATCTGATCTCCATCATATTCCTCTCCCGCGTCAGAATATTTAAATGGTTTCTTGCAGATGCAAGAGGACGGATATTCATGAAATTCGCCTCGGCCAGTTTTCATCTCTTCTGGTTCCCCCATGAAGCCTCTCTGGCATGCTTTAACTTTTCTAGCAAATGTATTCCAATCCATCTTATCCCGTGCCATGAACAAAGCACTAAGCTTTTTTGCATTTGGTCTGATGGTCCTCTTATGCCCCATGTACCTCCTTTGGCCCATGAAAATAAAAGAAATAAGCAGGTTTTTCACCAAGGTAAAACACCACCACATAAATAGAATTCCTAAAAATATGAGGATAACAGGGGGGGAAAAAAAACAAAAGGAAAAAATAATATTTATAAGCAACAATGACAGAGACCAGAAAAGGGGAGGGAAAAATCATTTAGTAGTGATGACAAGATGCAAAACCAACAATAAGATGGAGATGCTGATACCACACAATGAGTACTTTCTTTCTTCTTTATTTCCTTTTCTTTTATTTCTTTTATTTTTTTATTTAAAGTTTCTACCCTTGGTCCATGAGTTATGAAAATTATAAGATAGTTAACAAAGGAAGTATTCAGTAATTCCACTTCCACCCCTTAAAGACTTCTGGATCAAGATATGACACACTTAAATGTGGTGCAATAAGGATGGCTTATAAGAACGATATATAAATGGAATGTGGTGGTGGGGGTGGCTTAACCGTTACAAGTGGTTTTCATCCATAGGCTCAAGTATAAACCCAGTATGGTTAAGGATAAATTGGATAATGGAGGATGCTGGGAGGGACGTAGCAGATACAAACCTAACTCTTTGAGCTTGTTTCATAAAATTATTAAACTCAGGCTTGAACTTACATTCTCAAGCTTAACCGGCCAACGTTTACTATGATACCAAACAGCAGTTCTTTCACCATAAATAAATAATGACAATCAGTATAATTAAAGTGTAAATGTCATCCATGTTTTAATTGGAATTTATTATAATAGAATGAAATGCGTGTTCATTGAGCAGGGGTGATTGATTCATCTATTTCTAAATCCAAAACTGTAAGATAAAACTACATTCCTGCCTCACCCACCACAATTTAACTACAAATTAGATTCATTCTACTTGCCAATGGTCCTTTCCTATTATTTTTCTATTGAAAAGGAAAACAAATGAACGTGTAAGAATAATTTTTTGGATCACTAAAATTAGTGTTTTGGACGAAAGTATTACATACTTGTAGCATGCATAACAAAACATGGATTGCTGAGGTGTCGATGTTTTGCGTTCAATAAAATTTTCCATGTCTCATTGTTCATCATTTCAAAGAAATGTTTTCTTCAAAAGTTAAATGAATCTTCTCTTTAATTTCATTTTCTTTTAGTGTTTTCAACTATACCAAACCAAAAAAAAAAAAAAAATTTAAATAAAATCACATATTGGAGGCTTAGGTTTAGATTCAAGTATAAGAGCAGGTCTAGAAATGAAGCAGATTTATTTTCTTACCTTCGGCCTGCAAGAATCTTGGCCATGTTTCCATTATTATTGGTGATGAAGACATCACTCTCATCACAAACAGTGTAGTCAATGGCAGCTAGACGAGAAGAGAAGGGAAGAAAAGGTTTCAGATCTTCGCTGGCAAGCATCTCTTTTGTGTAGAAGTTTGGAAAGAGCTCTCTGAGAGGCCGCAGAGTCTCTTCTCCACCATATATTTCACCAGATGCAACATAAAGATATGTGTCATTTTTAAATCCAAGTGCCCGCAGCATCAAACCCACTTCATGTGGAGTAAGTGGGCATTTCCCTCGCTTTCGCTCCCCCTCTGGACTTAAATCCTACATAGAAAACAAGAGGGAAAAAGTAAGGAAACTATGTTATTTGCATAAATACATATTCATATTGTATTCTTTTCCATGGTGCTTATTGTTTTTAAAGCCATTTGTTTTTCTTTTCTTGAGTTGGTGGCTTTGGTTCTTTTTTGATCCTGGGGGATGCCCCTTGTAAACCTGTAAATGATTTCCTTTAATTAAATCCCAGCTTACCAACCAAAAAAAAAAAAGGAGGGTAAATTGCACTAACACCGCTGAGGTTTGGGTTAAAGACGGCTATCTACAACTTAAGCACTTTTTGGACAATGACACCCCTGAGGTTTGATAAAACGAACAAAGACACTCCTAACCATGATAAAAGTACGTACTTGCCCTTTAACTTCTGAATTGACCCATGTGAATCATTAAATTACCTTTATAACCTCCTATTAATTGACCAAAATGACCCTCAAGAATGAAAAAACAAATATGATTTTATTGTGACATGTTTTCTTTTCTTTTTTCTTTGTTTTTGTGGAAGAAAAATGTGACATGTTGTGTAAGTAATGTTTCAGTAAACAATAAGAAATAAAAAGATTAACTTGTGTGTAATTACTTGAAGGTGATATTTAATATTTGAATATTAAAAATAGTCTTTTAATATTTAATATATTACTACGAAATAATAAAAAATATATATTTAAAAATCATATTTCTTACTTTTTGAGATGGAAAGTAAGAGTTTTGTATTAGAATTTTGTTTAAGTATTAGATAACATAACTAATCCATCAATTTCATCAAGGGCATTAAATACGCACAAAAAAAAATTTCTTATAATGATTTTATATTATTTTAAAATTTTAATTTTACTTACTAGTTTGACCCCACAATTAAAAATTCTTGTCTCCGCCCCCGTCTGTATGCATACGGCGTTGGCGGCCACAATGGTGGAGTTCCGTTTATTTTATTATTATTATTTTTTTTGGCTAAGTCATTTTGGTCATCAAATAAAAGGATTTATAAAGTTTAATATTGTATTTTAATGATTTAAATGGGTCAATTCAGAAGTCAAAGGGCAATTAGGTACTCTTATCATGGTTGGGGTGCTATTGTTCAAGTTTGAAAACTTGGGGAGGCAATTGGATCACACTCTCCCAAAGTTGTATCTACGTGTCTTTATTACAAACCTGAGGGGGCGTGTGAGTGTAAATTACCCAAAAACACAAAAAAAAAAAAAAAAAAACAAAAACAAAAAACAAAAAACAAAATTGCATAGACACCAGAATATGGAACAAGAAAAATCCAATTTATCCCTCTTAATAAGCATGATGCAACCTATCATTTAGCATCTTTAAAACAATATATTTAGTGTATGCATTTTTAAAAAGTTGTGATGGTCACATGGTATAACAAAACATGCAACTTCTCTACATATCAAAGACACGATATTTTTCATCATCGAACAGTTGCTTTGTGATGAAACAGAAGATATCAAGATGAAGATCATTCACAACAAGAATCTCACAGGTAATGTCGTCCACCGTTTCCTTATCTCACCAAGCTCGTATCTTTCTTTGTCACCTCCACCATAGTAACATCCAGAAAATGCTAGCATATCAGGTTCAAACCTGCCATAGAAATAGTTTCAGACAACAAACAAAATATGAAGGAAAAGATGAAACACGCAAAAATAAACAACGTAGGTGGGTGAGTGGGTTTCCACATGCAAGGGATGCAAATGCACTGGATTATTTGGGGTTAGCTGCTGTTACTGGGAAAGGTTTGGGAGCACTCAAATGGGTTACGTTTGAGGAGAATCCTGTAAATCGGACTTGGCTCTGGCAGAGTCAGGGATAGGAGGTAACCTAGCCCACCCCAATATTGTGTAGCAATTTTCCAATAGTACCATTTCTATTTCCAAAATTCTTCATTTACTGATACACATGTATGTATAACCCTATTCGAGATTTCCATATCCGTTCGTGCAAATATTATTTTTCATAACATCCACACTTGCCCTAAACACTAGTATTAGCTGAAGATTGTAAGACTCATGAAACTTGTAAAAGTTCATACATTCCAGTCTAGTTCTGATGTGGGACAGCTCTTACAATCTAACAGTTGAATATAAAGGTGAAGGATGTGACTTATCAACTCATCCACGTCAAAAGATAAGCTGAATGTACGGTGCACCAACCCTTTTTTTTTATAATTATATGGTGCACCAACCCTTATAAAAGGAAGTGCCTCAACTGAGACTATTCTTTGCCACAAGTTCATCAGTGTAAGCATGACACATGCAACAAAAGACAAAGCTCTTCAGTCTTTCTTAGTTAAGACTTACTTTGATGGTAGAAATAGTCTGTCCAAACATTACCGATGCACCCCACTGAGTAACAAAACTCCACCTATACTAAAATTGTCTTATGGTGACCATACTATTATGGGTTAAAATGGATTGGGAAGAGGTTACTTTTCCAATGGATGGGTTGGAGAAAGGGGTACAGTTCCATACCCAGCCTGAACCCATACATATACCTGAATTTTTATATGTATATTTTCTGTATGTGGTGGGGATTGGAATTCTTAATGTCTGGAAGCACCTTAAAGTGAGAATATCAATATCAGCTTATAAGCATTATCTTCAAATATATCAAACTATCAATATGGGAAGAGAAGAATAAAAAAGGCACTTCACAGAAGCGCATACTGACAGACATGGAGGGGAAAAACTCTTTTCCAAGTATCAAAGTCAAATATATACAAGGAAAAACAAAGTTCACTCTGCATCTGTTATCACTAGCTTCTTTAATTTGAAATTTTAGGAAGTCCAGTCCCCAGTACAAGGAACTGAGGATCTCGAAGCAAGTTATACTGGAAATTACCAAAATGAAACGTATGGACTACTCAAAAGTTAAAATTCATAAGCATGATACATTTGGTGGTAATGTTACCAGACATTATTAACATCCAGATTCCAACAATAGAAGGCTAACATTTTGTTCCCAAAGGGCACACTTAATAGAAAATCAAATGCAACCAGTAGTGAGAATTTCATAAGTAAATCAGACAATCATATTCCTTCTACCAAGTACCAACTTAAAGGGCTGTGCTAACACTTGGCAACAAACTCGCATTAGTTCACAGAACAATACAGGATTCACATGGTGGCATAAATACATCTCTTTACTAGAAGTTGACATTGGAAGAATTAAAACATGAGAATGAGAAACCTGCATGCTCGTTTGTTCCACTTTACCTCTTCAGTATGTTGGTGCTTGGGAGAGTGACAGATCTTGCATGATTATTCTAGTGCAAACCAAAAGAAATGCATGATTCAGGATGTTCAAGAAAAGACAAAGAAAGGGGCGGGTTCTATTCTGCACAAATGGAAGTGCACTATTTGAATTACATAAATTGACATTGCTTTGCATTCTTGCATGGTGAACTGTTAGGCAAATATTGGTTCATCATTCAATATTATGAGTAGAAGCAACAAACCTCAAGTGGACTGCAATATAACGTTTTGCCATCTTACGCATTCTCATCACAAGTTTCTGACCAAGATGCCTAATAGGTTTTGTAAATCTTAAAGCATGATAATTGACCCGGCAACGCAACTTTTGTAACTCTTCATCAAGGTTACTAGAAAGCCTGTAATCGAACTTTGTCAATTGCACAACCTGCAAAAAAATTTGGAGTGTTAACTGTCATCAATCAGAATAAAATTTACAAGGTACATATTCCAGCATGACAACCAAGTTAACCAGGGATTTCAAGTGACTACAGATAGGAAACTGAAGCTGTTTAATTACAGTTCTACTCTACAGTGGTACTACCATTTAATACAATTCATGATTTTTGAGAACTTCAGCCGGCAAGCAAATACTAGTACCCAAAAAAAAAAAAAAAAAAAGGTAGAACAAGAAGCTCAATAAAGTATAAACTCACTTGTGTATAATTAATCATGAAAACATTAAATACAATAATGAGTTAAATAGCTTCCTTACGCGTCGCCTCTGGAGTATTGGCAGTACTTGATCCAAATAATATTCAGGTTCTGATTTCCTTGGAACACGCATTGTATATGGGGGCTTTTCCATGGATTTCATAACTTTATATGGAACTCTTTTAACAATGGTAACATCCTTTGCAAGGGAAGAGATGAACCAATCAACATCAAAAATGTTGAGAAAGTCACTGCATGTCAAATAAGGTTGTATTCAATGAGAAAATGATTGCAAATTTAACTATCTATTGTGACCATACATAAAATCATACAGCCTATAATCTTTGTTTTCCTTTTTTTTTCCCCCTTTTTTTGTTTGTTAATAATCACACAGCTTATATACTACAAATAAATTGATAAAATCTCGACTCACCTATCATCCTTCCAAAATGAATGATGATCCAACTCAGGTACAACTAAAGTAGCATTGAGAATCCGAGCAACAACTACAGCGTCAGTTATCTAAGTTCATGAAATGGATAGCAAATTTTAGATTATTTACATTGAAAGGTAGAAATGACAAACAGATTTTAAAAGCCCAACGACAACATTCCACTATAGATATTTAATGGAACACGTAGCATATAGTACAGAATATTTCGACTTACTCCTGTTCTTTGTTGGTTCAACCCTCCACTTGTTGCAATAAGTAAATAGCCATTTGACAATTGCTCACGCACAGCAGCTATATTTCATGATTGGCAAATGTTAGGTTTTGACTATTTTTATGACTTGCCAAAGTAAATGTGGAAAGCCACCCAAGTATTAAGACACAGGTAGCTCAGGACATTTGAAAGACAAACAAGTAATGCAGGGAAAGACATAATGGGGAAAATGGTGCTTCTACAAAAGATAATCCAGTCAAACTCAAACTAAATTCACCAGATAATGTTGTGTAACATCTAAATAAAATTTTCAAGATTTAGTGAATAGCTATAGGATATATTTGATGAAAATAAAAATGAAAGAGAAGAACTCCAGCATATAGTAAATATATGGCATTACATAAAGAAAATAATCCAAAGCAGTTTAGTGGTTGTTAAGTATGCATATAGGAAACTTCAATGGTCAACTATATAAAACGCTTCATTTTTTTAGGAATACCTTCTGGTAAAAAATGTGCAAAATGCTAAAAGTGAGTATTACTCTTATTCATGGCCCACAAAACATTCCTATGCAAGTGTTGGCCCCTAATTCAACCATCCTACTGAGTAAACTTGATAATGTAACCAAAAATGCCCACTGTTGAGCCTAGAAACAAAAGAAATTGAAAGAAAGGGTTGAGTATACAAAGCATGTGACGTAACTCTTGGACTGGAAAACCCAGTAGCAGGACACTATTCTAAGGCTTCAAGAAATCAAGTTTGATGGTCAGAATTGGCAGCGGGAAGAACAACTTAGAAATCACAACATTAATCATACTTGTGGTAGGATAGGGGAGAATATATTGTCTTAATCATTTATGCATAACTTCACATTTCAAAGAGAATACCAAAATGACAAAGTTTTCAACCCCTTTTTTTTTAAAACAATGAGTAGAATCCCATACTTCGTGAAAATAGAGGACTGGGAACCTAAATAAACATGTTACAAGAGCAGAAAAGGAAAATATTATATATATTACACTAAACTCACATATACTCCATAAAATCCCCATTTTATTTCTCCTCCCAAATTGTTTGAAGAAAAACTAAAAGGGGCATATCCAAAGAAATGTATCTAAAAATCGAAGCCAGGACAACTGACTGGAAAAAATAGATATTCTGCAGCATGGACCACTGCAAACCAAATACAGTAAGTAGGCAACACCAGAGGGAAATAGAAAAGGGAAAGGCAGCAGAAGATTATCAACATTCCTAGCCATAGCTTTGCAAATAACACATCTAATGGGTATAGACCAGTTCCTAAAAAATAGATGATCTGCGAGAATCATTCTTGAAAATGATCAACCAAACAAAGAATGCCATCTTATATATAAAATTAAAATAAAATAACTGGGAACTTATAATAGAGTTCTCTAGGGAAGAAACCATTATCTTAATGATGAAACCAGGATAAAAACCAGAAGATTTTTGAGATAATTAAATTGCTGAACCTGTGAACCACCTTGAATGGAATAAACCATGATGCAATATTCCTTACAAAAATAAACATTAACTTATAATAATGTCTCAAGCATCAATCTTAAACAAATCACTTATAATAATGGTGCTGCTCAGAAGTTAGCCACATGCAGAAGTATTAAACTTCAATTATCGCTAAAGCATGCAACATAACAATATCAGTAACAGCTAAAACTCCTATGTCAATTGGCATTCATAAAACATTTACCCAGCCATTACTCCCTCCGTCCAATTTTAGTTGTCCCTTTGTGGGAACCTAACCTTTTAAGATTATGACTTTGTGTGTTTTTTTATTGTATTGGTAGTGAATGAATTACCAAATCTACCCATAGTGGGTCCACTGTGATGTGATGGTTTATACTTTAGTTGTTTTTATAAGTTCAATGCAAGAAGACAAAAAATAGTACATTAACTTTTCAATTGGGACAATTATTTTGGGACAGCTAAAAATGGAAAGGTGGACACTTATTGTGGGACGGAGGGAGTATAATTTTACTTACAGTAAAAGGTTACAGTAGCACATCAAATACTCTTTCAAATTCTGATTAACAAAGTGCCAAAGCACAAGTATGTGATAATTGAAAAGTACAAGCAGGTATTGCAATATAAACGATACACAATAGTACATACTGAAAAGGATAATAATTTGATATTCTGTAAGCCATGAAAAAAATTCTGCAATAAACTATAGGAATTGGGAATTAATAAGCTAACTTACAAGTAAAACGAGGGCCTCTTTCACTGCATCCGTAGTAAAACTTTGAAAATTTTGACTTCCAAATATCAACTGGTGCATGACTGTCCCCATTCTATAATGAAGAATCAATAATATTCTATGAATGAAGCGAGCAACATCATGAGACAATTAGTGTACAAAGACACATACTTACATAGACAGAGAAAACACATGCATGCACAAAATCTAATATTGAACCCAACCAAAAAAAAAAATCACGTATTTAGCTCTTTGGCGGTACGTGCTAAAATAAAAAATTCATTCCAGGACGGTACACGCCAAAAGCACAAAATAAACCCACCAAAAGAGGGGGGGTGGGTGGGTTTGGGGATCACTATATGGCACAAATTCATATACATTTATTTTCAAACCCAATTTCACTAAAAATTCTCTTAGGTTCACAAGGAGTGTCCACAATGAAATTGCACATGATCAAAACATTGAGAGTTGTCAATACCTATATATAGGGAACATTGATGAGCAATTTAAGAAGAACAAGCATTTGCAACTAAGAAGTCAGTTTCACTCGTCAACATTCTATGTCAATCACTAGCAAGAGTTATTAACAGTGAAATTAGCAAGAGTTTAGAGAAAGCAGGATATACTCAACTCAACAAAGTCTTTTCCCAACTGCTTCGAGAAATTAGAATACAGATACCATAAATTATTTGTCATATACTAGCCAAAGCTGTCACCAAAATTATACCATGCAAATGTTCATTATCAGTTGATTTAAAATACTTTCCATTAAATCTTGCCAACTAATAGGCCTGACACTCTTGCACATAAGAATATCAAAGCCCAGAAATGTAACTAACAATGACATTAGGAAATTCAGTAACTGATGGCCTCAAAGAGAGAAAGGTGGGTTTTTACTGTTTAGTGACTCAATCCGGTTACAACCAATTTCCAAATCCAAAGAGAAGAAGAGTTTGTTAGGTAGCTGAGAGCCAACTTAAAATTTTTGTCAGACCCTTATGTAAGATCCAGTAGAAACATAGAATGTATGTATATATATATAGGTGTCAAGATCTAGGCCTGTGTTTCTTTACACTGCCGGTCCCAAGCCCGGATAAAGAGGGAGGGTTGCGTTAGGTAGCACAAAACTTCGTCATTACCAATATGAACATGAATCCTATGAACACATGAGGAATGCAAACATAGAATTCATGTAGCCGACTCCAAGTAGTTGAGAAAAGGTTTGGTGGTTATTATTGTTGTAGGTGGCAAGATCTGGCTACATATCTTCCATAAGAATTAACATAAGGACGATGTTGTAATGTCAATGGAGAACTTGTGGACATAATCCCTACCCATGCAAGACACTTTCAGCCATGAAAACTAGGCAAACTATATCTCAAGTTTCCATCCACGTCTCTAACAAAGAGAAATTTAGGTGTGCCATTAATAGCAAAACTAATCCTGAGGGAGATTAGGTATGGATATGCAAATGAACTAAGAACATGAGAAGAGCTGACCGAGAAAGCGATCAAAGCGATCAACAATACCACGCTCAGCCTGGCTCAAAGAAAGCCACTTGTTATCGACCGGATATGCAAATGAACTAAGAACACCAAAAATCTTTAATTCAATGAAGTTTAATTCAACTATTTGGGATCACTGAACCACATGCTGTAGAGATGTGAAGTGATTAGTACCACGATCACTGAGTTGCCAACCAGATTCACTGTCTTCTCATAAGGAATTTAAGCAGTTCAATGATATCATTGGATGACTGAGTATCCTTTTGTAAGAATTATCATTGACTGTAAGAATTATGTGAAGTGATGTCTTTTCCTATAATATATTTCCAACCAGATTCACTGTCTTCTCATATGGATACTCAGTCATTGACTGGTAAATAATATATTTCTTTTCCTATTTGAATGATATCATTGACTGGTACGCGGATATACATACTCAGTCATTGTGATAAGGAACTAAGCATTCAATATTTGAATATCCAGAAAAGCCTCAATTATCCAAATTCTCATTCCCCTTCCTTTCATTATTATTATTATTATTATATATAAATCTTCCTTTCATTATTTTTCTTGGAAACAAAGGGATGCTGAAAGACTTATTAGACTTCTAAAAGTCAAGTGCATTTGGCCCTCATTTTAGTACCTCAAACATCCTTTTCAAACTTCTTTCCCTGCTTTTTCTAGAGAGAGCAAAGAGATGTTTGCTGCAGTTTTTTAAACATATAAAAGTCTTTTGCCCCTTCTAATAAGAAAAGAATCTTCCTATAGATTCGCACAAAATTATAGCAGTTGCAAAGAAACATTAGTCTTCGACGCTAAGCTTCTATCCTGATTCAACAAAAATTACAGAGGGAGGGGGAGAGAAATAAAGAAACACTACTAGAAACAACTGAACTTCACCCTAAATTCAGAAGAAGAAGAAAAAAAAAGAGAGAGAAAGAAAGAAAGAGATTACATAAACACAACAGAAATAACTATAACACCTAAATTTTACGTGGAAGAAATTACAGAGTGAGAGAGAAACGGACTGCTAGAAACTATTGACTTTTACGCTTTAATTCATAAGAAATTAGAAAGAAATAGAATTTGCGAGAAACAGAAGAATCTCACTAAACATTTCAACTCTAATTTGTCACAAATTCAATTCCAATTCAAAAAAAAAAATTACACAAGGGTCGCAAAACAGTAAATTTCAAACATCCCAGACTCTAATTCATAACAAATGTGTTTGTTTTAGTGTGTGTGATATACATGCACAAGATTTCAGCTCTAATTTAACATAAACTGTATAATTTGTAATCATATATAAATCTTCCTTTCATTTTTTTTTCTTGGAAACAAAGGGATGCTGAAAGACTTATCAGACTTCTAAAAGTCATTTGGCCCTCATTTTAGTACCTCAAACATCCTTTTCAATCTTCTTTCCCTGTTTTTTCTAGAGAGGGCAAAGAGATGTTTGCTGCAGTTTTGTAAACATATAAAAGTCTTCTGCCCCTTCTAATAAGAAAAGAATCTTACTTTAGATTCGCACAAAATTATAGCAGTTGCAAAGAAACATTAGTCTTCGACACTAAGCTTCTATCCTGATCCAACAAAATTTACAGAGGGAGGGGGAGAGACTTAAAGAGACTACTAGAAACAACTGAACTTCACCCTAAATTCAGAAGAAAAAAATAAAAGAGAAAAAAAGAGATTACATAAACACAACAGAAATAACTACAACACCTAAATTTTACCATGGAAGAAATTACAGAGAGAGAGAAACAGACTGCTAGAAACTATTGACTTTCACGATTTAATTCATAAGAAATTAGACAGAAATAGAATTTGCGAGAAACAGAAGAATCTCACTCAACATTTCAACTCTAATTTGTCACAAATTCAATTCCAATTAAAAAATATATATTTACACAAGGGTCGCAAAACAGTAAATTTCAAACATCCCAGACTCTAATTCATAACAAATGTGTTTGCTTAGATTTCAGCTCTAATTTAACATAAACTGTATAATTTGTCAAAACATTACATAAGGGTAGCCAAACATTCGATTCCAATTCCAACAAATTACATAAGGGTCGCCAAAACAGTAAATTTCAAACATCCCAGGCTCTAATTCATAAAAAATGTGTTTAGTGCGTGTGATACAGAGAGAGACGGAGAGAGAGAGAGTAAAATACCAATTTATTGTACAAACGCCTTTTCACCAGTCTCTGCGAGTACCATTCAAGATCAGAAGCTACATGGCCCGTGAAGAGCGAAATCAAACCCAATGTAAAGAGCATCAAACCACACACAAAGGACCATGAGATAGATCGTCTGTGCGGCGTCGACGACGACGTCGATCTCCAACAAAAATGCTGCTTAGGCTGATCCACCTTAGCCCAGACCAACACTGCACTAAACCTCCAAGCTTTGGCCACACCCATCGCAGTACTCAGACACCACACTCGACAATAATAATCTCATATTACATCAAAATATCTACAGCTCTTTCTCTCTCTCTTTAATGCCCCTGCCTCTCTGAGTCAGATATAAATGCTACTGTGGAAATCAATGGAACACTGTTGTTCCTCAATTTCAAAACCCTAATCGGAACTCGAATTAGGGTTTTTAACCACGCATCAAATGATCACTACTAAGGCACGGTGTTCTTAAAAAGTGGAAAACTGTTGAGCTTTTTTTAGAGAGAGAAAGTAGTGCCTGCTACCGATGCAATTCATGGTGAGTGCTTATATATATATATATATAACAATAAATATAAAAGGGAATTTCAAATGTAGGATGGATCGTTACAGTCTTACAGATCGTGATATATTATATATACACACTGACAGATCGTGATATGTGTGTCACTGTGTGTGTATGTAGCAATAAATAGGAGGTCACTAACCTAACGGCGGTTCAGTACAGTAGTGAAGTTCCGTTTTGGGAAAATTCTTGTAACCGGGGTAAAAATGGAAATTAAGTGAATAATGTGTGACACCAACAACTAATTTTGTACTTTTTGGCAAGCGTGACAATGTCATTTTTCTGTGAGTACTATTTTCTAGTGCATATAAAAATCAAGGACAAACACATGACACATACGTTATTTTTTCTTAAAGTTATTATTATTAGGATGCACGCGAGATTGAGATGAACTAAAATCAAATTATTCCTGCGAGTTCCAAAAATAGATAAATACTGAAATGAAGGTGAGATAAAGATGGTATTGCAACTCAAGCAAGTTGGGCAGGTTGGAGGCTCAATCAACCCGTGTATGAACCCTTATTCAACATAACTCTATTATTAATTCGAGTCTAATTTATTCTTTATTTTTTTTAGACCCTCTAGTTTAATTTGGGTTTGCAACTGGGGCTGAGATTTCAGATTGAATTTAGACTTTCAAGTGGTTGTTATTTTTTGTTGGATTTGAGTAATAACAAATTAAATAACCACCATATTATGATTTCGGGTTAGTAACTTGATTTTACATCTTAGGAATAATGAATATTTTTTTAAACTATTGTGACGGTATCAAACACTTGGACACTTTGTGGGTGACATGTGGTAGATACGACTAGAAGTATCATAAATAGTAAATATCTTATTTTCTGATCAGATACAGTTGGGACAAGACAATGATGCGTTTTGAACACTTTCAATTATTTTTTAAAAAATAAAATAAAATTCAATAAAATCTAAAATATATTTGGGTTAATTAAAAAAATAATATAAAATTTAAGAAAACAAAATAACAAATATCTAGCTCTAAAATTCAAATTAGTAATTTATTTATGATTAAATAGATAAAATAACAAAAAAAAAAATTATTATTTATATAAATATAAATATATATTATATTATATTTTTTTTACATATCCATATTGTACCTGTTTTTTATTTCGTTGTAAGTACTATAAACAACCATCTCATATCAACTATCATACCACACATTTTCTAGAACTACAAGTGAATCAAGTTTTTCAAAAAATAATTTTTGTTAAGTACTCATTAAAGGTCAGACTCCTGTTAGTTCATTAATTGACTTAGAAAGTACAGTTATGGAAGTTTTAAACATTTTTGGTCGTAGAATATAATATAACAAAATAAATATTTTGGTTAAAACATTTCACCAGCTGACAAATTGTACTCGGTTGGCTCCTGGAAATACTTGGACTCATTAAAGGTGAATCTTGTTAGTTCATTAATTGACTTAGAAAGTTCAGTTATAGAAGTTTTGGACATTTTTGGTAGTAGAATATAATATATAAAAATAACAAAATAAATATTTTGGATAAAACATTTCACCAGCTTACAAATTGTACCAAGTTGGCTCCAGATAATACTTGGACCAAGGATCCCCTCCAATGTGGAGGAGTGTCCTATGCACCGTAATGGTGTCCGTTTTCATGCACAATTGTGCAGTCCTTTGCTCACATTATGTCAAAATTCTTCGCGTTCGTGTTAAGTTGCGTTTTATATATCAAAATAATGTTGTCAAATGCAAATCTCGTGTTAAAATTCTACACGACTCACATTAAGCTACGTGTTGTATTCCAAAATGACATTATTTTAGTGTACAAACGTGCACTGAACCACCTCTGCACGGGAGATGGTCTACCTTCTAAACTGAGTTCAATTTGTATTTAAAATTAATAGTACATATTTAACATTTCATCTCCAAACATACTACGTGCCTTGAGGATAATTTTAAGGCAATGTTGTTAGTGGTATAATAACAAGACGTTTTCTAATTTTCAATCCGCATTAGTTTAGAAGGTATGATCATTCTTCTGTATAGGGGGATGTTGAGTGTTCAAACCTTTTAGGACAATATTTGTTGGTGCCTGCACAATTGCTTTCGAAAATTTATTATTATTTTTTTATGATTAGGTGACACAAAATCCTAAAGCCTTATGTTGTTGTGACTTCTTCAAACTATTAAAACATAATTTTCTGTTATATTTACCAATAATAGTTGGTGCTTAACTAAATAATTAACAGAGAGACAGTAAAACTAAACTAAAAAAAAAAAAAAAAAAATGAAATAATGTTTTGAAGGAAAATTTTATCGGATTTTTTTTTTTTTTAAACATTATTCGTTATCCTCAAAGTGGTTATGCTTCTATTAAGATCGTAATGCTTCGTTTGGTTAAAGGGATGAAAAAATAGATGAAAAAGAGAAGGGGTAGATGGATGAGGGGCGTTCTTAGAGAAGGAAAATTGTCTTTTGTATGGTTAAATGGAATGGATAATAGAGAAGATGGATTCAATGACAATTTTATTTAGGACAATACTTGCCTATTCACCAGTGAGTTGAAAATTCCTACTTACTATCGATGTAGCGCAAAAATGAGATGACAAGTATATTATCAATTAAAATAAATAAAAAATAAAAATCTGAAATACATTTGGATTAAACCCAAATAAAAACCGGATCCAAATTAAATCCCTAATTCCATCCCCTCTCTCTCACTATTCTAGCCAAGACAGATGAATAGCCTCCAATCCCCTTTTAGAAATGCTACCCTAGCCGAAGGCAGCGAACAACCCCCAAATCACTCTAACTCATCGGAGACTTACAGTCCTGTTAGGCTTTCCACCATCAATCCTTCACTACCGACACCCAATTTCCTGTCGCTACTCCTTTTCGGTTCTCAATTGTTTGACATCTGAAAAGTCTCTTAGAAAATTAGAAGAGAATTAATTTCTAAATCTGATTTTTTTTTTTTTTTTTTCCATAGTTATGAACGATAGGAAAGTGGGGGCAGAGCCAAAGAAAAAAAAAGTAATTATACAAGTAATCACAATGCATCTCATTCTTCTGTCCATAAAGATCTAGATGATGGTGAAGAGTTTGGATAAAATTCAAACTATTAGGATCCATCTTCTCAACCACAAAATGTCCCAGCGAGACTCAACCAACAGAATTTGCAGGTTGTCTGTTGTCTTCTACTAGAGTAGCGAGAGAGATTGCAGTCTTTAGTTTTCTTTGGCTAGAGCATCGTGAGAGAGACAGGTCAAATAATTAGGGATTTAATTTGGATCCTGTTTGCTATTTGGTTTACTTTGAATGCATTTCAGATTTTTATTTCTTATTTATTTTAATTGACAATACACTTGTCATTTTTTTTTTTTTTTTTTTGCGCCACATCAATTATAAGTAGAAATTTCCTACTCACTTTTATTTAGGATAAATTACACTGATCTCCCCTGAGGTTTCATCAACATACATTGACCTCCCCTCTTATTTGTTAAATTACATGGACTTCCCCTGAAATTTGTATTTTGATAACACAGAACACCCATCCATTAATTACAGTTATGGGTCAACAGGGTCAACCTTTCCAATTGTTTTATTGCCCTTTTAGTTGTTGTAAAGACAAATTTGACCTTTTTTACTAAAGTAATATTACGTAAACACCCTGCCATCTTCTTTTAAGTTTTAGGGTAAAGTACACTAACACCCCTTGAGGTTTGGCATAAGGACAGTTAGGTGAAAGTTAGCTCTTTTTGGGACAATGACACCCCTTGAAGGTTCAAAAATGGACAAAGACAACCCATGCAACCAATTGGCAAAAAATATTGACTAAATTGCCCTTTGACTCTACAAGTTAATAAATTGGACTAATCTACCCCTCATGATCAATTTATGCATCTCTACCGAACTCGCTGCCGGCTCTCTCACCATCACATCACTGGCTATTTTGTCCTCCGGTCTTGGTCTCGGCATGGAGCCTCTCTGTTCACAAGCTTTCGGTGCCAAACCTTCTCTCTCTACACCTGCATTGATAGAGGAGAAAAGAGGACCTCCTCAACGAAAACCACCAACAAAACCCAGTCCCGCAGTTCAGACTTCAGATCCATCTTTCTTGCTCACCGTCGCCAGTTTAGAACCTTGCTCGTCGATCTCCTCCTTGCACACCCATCACTGGAATTGTGACCGCAGATCACCACACCATCATCGCCGATTCAGTTCGTCCACCTATTCGTTGACCCATCAGACACAGCTTCGCCGTCAACCACCGCGGATCTCTATCAGATAACACAACAGAGATTGGCTAATTAATTTATTTGCTAAATCAATTTATTTATTATAGTTTTAGTTTCTTCAAGCTAGGCATTTAAAGACTCAAATTCACACACATACGTGATTTTCTAACACTATTTTTAAATGGAAACAGAAGTATAATGTTGTGAAAATATCAAACCGTCACAATGCAGCTGCATTTCTGCCAAATTTTCACTTTGCTTCGCCTTTTAAACGCGTTAAACTCCTATGAATTTGGGAAATATTCAGAATTTTATACATGATGTATATACTCCTTTAGCAAACTCTGCAATTAACAAATGATTTGATCTAAATTCCTACCTGCTCTGCAAATTTCCTTTTGTGGTTATCCGCATATCTATGTTATCAAGCAGAGCCTAGAATCAGTGCCATTCAATTCTTCCACTTCTATGAATTACGACATTTATAAAGCCAATTGGATTTAGCACTTGTTTAAATTATTATCTTGACTAGAAGAAAATGAGAAAATTGTGCATGTTTTTAATTTGGTTTTGATAAATATTACATCTGCCGGTCATTATTCTGATCCTCCCAATGAGTTTCTGCTCGAAGCCAAGCTGCTGTCTACCAAAAACACAAAACACAGCTACCACCATAAAATAGTCATTTGTGAAAATAAGAAATACTGAAAAAATTTCAAGCCTTAGAATATATCTCATAAATAAATAAATATTTATTTATATATATATATATATATATATAACTCACCCAAAATTCTTCATCGATTAGCCACAAAATTTCCGAACTCAATTATATTTTATTGAATGAACTCTTCTATTTTCTTCAGCTTTAACCCTCATTTTCTCTC